GGTACAATAGGTACTGGGAGCGATTCGCCGGTCGTGATGAACTGTCGTTGCGAGAAGGAGGCTTAGGAGGTAGGTACCTCCTATCCCTGTATGTCAATACCTTACATGGAATAGAGCCGCATGTTTGTACCTAACTTAATAGATGTACGCCCTTAGGTTGGGTCAGGTACCTGTTTCCTAAGCCATTATGCGAGGGCCATCTTCGATCCATGTGAGTCAATCTAGATGGGTACTTAGGTAGGTATTGTACCTAGCCTTATGGGATGTAACTACCGGCATCAGTTTGGCTTAAAGAATCTTCTAGTTACCTGTCAACTTGTTAGTTTACCTTAGGTAATTAAGATCTTATTCTTTTTGACTAATAAGCCGTCTTCTCTGAGTTGGTAAGCTACCCAACTCTGTGTTAAACCCGTCTTTACGGTGGCTATGCGTTGAAAATACGTGAGATCTCGATGGCTGAAGAGTCCTAGAGGTCGGTATATGACTGCGACGAGATGCCGGTAGGTCCGATACAAGTTTCGGGACAGGTACGGGAATATAGGCCTCGAAGATAAACGTATTATACGTGTAACTTACCTCTCAAGTGTAATAGTTTATTATCGAGGTACGCCAGAATCTGATATGACACCTAAGGCAAAGGGAAGTTTCAGTATGTATAAGGCCCCAATGGCTTGGTTAGAGTTGCTCGCGGAATATCAAAGTTGTTTCTTTCTATGTAGTTTGGTTCCTTTTCGTGACAAAGTACGAGAAGAGTAGATTGACCTTACTGTGAAAGAAAGCCTGTATCTGTAAATATAATACCACGAACTAGAAATAACTACACGTAGGCCATATCCTCTTTAGTGATTTCATTGACTTCATATCTTACCCGTGTCTAAATAGGGGCTCAATTATTACATAACTAAAGTAGGTACTTAGAGGTTCCAATATTCCTTTTGATACTTCTGGCCGTGGAAGGGGTTTACCACCGAGGTCAATTCTCTTAGAAAGACGTTTGAATTGGGAGGAGTTCATATGAGTTTCATAGAAAGTGTTCAATAGGAGTGAGTGTAAGACACTCCTGGAGCTTCGTAGTTCTACGTTGTTAGTTGATTATGATCAGCTAATACCCTGGCAGAGATCTGAGTATTGGTTACTAAACTGTACTGTGGTCAACTAAATGACAGTCGTCATCAGTGTACTTTTATAAACGTTGGGGAAAGAAGTAGCTCAACACCTCGTACAACAAGAGCCATTCAAACCTCTTTGTTCAAGTCTCGTAAGCTGTGTTGCTTGGAAAAGGCGTAGTAGCCCGTTGCTTATCATAGTCGGAGAGCGTTGGGATGTAGGAAGCTACTTCAAATAGAATTGTCTCGATATTTTTGGTAGGTATTTTCGCCTTAGGCATAAGCTACCTTCCCAGAGTCTATACTATCTATTAATCATTTATTTGTAACTGGTAGGCAGCTAATATACTATGTCTCAAGCGATCTTGGTAGGTGTATACCCTAGGTACCTTCCTGTAGTGCACGCCAACTCCCTCAGCATCCCATGTAATAAATGGAAACTCAGAACATATGAGTGATTAATTTGAATTTCAGGGCTTAGCTAATGTTGGCAGTACCTTTTCCATGCTCTAGATGTTCGAGGTTTCTGTTTGAGAGCTCAGTTATAATTATACTAGCTTAGGTAGGTAGAGAGGTAGGGAGGTAGTTAACATGGCTATAGACGCAACTCGTGTTGTATATATGTGCTTGGCAATATGCAACCATTTATTTCAGCGCATTGAACTCGAATACCTAGAACAAAGGGCTGCTAGCTGTATCATTAGGGTTGTAGCTCTTTATGCTTCAAAACTGCCTTCACAATTGTTCTTAACACCCTCCTGGCGAGAACGCCTAGTTTTGCTTCGTCCGAGAATCGCTTCTTGTTACTTTGAGCGGAACTCCAACGTCGACGAAGTTGCTTTGCGACCTTCTGACATGCCTGCTCTTGCGAAGACGCGGCATCGCCGGCAGCTGACCTTCTTATGACAACTCAAGTCTTAAATATTTGTCAAAGTGCCGTAAGTGCCGTTTTCATGCAGTTGCATGACAGCCACCTCAATAACAACTTGGCACAGCAGCAGCGGAGACCTGTAATCCGTATCGCAACTAGAGTCGGTCAGTGGTGTGCGTACTTACCTAAGGTATGGCTGGCTGTCTGCTCGTATTCTGAACATATGGGGGCAATAAAGCAGAAGAGCCAACAGCAAATAATAGTTGTAGAGGTACTATGTAGGCTGAAGTTAAGTGATGCCGGTCTCGCCTTCTTGTATGATAACTAGCAAACAGTTACCATAACGCGATAGAATCAATAACCAAGTGTAGATAGTGAACTCAAGAATGCACATCAACCCCACGAGTTCGAGCACGCGGTCAATTTTATCACTAAGGTGAAGCGAAAACGGAACCGAGACAATCTGGGAATTTTGACCGCATTTACTGCCTACAACTCACCGGCCGCTCTAGCTCGTCCCCATAAAAGGGGGGGCTTTTTATCACATGTCGTTCCAGAAGCTTCATTCACATCGCCGCCAGTCCTGCAAGAGCCCTGCAAGCCCTGCAGGCCCCTACGAGTTCCACCAGCGTCTCCACCACAAAAAAGGAACTAAGTTAGGGATAGCGGCCCGCAGGCGTGGAGACTACCTAGTAACTACCTAGTGACAAGATATGTACACCACAAAAATGAAGCAGAGATACTTATCAGGCAGTCAGGAAAGCTTTCTTTCTCCCCAGACTGCACGTGGCGGGTGGACCGACTAGCTATGCAGAGTATATTATAGAGTATAGCTCCGATTACGCCTGGTTAGCTAAATCGTCGGCATCGACGATATCGGATGAGGAGTAGTTCGGGATCGCCTGGCTGTTACTGGAGTAACATTACCAGAAACGTGGATGTTTACGTGTGCCAACAAAAAGGGAAAAATACTGGAGGCTGAGGAAGCCTTGCGCTATTGGTAGACAGCAAAATAAAGTAGATATTATTATGACACGTTCATTATATTTATGGGGATCCAATCAGTTTTCCCCTAAATAAAGCTCTTCTCTAGTTAGACTACCGATAAAAGGGCTATTTGTGACGTAGTGCCTCCACCGAAAAGACTCTAGACCTACCTAACGAACGAGTAGTAACACGGATAATCTCCTTCTGGTAGAATTCAACCAAAGAACGAAGACGGCAGCCGGTGTTTCATAGTTACCACTCTCAAATTGCCACGATGTCGAAAGCCAAGTAGCAATGTTGTTCTTCGTGCTAGAAAGCTGAGCGCTTTGTACATTTTTGTTGCGACTCGTAACGGAACTGAAACGATATTGCTTCGTGGGGCGCATGACACCAACTTGGGACGTAGGCCGGTGGCTGACGTGACTCTGCTTCCTTGCGGAGATGACTCTGAACTCCTTCAGGTTTGAAGCAAGTCTGACATACGGCTCAAATCTCAAATAATTTCGATTTCATAAGGGAATATGCTAGAGGAATTCCCAATTCGGGCCACGTCGCCTTCGTTTTTGATCCACCCGGGGCCTTTAATTAAAAGTTACTCCAACACTGCTTTCGGGCCTGTTGGTAGTATCTATCATCGCGAAAGATTTGCAACGGGTTGTTGCGGGGGCTAAGCCAAAGACACGAATTCGTAATTTTCATATCTCGGTAGTCGCGATAGAATTCAAGCCATGTTGGCTCCGGTTGAGACTGGGTGACTCGCTAGTTGGTACCATTTAAAAAATGAATGATAGTAGAGATAAGCAAAAAAAAAAAAAAAAAAAAAAAAAAAAAAAAAAAAAAAAACAAGCCCTCCCCCCCCTTTCCCCCCCAGTTCCCATGACTATGTGCAGCCAACTAGTGAGACCTACCTCTCCGGTTGAATAATTCCGCCAGATGACTTATACCCAAATTCTTGGCAATTTAGCCTGACTTTGCAACATTCCTAACTGGGTGTCCCGTGTCGGTCTAGATTAGAGCCGGTTTCGTGCCGAAAATAAGTCGGGGCGGAACGGGAGTTTGTGGGTACCCCCGGCGCTTTAACTTGAGCCGAACCCACTTTATTCGTCTAGACTCCTGAATAAAAACGATTTGGGATTGGCAAATTACACTTGATCGGAGTCTTACCTAATGGACCCCTGAAGTTGATCCTTTCTATTCATCCTTTTCTGCCCTTACTTCTTTCCACACCCAACCCACGTATGCCTTGTGGGAGGCCCACTGGCACATGCTCTCTACTAGGGCTGCTTCGAAGTCTCTCGATACCCGTGCTGCGCTTCGACGAAATTGCAGTAAATTACCAATAAGACGTGATGAAGGCGAAACAAGCTTTCTTAAACTGGGGCAGCTTGGACCCAGTGGCGTGACTTTCGATCTGTCAGGCCACTTTGTCAGCCTAAAGACCCCTAAAAATGGAATCTCTTCCTTTCTTTTATGCCCATTGGCGCAGGAACTTCCCAATCCAGCCACGACACTCTCCTAGGTAGAGTATCGTAATAAATCTTTCTGTCACATTCGGACCCAGCTGCCGAAGTCGGTCTCGCCTTCGTAGACAGAATTTGACCGAGGTGAAAAAAATTCTTCGGGAAAACCCTCCACGAGGGATGATGAAATCCTAACAGGGGTTCGCGACGGCATAACTTCCACCAAATTTTTTCGTTCTTGCTGTCATGTTTGGTAAACCGTAATTCTTTCTTTCCCATTTTTTTTCTTGCTATCTCCAGTTTCTTTTGTAATTTCTCTGGAATTATCCATATAATAAAAAAAAATATCGGCTAGACAATATTAGAATAGACAGGGTCCTCATAGATTCGAAATCCTACGCTTCCAAAGGCGCACTACATAAAGGCGCACTGCTCTCTTTACCACGACCTCTTCGCCTCCAGATTTCATTGTATGTCGCATCTTCTCACTCTTTTCTTGTTCTAACCTGGTCATACGCAGACGATACCTGCCGGAAGGAAATTTCAAATAGAACTGACGCCCTCGACCACGCCAAAATGATTATCACACGTCTTATCTCCTTGACAAACTTTGCCGTCGCCTCTTCCGCGCTTGGCTTCCAGGTCTTCGTCCTGTACCCATGGCACATCCAGCTGGACAACTCGTTTGAGGAACTCAAGAAGGAACATCTCAGGGTTCTGGAGGCGGTTAGGGAGGTCGCGAAGGAGGTTGATCCGGATTCAAGGAAAGGAATGGCCGACTCTATCTTGGGACGCTTGGGAATGAGCGCTTTCAGTGTCAAAAGGTGATTTCAATTTTTAGCAAGCATACAATAACGATGATTGTCTTACCCGAACGAGATTGATACTTATGCCTGTTCTACCGCAGTTTGTTTTTGCCTAAACCAGAATCCCCCGTTACTCTCAGTGGTTTCGACAACAGTAATCCTGTAAAATATGTCTCAGACGGCGTCGCCAATATCCCCCCTGTGTCGATAAGTTCGGGGATGAAAGTTTCCGAGATCGCAAGATACGCCTTCTCGGGAGCTATCTGCTGTTCATTCACTCATGCCATACTGACTCCAGTCGATGTGTAAGCCAACTTGATTTCGCATATTTGGCCATTGCCAACAGGAAGATTTTCACGTCTGTGTTGCGCCAAGGAAGCTGATGGATGCATGCTCAGTGTCAAAACCCGTGTTCAGCTCGAACCAGTTAAATATAATAGAGGCCTAGCCGGTGGGATGCGCCAGATCATCGCCAACGACCGCGCCGGAGCACTGTTGACAGGATTCGGACCGACGGTAACGGGATATTTCCTGCAAGGAGCGTTCAAATTTGGCGGTTACGAATTCTTCAAAAGGCAAGCCAATGACTTTCTAGGACCGGAGAAAGCAGCTGCAAACCGTAACGCCGTGTACCTCGCCTCCTCTGCCGCCGCTGAATTCCTTGGTGACATTCTGCTTTGTCCATTCGAGGCTGTTCGCATTAGACTAGTATCGCAACCCTCGTTCGCTCCCAACATGTTGTCCGCATTCGGTAAGGTGGCTAGCCACGAGGGAATGGCCGGCCTTTACTCCGGATTCACGCCGATAGTATTGAAACAGTAAGTCTGGTTTGTACCATTGATTGCCGTGCCGCATGATTAACTTTGCCATAGGGTTCCGTACACGATGGCCACGTTTGTGGTGTACGAAAAGGCCCTCGAGGTAGCGCATTCCTTGATCAGCAAAGAAACAGCATCCAACACAACACTTTCGGGAGTAAACCTCGGTTGCGGTCTCATTGCCGGAATGGCAGCTGCGATTGTTTCTCAGCCTGCGGATACAGTGTTGAGTAAGATAAACAAGGAAAAGGGTCAACCTGGCGAAGGAACTGCTCGACGCATCATTAACATCGTCAGCCAGCTTGGCTTACGCGGAAGCTACGCTGGTATTGGACCGCGCCTAGTCATGGTGGGAGGTATGACAGCCGTTCAGTTCGGAATCTACGGCCATATCCAGAGAGTATGTTCCCCTGTTGATACTTAATGCTCCGTGATGTAGCTGATAACTAATGACTGGGATAGGCTTTGGGCGCGACCAAGAGTACTACCGAAGTTAAGCAGGAGAAACCTAAGGTTATGGAAGTCGTCAACTTCTCGCAAACCGCAAAGTATTAATACTCTTCTTGGAATTTTCACTTGAAACCAGATGATGCTGGCATCTCTGGTATCTTTTATTTAGCACGACGTTGTTCGTGTGATACCGAAACTAATGTCATGCGAAAATGATTGGGAACGAATTTAATAGATTTGATATTTATTTTGTACACATATATAAATAGATATTAGGGGAGGATATTAGAGGAGGTAGAGGGAAGGATAAAAGGCGTTCAGGTATAGGTATAATTTAGATTGGAGTAGATGACAAAGCAAAAAAGAATAACAAATACTTTAGGTACCTACCTAACCTAAGCCAGCCTCTAATTCGTGTAAGGAATAGAAGTAGCAGCCCCCGCCTTGTAGTTTAGGTCTAGGTACCTCCTGCCTTAGGTAACCTGAAGGCTGACATCACCTAGGTACCTTACCTATGTGCCTTAGGTACGATCTGCCACTCTATGGCCCCACCCCCACTATCAATTACAGACCAAAAGGTACCTAACCTAAGGTAATTGAGTCAACCGGCAACCGTTAATAATCAACATTTCCTCTTAAATATTTCCTGCGCATTGTTTTGCGGTCCTGTCTACTTTATCCAAGCTAAAATCATTTTGTCAAATCGTCTTGGGGATACAGGATGTCGAGCAGACAATTAAGGAAGCTGCAAAAGCAGAAAGAGCTCGAAGAGCTCCTGGCGAAGAATTCTCTCGAGGACGACGAATCGAGTGACGATGACCAACCCGTTCAGAAACCGAAAGCAAGCGCATTCTCCGGGTTTGCAGCACTCGGGGACCAAGATGATCAGGACGAAGATTCCGATCCCGATCACGACGTGAAGGAAGACGAGTTAATAGAGGTTACAGCAAAGCCGACTGTCGAACTTGACCGTACTGATGCACCTAAGAGCTCATCGAAGAAGAACAAAAAAAAGAAGAAGAAGGCTAAGAAGCAAGATGGAGGCTCTATTAAGGCTGCGCATGCTGCGCAAAGCGGACCTGATGAGATTGATCAAGCGCTTAAGGAGCTCGAACTTTCCCACCCTGGAAGAGAAAATGATGACGAATTCCAACTGAAATTCGTGAAGCCTTATGAGCGAATCTGCGAACTCCTGAGCATCAATGCATATCACCTTAAAGTCATCAACGAGATGAGCAACTTATTTGGTCGAGAAGCTATCGCCGCTGCTCAAATCGAGGAGCAAGAACAAACGCGTTCCAGAAGACAAAGACAGCCGTTGCCACAACAAGTCGACCTGGAAACCTATCTTAAGGGAATACCAGGAAAGGGCCTGCCTGAAGTGACGCTGCGACGTAACCCTTTTTTGGCCGGCAAGGAAACATGGCCGCGTGCTTCTACGGAGGGCTTGACCATGGAACAGCTCAAAGAGGAGAAGACAGGATTGGTTTGCATGCCGGGTACTGTCGAGTTCCGTTTTGCGCACGACGGGTACTACAACAGCTTAGAAAAGACATTCTTCGATCTCGTACAGATGTACGACCCTATGCAGATCGTGCATTTCTTGCATCTCCATCCGTATCATATCTCGAGTCTTATCCAAGTCAGCAGAATTGCAAAACAAGACCAGAATTCTGCGCTATCCGCAGACTTATGCGAACGAGCCCTATTCACATTCGGACGAGTCTCTATATCCACTTTTCGACAGAAGATCGAGCAGGGGAAGGCAAGATTGTCGTTCAATCGCCCAGAGAACCGACAATTTTGGCTGGCTGGATATCATTACCTTAAGAACTTAATTATGAAGGGCACCTACAGGACGGCACTAGAATGGGCAAAACTTCTCCTCAGTATAGATCATACCGATCCATACGGGATCATCCACTTTATTCACCCTCTTGCCATCCGGGCGCGCGAATCAAAGTGGTTTATCGATCTTTGCGACTCCGAACTCTTGGATATAAATCCCGCAGCGCAAGATGGCCAAGATTACATCAGGCAAACTCTCGTACTAGCTAGACTCCAACAGAAAGACACAGCCGGTGCTAAGGCGCTGTTGGCCGAGGGCATGGAACGCTATCCGTGGCTGTATAGCTATCTCTTTAAAGCACTTAACCTAGACGTTCCTAAGGCCATATGGGGCATGCAACCGCGGAACCGAGACGAGGAACTTCATACAAACCTCTATATTCACCAGACCAAAGCATTATGGGATAACACGCAAGCGATATCTCTCTTGAAGGAAACAGCTGGGGAAGCAAAGAGGACAGATGGCGATAAGACGTTTACATTCCCGCCTTCGGTTAGGGCTAACCTTGCACGATTTCTTTTTCTGCTGGAAGTTCCCTCTTTGATAGGATTGATACCACGCGAGTTGTTGAATACGTCGGTTAACTGGGAATTCGACCCGCTTCCACCCCCTGTCGAGCAAAACATCTTCTCGTACGACTCACAAAAGGAGCCGTGGGCCCCTTCGCCACTTGAAGAACGACTTAGGGTTGGCCTTGAGCAAGGAGATCGTAGAGAGCTCATACGGATCTTGGCTCAGGCGAGACTAGCTGGTGCACCCGAAGATGTCCAAGCGGACCTTGAACGGACCATCCTAGAGGCCACCGACGGAGTAGGCGATAATCATAACGAGGGGGAAAATGGCGATGATGGCGAAGGGAGCGAGGATGCCTTTGAAGAAGGCGGGTCTCAGAATGAGACTTCTGCTGGCCGCTTATCAACAATCTTCCAAGCTGTCATGCATCATCTGTTTGATTTCAATCCCGAAAGTGTTCACAACAATGACAATAGGCCGAACCCGCCTCTAGGAGATATACTTGTTCATATACCTGGAGCGTGGGGGGATGAGGAATCGGATGAAGAGGGGACGGATGACGAGTTACCCCCCTTAATACCTCTGGAAGACCCAGTCCATCCCAGAGAGCCTGTGAACGGCGCGAATGACGCGGGCGACGAAACAGACGACGAGATGCCAGGATTGATATAAAGCTACCGTGGTCTACCTAGTCTAAGTAGTGTATATGTGTGGCCACAGCCACAGCCACGAGAGGCTATCCAGGAATATAATGGGCATTCCTCCATTAGGTACATCCATGTATGAATGTATATAAAATCCTCAAGCCACCGATCATCACAGTTCCTGCAGGACGAATGATGAGAGAACAGGGAACACGTAGATCGTGATGCAACCGTTGCATGAACATAATCCATTGGCTTCGAGTCGAAGTATGTACCTGTACCGACGATGCTGTACCCCATGCTACCTATTATGTTGTATCTATGGAATAAGCCTATTCTTTTAATGCGTAATGTGTACCTAGCCTAGTATTTTTGGACTGGGCGTTGGAAATCGGCTTCTCGAAGTCTACATTTAGTGGATTGTGACACTTCATCCGTCTACTATGATACTTTAGGTAGTTTTTAATTACGCAGTGAGCAAATTTTTTTTTCTTTCTTTTTCTTCTCTCCGCCGCAATCAAAACATAATGCTGTCAAGACTGGTTTCACATCTGAAAAATAATAGGGGGCGGAGGATGGGAAACTTGCTCAAGTTTCAGGGGCTGGCGCTCTTTGTTAAGGCAGCACGCGACAGGTAAAGTAAATAGGCGTCAGATGTATTGTCACAGTGTTTGTACTATGAACTATACCAAGCTTATACGGGAGATAGTATGGTAAATACCGTGTAAGTTTAGGAGTGAGTATGCGCCACACCGTAATGTACTTTGCTGAGTCTTTTGTGCGTGAGTGTCCACCGGAAAAGGCGGGCAGGCGGGGTGATGGAATTGGGATTTTAATCATCTTAACACGTCTAGCAATTACAGTTTTAGGGAGGTACCTATCTGAAGTCTAGGTAAGTTAGCGTCCGTAATACCTGTAGCAGGTACCTAAGCTAATACCTAAATCACAACTTGTCTTAGGCGTACCATTTACCATTTACCATTATTAATACACTTACAAACATCGAACATAACTCACACCCGGACGGCCGTGCCACCATACACCATACGCCATACTACCCAAGAGGCATATATAATAACCGCTGCTGTCCTTCTCCCGGCTCTCGCGTATATTTAAAGTCAATCCTTACGTTTTCCGGAATCGCAACAAAGTAACTTTCCCATCCTAACTACTCTGCCCGTCTTCATCATCTACAACACCATCGCAATACCCCCTCATTTATTTTCGATAATTATCCACTACCTCTATTTCGCAATGGCCGACCAGGAGCACACTTACAAGTTCAACGTCAGCATGAGCTGCGGCGGCTGCTCGGGCGCTATCAACCGCGTGTTGGGCAAGCTAGAGGGTAAGAATGTCTTTCTGTTCTACCTCTCTCGATCGCTATTACTTTCCACCTCTTGCTTAGTAAATAGAAGAATGAGTCGAAATGCTAACGAATGCGAAACGAAACAGGCGTCCAGAGCTACGAAGTCTCCCTCGAGAAGCAGGAGGCCCTCGTTGTCGCCAAGCCGGGCCTCGATTACGAAACTGTCCTCAAGACGATCAAGAAGACGGGCAAGAAGGTCAACTCGGGCTTCGTCGACGGCGAGTCGCGCAGCATCGAGCTGGCCGAGTAGATCGAACGGGGTGTCTGTTTATATTCCGGCATGACATGACGATGGCATGTGACGGTTTGGAGCACTCTCCTCCCGTCGAGATGGAAAGTTTCTGTTTATTTACCTAGTTTTTCGACAAGGGAGGCCTACGATACGGTACTGCACTCTCTTGCATCAGACGTGTTATGCTGTCAGCTTTTCTTTTAACCATTACGAGCGATGAAATAACCGCAGTCGACCCGGGCCCTAGCAGGACATGGGAATTATGGATGAAGTCTACCTAGGTTCGCAACTTTAACCCGACCGCAGATCGACCTTGCGTATGCGATGCGCACTTGCGCTTTCTATCAATAGAAATCAAAACGCCCTGGGGGGCAAATCAGTATTACTCTATGCGTCATGCCTGTCTTGTGTGAATGTGTACGAAGGATAGTTGATTTAGTTCTCCTTTGTCTTCTAAGTGCTGCTAAACCGTAGTTGAAGCTGAATATTAGTAACTATGGAATAAAGTGAAGCTTTTTTAAGGTATTTTACAATATCAAAGATTCTCATGAATATTTGAAGCACTAATAAGTCGCCTTCGTCTACATTGATAGAGGTACTTATGCATACCTTAGGTACCTAACCAGGTATTTCGTGTGCTACTACCTCACTACCTAGGTAGTGTTCGTCTTGTCCAACGGGATTGCGCCATTTTTGCTAAACCTGCTACGAAATTCACTAGCTATATAGACACTATTTTGTGGCCAATCTTTCATCCACAGCACTAGGAAATCGGCATTCCAAGAATGTGAAGTCTCAATCTCGATTGGTCTAGTGGTCAGGATACCTGCTTGTCATTGCACAATTCGCAGGTGGCCGGGGTTCGATTCCCCGATCGAGAGCATCTTTTTGACTATTTGTGGAATTACAAATTAATATTTTTTTTTTTCGTCAACATTCCTTGCTTCGTTAACTAACTACTGGACGCTTCGTACTTCTTGCAGTCTACACACGAGAAAATATTGCGCTGCATTAGTTCTTTTTTGTATGCGCAATTTACCACGCAGAACCACGGTTCTCAACCATCGTAGACCTATCACGACACCCCTATTCTCTCATAGGTTAAACCCTTCCCAAACTTACCTGTTCAGGAAGCTATCCAAATATCTGAAATAGGGCAATTTACTCTTTCATATCGTTCATTTGCGACATCATAAATCTACTAGGCTAGCTTGTCTGCTATCTACCAGGTAGGTATAAGTAGGTACTCCGGTGGGTATCAATAGCGCATGAGCCGGGGCAGCCTTGAGATCCCAAAATGTGCGCGCAAATTAGGTTGCATCGTCAAATCTTCACGGGTTTTAGTGTCTCCAGCTGGCAAGAACATAGTCGTAATTAGAAATCACAAAGGATAAGGTCTCTAACTGGTCTTAGAAACTCGCATGTGGTTAGCCTCCCAGTCAGTCGAATATAGCCGCCGGCTTGACGGAAAGCTTGACCAAGACAACATTATCCAATGACCAATATTCCAGAACCTACCCTCTTATAGTGCCTGGGTAGTTTTCCCACATCCAAACCCCACGGGGTTGTAACACCTTTATTGGTTCGGACAGACGAGCCCCGGAATTTGGAATCTCTCGTGTGAGTGATGAAGCTTCTTGTCGTACCATGAAGACGACATGTCGATATAGACATCAGGCTCTGATTGGTTCTGGACCTTTGGACACTGCATTATGGCACGGAATATGGGGTCGAAAGCAGGACGACGGAGATACGGAATGGACATCCTGGCACGATTAGGTCTTTTGTTATGGAAATGCTCCATGTGACGCCTCGAGAAGCCTCGCTGAGCCTGAACGTGGTGTCTCGCCGTCTGGGGGCTTCTTATACTTATACTCCTCCGGATAGGCAGTGTGAGTGTGATCGTCTTTCCGTTAAGCAGTGTAGATCATCCAGCGAAGATCCCCCGAAGCGATGGCGCCCTCAAATATGATCCCCTCGATCATCATTCCTGCTCTGCTCTCAGCTGTCGGCGTACAAGCCCACGGCATTGCTAGCGCGATAGTAATTGATAGTACCTTGTACGCGAAGAGACATAACATAGACTCGCCCGGCTGGCTTGTATGACTGACGCTTGCGTATAGCTATGATGGCTACAATCCAAGCTACCAATGGAAGAACCCTCTTCCCACGGTGGTAGGCTGGTCCGTCCCGGACGACTTGCAGTATGTAATCATTATCAATCAGTTGTGAATCTACAGTACGGGGGCTTGACTAATGCTTAAACGATGTAGAAACACTTTCATACCTCCAAACCAATTCAATACACCTGATATGGTATGCCATCTCGGTGCCAAGCCGGCGGGTGCGGCTGCTCCCGTGAAGGGTGGCGACGTAATCGAAGTACAGTGGACGCCGTGGCCGGCGTCGCACAAGGGGCCGGTTCTCGACTATCTGGCGAACTGCAACGGGCCCTGCGTAAATTTTCTACCCAGCACACCGTCAGATTCGATGAAGTACTGACAACTTGTAAAGGAAACCGTCGACAAGACCAAGCTGAAGTTCTTCAAGATTGGCGAAGCTGGGTGGATAGACAAGGCGAGCGACCTGTGGGCGGCTAATGTGCTGGCCAACAACAATAACAGCTGGTTCGTCCGCATTCCGGAGGACATCGCCCCGGGGAATTACGTCCTGCGCCATGAGATTATCGCGCTGCACGCCGCCGGCAATCCCAATGGCGCTCAGAGTTATCCATTCTGCTTCAACCTCGCCATCGACAGCAAGGGCACCGCGAACCCGGCCGGCATCCCCGTCACCGAGTTCTACAAGGCCAACGACCCCGGCATCAAGTTCGACCTATTTTCGCATCCGACGGCCTACGTGATTCCTGGCGTAAGTCGGATCCGAAACTTTTTTCCTTGCTTTTCTATTATTAGCAGCCCCTTGCGTCGCATCGAAGCTAAAACGTTTTATAGCCGCCTCTTTACAGCGGTGCGCTCCCTGTCAGCCAGACGAAGCCCGGCCCTATTACTGCCACGGCTACTGGTGTTCATGCGTATACTGCGCCCGCGCATATCAGAGCACCAGTCGTGCCGACACCGCCACCGCTGTCCATCATACCAACTACACTGGCACTTTCGGCAAGAGCTGCATCCCCAGTAGTGCCGCAAGCGACACAAGCATTGTAAAGATCCCCCAAGTTGAAGTGAAGTGAGCATGTAGCATTCCTTTCAATGTTGGTGCGATCGGACAATGGATAGCCGGCGGGGGGGCGTTTTGTCCTTATAGGGTCAACAAGATTATTATTATGTAGGCTATCTGGCGATCAAATACCAAGACCGATTTAACTAAACTATAAAGAATTATCTGCAGTACCAATGTAAGTAAGTCTTGCGACATGATTAAAAAAAAAGGACATTAAAGCTTAGTTCGGATGTTGGCTAGATGTCATGATTGAGAGAGAGAGAGCCCTTGCTTGGCCAAGCTTTCTCATGACGAAGGATAATTCGTGGGATGAGGTCTTCTCTGTTTTAAATTCTGAGAATAGCATCCTGCCTTGCGGCTTTCCTCCAGGTTCGGTGTTGCAGCGTTAAGCGTAGCAGGGTTCAATTACGATGGGATGTTCGAGGTAACGTCCCCCCCATGCCGTTAATGCACTAGCTACAAATTCCCCTTTGTGATCACACTGCTTTTGTGATTCATCTTTTTTTTTTTCCTCTTCCGTTCTGAATACATTCGCCTTATCATGGCGGCCACACGTGGTGAATCGGGCGAACCGGGGGAAGGATAGAAGCGTCACACGGACGAGGACGAGCCGGCTTAGATGCCTCTTGCGGCTTAACGAGCTATCTGTGCATTCATTGCTTTTGATGGGCTTTTCGGAGGCCGGGCCCAGAACAGGTTGCAACGTCGCTGTTTAAATTTGTTCACATTGCCCAAAAATGGTCTGAAACACAGCATAGGGCCAAAACATCTGTTGATCCGTCGTTTCGGAAATGATGATGAGCCTTGGCGCCTCCACGATGTTAGTCTGCATTTAAAGCTAACCCCCCGAACCCGGCCGAGACTAGCGAAGGACTGCCGCTTAGGTAGGAGAAGACAAGGAGGGTTGGAGGGGAAGGGGGACTTGGGCTGACTGGGGGGGCCTTACCAGGATTTGCTTTACGGATTTCGTATGGCTCGTTTTTGGCCTTGATGAATTCTTGGCACGCCCGGGGATGGGTCGGGCTGGGTCAGGATGGGTTGAATAGAACTTGGGAGCGCTGGGATCGAATCACGTGGCACGCTTATATTCCCGGTTGAAGTTCTAGACTTGTCCCAGGTAGGAATGTAGAATTTAACGTACATACTGCCGTCGATACCAACCAGTGGGAACTGGCTGAGAACAAAAAAAAATCCCTGGCGTCCCTGGCGGGAAACCAACTCCATAGCGGACTACCTTTCCAAGTTCCAGCACCGACAAGGCCCAAGGTAGTTTGATGATGAACATATTACCTAGCTAGCTTGGATCCTTCCAATTGACGTCTTATGTTATTTTTCCCTTTTCTCGTATCTGCTATTGGCGTCTGATCTACCTTTTTTTCCTCTACTTTTTTTTCGTTTTTTCTTTTACGTAGTTGCGCGGTGGACAGAGTGGTCGGAGAAGCTCCAGACAGGTCGAGTCCGGTCAGATGTTCCGTCAGATAGCGTCCCGGCTCCGTCATGGTCTGGTTCGATCTCACTCACCTCCATGAATCGACCCGCTTGCTGTTCAGTTCGCGCATCCTGCTGAGCATCGGCTGGGCACATACGAATCTCAATGGATACTGAGATGAGCACTGGGAAGTCGCCGGCGTCGGTCCAGAGCGGCACTAGGAGTCCCGCTTATAGCTTCGTAGCGCCATCCCGGAGCGTGAAGCGGCCACGTCCCGTCAAGAGTTGCTTGGGGTGTCGGAAGAGGAAATTGAGGTGTGATCGAGTCTCGCCGTGTTCCCAGTGTCAAAAGACACAGCGTGTATGTCGGTATGCGGCTGAAGGCGAGGTAGTAAGCTTGAGTGATGGCTCGGATGGGGAGGCGGCCGAGAGGAATACGAAGAGGAGTCGTCCTATAGCAAATCAGGAATCCGGCCAGCGCGATACAAACTACGAAGCTGTTCTCGAAGACCATGCCGTAAGGCTTGAACAGCTAGAAGGACGACTGCTCTCGAGAACTTCATCTCTCACTGAGTCTGGTAGTACTCCGCCACAACGTCCCGCGGCATCATCCGTTACGATTCGTGGTTTGACGGTGAAAGGAGGTCTACGAACGCGTTTTTTTGGTCAAAGCAGCACACGAGTTCTAGTTAACCTGGTAAGCTAGCTGCCTTTTGGTCAACGTGACCGCTTTAGCTAATTTCGTCATTAGTTTGACGAAGCAAAAGACTTTATGTTTAGCAGGAATAAATCTAGCGACATCAGGGAATTATTCGTAAACATCCAGAAGATTCATAAGGCTCTTCAAGATGAGCACCGAAAAGTCACCGCTCCTATTACCGTGTTCGTGGATTCGGTCACGCCCATCCAGAAGCGAATGGCAGACGTCATACCGAGTAGAAGCGTCTGCGATACCCTGCTCAGCATCTACTTAAAAGGGTCCGAGACCATTTATCGTGTTCTACACATCCCCTCTTTTATGAGACAATATAATGAGTACTGGGAGGGTAAACCTCAACACGATGCTTTTCTGCCTCAACTGCTCTCAATCTTGTGTGTTGGCTATCGATATCTTGGAGTAGGAAAAGGGCAGTATCATGACCGAGAAGGAATTCACATCCCGACGGCTAGCTGCCTTGTAAGAGCTTGGCTCGACGGCCTGAGGGGGAAGCAACTAGTCGAATTTACAACACTTCAAGCCGAGGTCCTACAGCTCATGGCCCAGAGGATGATCAATCCGCAAAACCAAGAATCCTGGACGCATCTAGGTCTAATTGTACGAATGGCAATGACTATGGGCTTCCACCGGGATCCGTCCGAATTCTCTCAGAACATACCGCCTTTCTGGGCGGAGCAAAGGAGGAAGTTGTGGTATACGATACTTGAGCTTGACGTACATATGTCCATGCACTGTAATCTCCCTTGTTGCATACGAGAAAACGATTTTACTTGCCAGCCACCTAGAAACCTTAACGACGAAGATATTCATCCCGATATTGAGCATCTCCCTCCCCCGAAACCGGTTGACCAAGATACGGATTCGCGTGTTCAGGTGTTTGCTGCCAGCACATTGTCTATGAGGTTCAGGGTAGTGGATTTAATTAACCGCACCGACAGTCTTCAGGACTACCAACAGATTCTGGACCTTGGCAACGAACTCGAACGAGTTTTCGAAGATATAAGATACATGGTCCCAACAGCATACTCGAACGACATGGCAGAAGTCCGACGGCGATGGATGACGAGGGTCGTTTTAGACATGCACTGCCGTCGACCTCTACTAGCATTATACCGGCCCTGGGCATTGGGAAGCACGGATGTCCCTCAACAGATCGTGACAGGATATCTAAGGTCGTCGATGATACTACTCTCCTATCTAGATGAGTTGGATCCGGCTTCCCCCGATTATCATCGCATCTGGCACCTTCACCAACTGGTTCTCAAGCAAGAGATTCTTCAGGCCGCCTTTAGCATATGCTATTACATCAAACAGGCCACTAGCAACTCTGCTTCGCAGACACCGTCAGACTTGGATTCGAATACTAAAGTTGAGTCTATCGAGGAAGCATACACGATCGCGTCCGAGAGCTCAGTCCTCTTATCTCTCCCGCGGCTCAAGCGCGCCGTGCAAAACGTGCTGGATACTCAGATTCAAAGAATACGAGAAATCGGGACGGACTTGAGAGACATAGTCTCGCTTACTGTCGTGTTCAATACTTGCCAGGGCGGGACTCCGGAACAAAAGCGAGAGGCTATCAAAAACGGCTTGCAGGCCATCCTAGATGCAGGCCTACAAGCAATTCATGCAAACCAGGAGAATATTGCCTCGATGCCGGTAAGAACATCTTTAAACCCCTATTTCCAACCCTCTATTGACGTTTTCCGAATAGATTGCGCCACCGACGGTGCCAATGCAATTGAATGGAATGCAGACGGACTCCAGCTTTTTGGGTCAAATACAGCCTTTTATGACGGTGCCGGATGCTCTTAGTTCTGTAAGTATCCCTATAAGCCTTTGGCGAATTTACGAATCTAATGGGTTAGTTACCGGACGACTTTGCTGCGATGTGGGATATGGAGTTCTGGACTCCCGTCCTTCAATCTGGAGCTCCTTGAAAAGCTCCCGTCGACAACTACAATTTTTATGCAAGCTATCTACCACGAAGCTATCGCGACGAAAGCTCTAAAACCTCATCGGCGTTATTCTCACTGGATTTCGAGCTGCGAAACCCCTATTTACTTGGAATCCATTGTAATACGAATCATTCTTGTATACACGAAACGAGGCTAAATCATAACTAGCCCCGTTGTCCAGTTACCTACCTCTAGCAACATTAACTAATAAATACCTAACCCTTGTCGGCAGCAAGGGCCCCAACTCGCGCGAAAAAAACAACAACAACAAACTCGACGTTCTTGGCGCATTATTCCTATTATCATGGTTGACGTCCGAACCTCGTTCCCACGCCACGCCGAAAAATAATATCTAAGCCCGGTCAAGAGATAACCGGCACACATATCTACTAATTCGAATTGTAATGACTGCTTTCTAGCCTTCTTTGAAACAGATGACCGTGACGATAAGTTGATAAATATAGCAGACGCACTGCTTTTTTAATAGGGACGGAGTTGGTGAGGCGAGCATGTAAGGGGTGGGCAGATTGGGTGCTAAAGCCATTGGGAGTAAAGGGCAGAATACTAATTGTAATAATCCAACATATGGAAATTTTAGGTACATATTTAATTCAGCTGAGTTGATAGAAAATTGATAATGACTTATAAGCACTTATTAGATGTTTTGGTATAGTTGTTTGTAACATTTGCAGGCGTTAAATGACTGCGCGCTATCTAATTGATTGGTTAGGTAGCCAAATAGATCCTTCAAAGGCTCTGATTACCTAATGTAATTCATTATATTGATACCCGTGAAACCACCCTACACTCCTATGTAGGTACCTATTCGGGTAGTGCCTCGGCTAGGTAGGTAGGTAGGTAGGTAACCGTTAACCTAGGCCCCGCGTAGATCATGGACAAGAAAGTGCAAACAAGTGATGTTTTGTACTCCCCACATCTGGGGATGCCTTTTTAAGGGGAAGTACGGTCCGGATCATGCGGCGCAGTGCAGCTTCCGATTCCCTTATTTATACTCTAGTTAGTATAAAAAAGTTGTTAGATTTGGGTTTATGGCAACATATTTTCAACTTCAAATCTTGTCCCACTTACCGTATTTACACTTACCTACCTGGTAGCCTTAGGCATTTTTAATTTTATACTCACTCGAGCTTCAAAAAGACGGGAATACAATTCAAGAAAATGCCGGCCAAACAGAAGCAGCCCGTATACGTGCTCGGCGTCGGCATGACGAAGTTCATCAAGCCTCGCGGCAAAGTCGACTACACAGAGCTTGGCTTCGAGGCTGGCGTCAAAGCTATGCTCGACGCCCACATCAACTACGACGAAGTCGAACAGGGCATCGCATGCTACTGCTATGGCGACTCTACCTGCGGCCAACGCGTCTTCTACCAATTCGGCATGACGCAGATTCCCATCCTCAACGTCAATAACAACTGCTCTACTGGTTCCACTGGTCTTTCCATGGCCCGAAACACCATCGCTTATGGCGGCGCTGACTGCATTCTTGTCGTTGGTTTCGAGAAGATGATGCGCGGTAGCCTCCAGAGCTTTTTTAATGATAGGGAAAACCCTACCGGCACTTCGGGAAAGATGATGCTGGAAACCCGCGGTTACACGAACGCCCCTGGCGCAGCGCAGATGTTTGGCAATGCCGGTCGGGAATGTGCGTACCCCCTATTCGGATTTAATAGATTATTGCTAATCTCTATATGTACTTAGATATGGAAAAGTAGGTACCTCTATGCTACTATAGCCAGCATACCTCTCGGTACTTATAGGTTAGATACCAGGTAGCTATACTAACCGCTTGTCATAGATTCGGTGCCAAACTAGAGGACTTTGCAGAGATTGGCAGGATCAATCACCAGCATTCCGTCAATAACCCATACTCCCAGTTCCAGGACGTCTACACCCTAGAGCAAATGCTCAAGTCGCCTATGATCCACGAACCTCTCACAAAGCTACAGTGCTGCCCCACGTCGGACGGTGGCGCCGCCGCGGTCCTAGTCTCGCAAGACTTCCTTGATGCCAGACCGCATCTGAAGGACCAGGCCATACTGATCGCGGGTCAGTGCTTGGCAACGGACTCGCCGAAGCTGTTTTCGCGCAGCGCCATCGACTTAGTTGGCTTCGAAATGAGCAAGCACGCCGCCGAGGTAGCTCTCGCCGAAGCCAAGATCTCGCCCGCCGACGTCCAAGTCGTCGAGCTGCACGACTGCTTCTCGGCTAACGAGATGGTGACACTAGACGCGCTAAGTCTATGCGAGCCAGGGAAAGCGCATGAGATGGTACGCCGCGGCGACATCACCTACGGTGGCAAGTACGTCGTCAACCCGTCCGGCGGCCTAATTTCCAAGGGCCACCCCCTCGGCGCCACGGGGCTCGCGCAGTGCGCCGAGCTGGTATGGCATCTGCGCGGCTGGGCGAACAACCGCGCGGTACCGCACACCAGGTTCGCGCTCCAGCACAACCTGGGCCTGGGCGGTGCCGCTGTCGTCACGGTGTACTGCCGCCCGGACCGGGGCGAGGCGCGCAAGCGCGACTCGGCCGACGTCGCGAGGGCGAACGGCCTCGGGTACAACCCCGCCGTCGAGGCCAAGGGTTTCACGGCCGAGCAGTGCAAGAGCGTGCTCAGCAAGAAGGCGCTGAGCACGTGGGCGCTGCAGGATACGGAGAAGAAAGTTGAGGCGAGGTTCTAATAAGTTTATAATAGAGGACAGATGAAATAGAAAGTATGTCGAGGGGACTCCGCGCAACAGGAACCAAAGCGCAAGATTGTATGTTGTGTTTACCTATTTCTTTTGGGTTCTTTTCTTTATGGATTTTCAGGCATGTCGAAGGGTCGGGCAAGCCACTCATTATTCTAAGCAGGTATTATCAGGTACTTACTTAGGACAGCTACGGTATGATGTGGTATGAGTTTATGACATACTCATACTTGGGTATCAGGTACCTAAGGGTAGGTGCAAGGTATGACACATACAGTATATATGAGCAATTATCGCCTATTGGCTTGTTAGCCTTATTCGTGTTGTTAGCCCGAGGCCGTTCCGAATTATATGAAAGGTAGTAGTTAGCATAGACTCACCTGGAATGAATCGAACTTATTTTCATAGAAACTGACCCTCTTTCTGCTGGCGTTTTAAGGTTTCTGCTTAATCTTAGTTAGGGGCTAACGTCGCTTGTGTATATGCACCTGTCTCATCAGGGGGCGGAAAAGTCAGAAAGGAATAGGGGCAAGTTGTCATGAGGATTCTACAATGGCAATTTTTTCTAGTTATATTATGTACCTCTAGGTAGGTTTGCAACCCGTATGTTGTTTGTAGGTGAGTTTCTGTTATTCTTTGTCTTGAACCTTAATGATGGCGAGCGCTTAGACCATAGCCTGACTCAAATTCATATCGGTTGAACTTGTCCTCTTGCTGACTCCCACTAAAATTAACATATTACTTAGGTAAAACTTACCGCCTGGGTTATGCTCCGATGAACATCAGTGGCTTTCGGGGCCATGCTCAAATCCGTCATATAATATTACATCTAAAGGGTGCGCTAAGGCTATGAAGTTTGTTAGTGCTTCAAAACTTAGACAACACTATATCTCCGTCATAAGTTTAATAGAACTTGATACACACACTAGGAAACTGTATATAATAACGTCAGGTCTCACCCCTGAAATAGTACTTAGCAATCAGAAGATAAGGGTTGCACCATGAGTATTGTTAATATAGTATTTAAAATTCACTTTATTGATATAATTATAATTGCGACAACGAGGTGGCTTTAACAATCTAGAAGTGCCTCATTAGCAACTGCGCCTCTAGCGAATCTGCTTGTAGTCTATATACTATACTCGTTGAATTTTACTTCTAGGCCAGGTCTACATCAATCAGATGCTCTTACATTATCTAGACCGAATCTAGAAGAGGGAAGTATAGGTCTTTCTCTCTCTCTCTCCTTTTTTTCTCTCTTTTATGACGAAATCGTTCACGTCCAGCGCGATGTATTAAAGTAGATGAAAACAATGTGTTGTTGCACGAGAAAAGAAGAAGGAACAAGGAAATATGTCTCTCCAACACCAGGGGTCCACCTAGCCGTACCGTGACACTCTCCCTTAAAGGTGTCCTAAGTAAGTATGGTTTAGTAGTGGGTAGCTAGGTATATAATGCGAAGCAATTATCTCGGCAGGAGAATAAAACGAGTGTTGTAACCCTCCTCCGACATAGCGAAAGTAGTAATCAACCTTGATGCTGAACTTCAACGTCTGCTGTTCGTCGTCCCATAAAGTAGCCTTGGCATCGTCGTCCCATTCAGGTAGTAATTTCTTTGCAAGGTCTACAAGATGATATCGCCAGAGTATAGGCGCTACGTTATATCCGCGGCTCAGCATCGATTCCCTTGCAGGCCTGAGCATGGAAGGCCTCTGCCCTCTCTGCAGACATGGATACGGACAACGGGGCCGTGGGCAAAGGTATATATATATATCCAAATCGGGGCGGAAACCTCGACAATGTGTCTCAAAGGGCTGGGCTAGAGAGTGGTTGAGCTGAAGACGCTGTCGGGCGAATGCTCGCGCTTCTCGGCATACGTGCATGGCTATCGGGAATGTGATCGGGAGCAGGGGAAGCCAGTTCCCGGGTGCTTCCTGGAGCCATATCTCACGCTCATCAGGGGGCAGCGAGAATTCCCAGATCATGTGCCGAAGCTCAATAGGTAGCGAAGGGAAGAGGGTGAAATATGCCGGCTTTGTATCTTTCTGGAAACCCACTCCTCCGCTACGCCACATGTAGTGTGCTAAGGATTGCTTGGCAAGCGCAGCGGCAAGTGCAGCTTGAATAGTTTGGGCGTCCATGATTATTTCTAGTCGTAGGGTCTCTGGAAGCAATATCAGTACGGTTAACCAGTTACCATCCTGATATTTATGTAAAATTCTCTGTATCTGATAGGAAAAGTTAGTATAGGCTAGGTACCGATCGAAACAAAGCTATTGATGCTTTATCTGACGGTAGCTTTGTGGAAGGCGATCTTCATGTCTTGCGAGAATGACATTGTTGTTGAGAAGCACCGAAGAATCTTTGATAACCACCGAATATCAGAAGGAAGTTGAATATATCTGATGCAAAGGGCTAAGGCGTTCCCGAAGTAATTCTGGAGTATAATCTTTGCTTGTATACACAACTGAGACACGCAAGTAAGAAGTAGCTCGCCTCTCTTTCAACTGTATCTACAGTATCTTTGGACATGGTGTACTACCCATTGACATGCGTATCTACCTGTTATTAACTGACGAAACGTATGATTGTCACCACAAGCAGCAGCTCTATTTGTGCTGTTAAGGCAGGTGCCCGATCATGTTTTCAAAGGTGTTGTACCGGTATCCCAGATGGTACGTCAAATATGGACGGTGTTATCATCGTAGGCGCTATCAACTATCAAAAGTAAAAAATAAAATGAAGTCATTATTAAAAATTCCTTTCAGACTACCACCTGCCGCTTTCCAAGATCGTATTTGTCACCGTCTTTGAGGAAATAAAAGATAGATGAACTATCCGGAAGATGTTTCAAATCGCTTCCCTCTCTCGACCAAAATTTACCATCGTAAATAATCACGTAAGTGCCGCGGTACACCTCTGCATCATTTTTAGATACGATGAGCGCGGTATTCTCGTCGATAGCAATGCCCAAGAGCTCCGGTCGGACCTTGAGAATGTCGAACATATCGAACTGGCGGTTGCGCACGAGCACGTGCTGGTCAATGGCAGCGTTCTTCAGGAAGCCAAAGCCTACCTGGTGGTCGCCCACTAGGATCTGGTTGTTGGCGGTGTCCCCCCGAGCAAGAAAACTGCCCTGGATAGATGCTCCTGCTGAGCTTCCGCTGACGACGCCCCCGCGGTCGAGAACCTCGTGAAACAGACGCTCTGTAAGGGTACCCGCGTACGCGTCTACAAGACGCCACTGGCGACCGCCGCCGAAGAACACACCCTTAGCAGCGCGCAGCGGAGCCGCGAATTCCTCCGTATCGGCCACCTTCGGGTCGTATGTGTGTAAAACGGTAACGTTCTTGGCGCCAAGTCTACGGAACGTGCCCGCCGCAGCGGCATTGTCGTCGTAAGTGTCGCTCCCTTCGGCAGTAGGGATTGTGACGATTGGAGCGTCCAGGCCTCCGGCTAGATCTATGATCTTTTGGTAGATGGCGTCGTCCTGTGCGTTACCCCCTATAATCACGAGGGTGCCGTTCTCGGGCCCCACATACGGCGAGCCCGAGCGCTCCATGACCGGCCCCGCGGAGGCGAGAGCGGCGAGGGCTAAAGTTGAGTATTGGAGAATGCTTTTCATGGCTACTACTGGCTGGGACTTGCTGGAGAGAGGAAACTGACTATAGTCCACGACAGAATTAGAATGAGAATCGTCAACAACTTTATATAACTGATCATTTTTTTGATCGGATGTAAAAGAAAGATCCGAATACTCCCCCACTCCCCAAGTGTTGAGCTAGCCAGACCTTCCTATTGCATCTTGATTTTGACACCGGCAGCCAACCGGATCGTCTAATCCGATGTCGTGCAATTGAGAGTAAATATCGCCATCTATGGCGAACATTTCGAAGTGGACCAACTAAATCTCACTATTGAAAATTGCACGCCAAGATCAACTAGGTACTCAGAGAGTGTCTTTTTAATAAGTTGTTGAGTGATGAATAATTTTTAACTAGTATCTACATGAACGTAAGTCGAAACTTATGACTTGTATAAGTTGAAGGCTAATGCTCGTCGAGCTAAAAAAATGGCGTAGAAAATGACATGATAGACCGCGAGCCAGCGCGAAATGAATACCATCTAGGGTTGAGAGGCAAGCCAAAATGTCAAGGAACAAGCAATAGTACATAACAGTCCATAATAAACGATGACTACTAAAACCAACCTATGCCAAGTCATCTTGAATATATCATATCGATTTGAAGGATGTTGAAATAATTAGGTCACACGGGCTTTTGAGGTTGCGGGTGAGAAGTAGGTAAACAAGCAATTCTATTACTAGATAATCACGTATCTACCTAAGATATGAGAATAATGATTGAATTGAATCAAAGACTTTTCTTTTATGTTTTCCAATGACCCAGATACTTAGCTGACAAAGAGCCGTTTTGTCTTCTGGCGCGATGAATTTGAAACACCAGAGAAGAAGTGTAAGAAAAGCTTCAACTTCTAGCCAATAGAATAAAGAACCGAGAGTATCTGTAAGCCAAAGGGATACCAGTAACTAGCTGCCTAGGTTAGGTACATATTCTATGCAAGGGGCACCGGTCATCTTGGGGTATCAGGTAGCTTTATTGTATAGAGGTAGTACTATATCTATACCAGTAGACCAGGTAGGTGTAGGGTACATTTTGAGGGAAAGCTGAGCTAGACTCAACTAGACATCTTTAATATCTTGCATTTTTATAGGCCTGCCGAAAAATATGAACAGGGAGGTAAGATTGGCAATATATCTGCAATCTTGTCCTGAAGGATTGAACATGAGGAGCGACTTGTTCTCAATAAGATGACTAGGGTTCTAGCAAAGTTCATATTAAGGTAGACATGCGAGTTAATGTATGAAAAGAAGTATTTATAGTCCTCATCAACAAGACAACTCATAAAGTTACTCAATGTGTTATTTCGATGCATTTATATGTAGTAGCTGTATAATGATTTAACTGGGCGCGATAATGCTGTATGGGTTAGGTATTAGGTTTCCCATAAGGTAGGAGGTAGGTAACAAACATAACCCCTGTCACTTTGCATGTGTAAATACTTTTTATAACCTTCGTCCATACCGCACATTCCCCCTCGGACCCCTGATTTCCCCTCATTTCACTTTTTTCTTCTCTTTGAGCCGACCTATGAGGCGAGGCATTCTGCCGTATCAGCCTACCGGAATTCTTGGCTTATTCCGGATAACGAGGTCCCTAGTCGGTAATCTGGATGGTAGCATGGCATGGGGTGAGATGGGCTGAGCGATAAGGGGAAAAGTAGATTGCCAGATTGCATACGCCAAAGATAGGTAAATAAAATGGACACACGATCCCACCACTACGGTACCTTCGTCGCAACCACCTCCGCAGAGAGTTCCAGCTCGTGTAGTATGGATGCTTCTGGCGTATCAGGTCTCGATAAGACGGTAGCAATGGTTGGGCAAAGCGACGGCGGGCCGTCAAAGGCTGGCGGCGCCGACGTCGCGTTGTCCGAAGCCGTGCAACGAGAGCATGGCCTGTCGTTCTGGGAAGCTGCGAAACTGTATCCGACTGCTGTCGGCTGGTCGGCGTTTGTCTCGATAGGTGTTATTATGCTGGCCTTCGATCCGCAAATCATCGGCAACATGTTCGCCATGCCCCAATTCCAAAAGGACTTCGGGTTCGAACTTGATGGCGAAGTACGTAACTTTGATCAACTACCAACCACCATAAGAATTGCGTATAAAGGGATACTGCTAAGATCATTCTTCTAATAGTATGTAATTCCGGCGGCGTGGCAGACGGGCTTATCATTAGGCAACCCCCTCGGACAAGTCTTCGGCGCATTGTTCTCTGCCTATCCCTTGGAGCTGTTCGGTCGCAAGTGGACCTTTTTCGGATGCATCCTGCTGACGGCGTGTCTCGTCTTCATCCAATTCTTCGCGCGCTCCCTGCAGGTCCTCCTTGTAGGTGAACTACTAGGGGGACTCGTTTTAGGATGTTTCGTTGTGATAGGCCCGACTTACGCATCTGAGGTTTGTCCTATGGCGCTCCGTGGCTTTTCGACGAGTTACACCAATCTCTGCTTCGTCACGGGACAACTTCTTGGGAACGGGGTTACGACTGGGACTTCCCAGATCGAAAACCATTGGGCATATAGTATTCCATTCGCTCTTCAGTGGTTCTGGGTTGTGGTTATCCTTCCCGGCATCTTCTTCATTCCGGAATCACCGTGGTGGTTGGTGCGCAAGGGCAGGATTGAAGACGCCAGGGACGCCCTTCGCCGATTATCATCGTCAAAAGTAGATGTCGACGCTACATTAGCCGTTATCGCCGAGACGGATCGGCTGGAACTGGAGATGGAAGCAGGTAGCACTTATCTAGACACTATTAAGGGCATCAACCTGCGACGAACCGAGATCTCTACCGGCGTCTACGCAACTCAGGTCCTGAGCGGAATCTATCTGATCAACTATGGAACTTACTTCTTCGAACAAGCAGGACTGCCACCTAAGGATGCATTTAATATGGGTATTGGATTCTTAGGTTAGTTTCCAGTCAATATTTCCAATATTTCGTGGCAGCAACATTTGAGGATGCGAAAGCTAACGGTGTTTGAAATTTTCAGGCACGGGCTGGGTCTGCACTGTGCTCTCCTGGTTTCTCATCGCTCGCTTCGGCCGGAGACGCATATTCAACATTGGGCTATCGGTTCTGATCGTTCTGATGTTTGTAATCGGGATCCTGGACAGCATCCCTGGCCGACCTTCGGGTGTTGCTTGGGCTGAGAGTTCACTCATGTTGATTTGGAATGGTGCATACGACTTGTCGGTCGGACCTATCACATTCGTGATTTTAGGAGAGTGCTCCGCGACCCGTGTCCGATCCAAGACAATTGCGGTGGCCACGGCGATACAAGCGGTGTTTGGGATCGCAATGACGGTCGCTATTCCGTATATGATCAACCCCGCAGAAGCGAACATGCAGGGGAAACTCGGTTATTTTTTCGGTGGGCTGGGAGTTATCTGTCTTATTTGGTCCTACTTTCGGATCCCCGAAACGAAGGGTAGAACGTACGAAGAGCTAGACATTCTATTTGATAAGAAGGTTCCGGCCAGGCAGTTTAAAGGATATCAGGTCGATGTCACTGCTATATCGGCCGAGAGTTGAGTTCAACAGTATACTATATTTTGACCTGTCATATTAAAGTTAGGTACCTCCTAAGTTAATATAACTTCACTAGATTCCTTTATATGGTACTGTTTAAATTTATGATCACCTTCCTCTTACATACTGTCAAGTAGAAGCTATCTCTGCACTTTGGTACCACTTATCTACAAACTCTTCAGTATTATGGACTTAAAAGTAAACAAAAGCTGCTTATAAACGTAGCGGCCGTCTTGGCAGCGTTGGCAGCTTGGCTATTGGTAAGATAGTACAGCAAAGAAATGTAATGGAGGCGGTGTAGGTTACTGTTAGTTACCTCTGGGATAGCAGATATCAAAACAGTTACATGATGTTATCAATCAGGTTAGTTGGAGGTAAGTAGGTAGGTAGTTGTAGTGTATTAGCCTTTAGGAGGTAGTTACCTGTTGATTAAAGAAAAAAAAAAAGAAAACCATCATTGTTGATTCTGTTTGCAAGAGAATCTGATAAGTTGAAAAACCAACCACGCTATCCTCTTGATGGTTTAGTTGGTCATCCTACTGCGGAAGCCTACATACCAATTAACGATCTTTCAGGCTCGCTTCTAGGTAATATTCGGATCTTTTTCTTACTTTCAGATCTCGCTTCTCTAAGGGCCATCGTACTTCTATCGTCATTGCACTACGTTACGAGGTCCCGACAAAATTTCAGTACGATCTCAAGGGCCTTGATATATACCTTGATACCCTAGAAACCATCCACAAAGACGTGCTTGATTAGTTGTTCGACAAGGGTTAACAACTGGAAAAATTGGACCTCAACTCCACATCATCACAGCTATTTATTATTGTACACAGCCCCCTTAAGGTACATTAGCGGTGACATTCATTCTCCAGTCAGAAAGGCCAAAAGACTTTACCACAAGGTTTGATGCCATTCGAATTTACTTTTATGACCGGCTATGATTTGAGACGACTTAATTGATTCTTATATGATTTCATTAACGATTCGATATACGTCTGATGTTTTTTTGGTGTTACTTGGCGTTTTGTAAGTGGAGGGCATGAATTACGTACCATACACGATTTGAATGCGGTGAGCTAGGATGAATACAGACTACAACCTCGACGAGCTGGACATGGCTCTTAGCGAGGCCCGCCATCAAGCTGCCGCTGTATCCGGGCCCCCGAGTCGGAGAGAAGGTTCCCGCCGCACGGCATCTAGTACCCGGCGCGGCAGTCTGGTTCCTGGAATGGGTGCCCTCTCCTCAGTTGCATACAGCCCCGGGAGACAGCACCAGCGAACCCGTCTCGACGAGCTCAACCTCTTCAACTTCGACCTCCGCGAGCTTGCCCGCGATATTCTCCTACCAACAGGCCAGGAAACTCGCGTCTCCTATCACGAGTATGCTGTCTTTGCACCTGGCGAAGGGAACAACGAGACCCGCTCTCCCAGCATCATGTCTGACGGAGAAGATGCAGTACGGATGTTTCGAGATGCGGTTAAGCATGGACACGGTTTGGATCACGAGGTGAGAGAGACCTTTATATGGCTACACCAATGCTGCGTTTCTTATCTTTCGGAAATAGTAGTTCAGCCAAGCCACCCATATACTTGGGACTAGGGGACCAGCTATGGCGTGCAGTCGTCACACCCTCAGCAATGAAAGAATATAGGCTGATTGAGTGGGGTCAACGCGCAGGGAAATTTCACTCCTATGCCTAAGGGGAAAAACTTACTTCAAGGGAGAGTGCGACAAGTGTGAGTATATATCCCCCCCCCCCCCCCCCTCTATAAACACCCCCACTCTCCGCTGAGCTTGTCATCCAGATCAGAGCTAAGCAGATTTGGTAATAGGATTGCACATCGACGTGTTCGTCAGGATTTAGACGAACAGCACAATACGAATAGTACGGTCGATGGATTGTATCTCACCATCGATGATTATGAGTCCCTGGGATTGCACTCCGGCACCCTGCCGACTCTTCAACGAGTCACACTCGAGTCATCCTTCTGGGACTCGAGAAGAGAGACGATGTGTAAGTGAACAACGGCACAACGACCCTTATCCAGTATAACAGGGAACGAAGCTGTAGCGTTCCTTTTCTCTTATTACGTTCTGCAGAATGTACTAACATGCAGCAAGACTTGACATTAAGTTTCTCTTCCAGCCCCCAGCCGCCTTATGACTTCCTCTCCATGGCGTATAAGATTAAGTCCAAAACGACAACAGCTCTCATACGGCGATCTTTCGACACAAGGTGGCATGCTGAGGACGCACTGGATGAATACGAGCGCCGACTAGACTCTTGTAGGGCAAGGTGGTCTCACCCGCTAATATTACCGATCGTCCTCCTTCAAGTACAGCTTTTCCGCACGGAAGAAGCAGTGAATGCCAACAATGCCGAAGTGCTGGAGCTCGAGGCGCACGTCGACGCAGTGACAGGCACCGTAGGCCGGGCCAACGCCCAAGCTTGGTGGCGGAATCACCAAGGAGAGAAGAATACTCACTTCAAACCATTAAAGCGTCTCTCGACGAACCTTAAAGACATGGTCGAGTCCAAAGTTGGGGGCGGGCAACGAAGCCAAGAATGCTCTCGTACTGATACGCACTCGCATCCACCAGAAGTAGCTAGTTACTACGACCCCGATTACGTGCCGCCGCAGACGATCCACCTAATGAAAGAAGCACACGACGTGCTCAAAGGGGCTATTCAGTTGCTCGACACGCTGAGGTGGATGGAGCGCGCGTTGAAGCTCATAATCCAAGCTGGCGACGAGCTGGACATGCGCGTAAAAGAGCTGAGGGCACATGCCGTGGCCAGAGGGGAGCTGAAGAAAGAGGAGGCCGAAGAATTTGACGACGAGCTTACCGTCCACTGGCATGAGATTAGGCAGTATTTGGACTGCACGTGGCGGCTCTGTACTTCGCTCGAGACGGACCGACGTATGTCGGAACTCCGCTGCCGAGCCCAGATCGACATCATCTACTCGAAGATGGCGCAGGAGGATAACAACCTCAATGCGCGCATGGCAGTAGCATCGACGAGGGACAGCTCTTCGATGAAGGCATTGGCTGTAATCACCGCTCTGTTCCTACCCGGAGAATACATCGGCACCCTGTTCGGCGTGTCGATGTTTAATTGGGAGACGGGCACGGCGGGCGACCCGGCTATATCCGAGGACGCGCCCAAGGGCTGGCCCCATCCGATAGTTATGCCCTCGTTCTGGATTTATTGGGCTTTCACGATCCCCCTTACCTTGTTTATCGTCTGCGCGTGGCGCGCGTGGTGGGTCAACCAGGACCGGTATTTCCGTCGGCATCTCAGCCTCGATCTTAGCGACGAGCGCTACTGGACCACGGACGGTCGACCTCGCGATCTCGAAACGACCTTCGCGCAGGACTTCTTCAGCGTGCTGAGCCGCAGCGGTGCCGGGAGCACCTCCAACCGCACCATTCTGGGGAAGAACCCGACCGGCGTGCGATCCAGGTCGGCAACCGGGGCGACGAGGGTGACCAGTTTTGACGTCAATAGGCCGCAGAGCAGAGCTCCCACCATGCCAACCGGCGCCGTGTCCGGCTTGGGTCTATCCAAGCATATAGCGACGCCAAGCCTAGCCTACACCCACGTGGGCAAGGACAAAGAGATGACAACCGATTCGGAACGCGAAGGTGGTGAATTGGGAGACGGAGGAGCTATGCGGTTCAGACAGATTTCGTTCGCCAGAGGGCCGCGGATACGGAAAGAGGACGATTCCGCTGTTTAAAAACGTTGATATTTAAGATACCAAATTGGTTGTATCGAGATTGGTTACATCTCACTACCTTGCATACCTACCATATAGCTACCTCTCACACCATAAGGAACATAGAACACTAATCTTAAATTGATAATTTAGAGTCACCTTCTATCTACCCTAGCCATAGATAAGGTAATAAGGTAGTAGGTAGCATGATATATAAGTTTACCCTATGTATCTAGGTAGGTACTTTTGAGTCGTTAAGGTCCTATTGCTAGCTCAAAACACCGACCCGGAAACCCCCTTTCGAAGTTTTTCTAAGCGTTCTTCGGTTATTTCAAAGCACTCAGGCAACCCGGTATCGTCCCAGGAGCCCCCAAGTATGAGTTTCGCGACTCCCGGCGCGCAAGTAAATATCCTCGCCATCCCTACGACGAGAGAGAACACGTGTTAGCCCGACCTTGTAATGAAATCAGGATTACCATTAGCGATAGGCATATTCTTACCGTGGCCGTTAAACCCAGCACAGACCCATTGTCCCGGTAGGCTTTCTATCTTGCCCACGAACGGCACCGAGTCGGTCGTCATCCCGATGATGCCGGTCCAAGCATGCAGCAGCCCCTCCCCGTGGCTCAGCTTCCCCTTCTCGCACTCCGGGAAGCAAGCCTCGAAGTTTTTCACCGAGTCGTCTCTCACCTCCTCGTTGACGATAGCGTCGTCGGCGACTAGACGGCTTGCTGCTGCCGCGGCGCTGATGTTCGGGTTCGCGATGGGCGCGCCCAGGATGATGATGCCGTCCGCCCGCCGCTGAGCCACGGAGTAGAAGTGCTTCAGCGAATGTCGGAGGGACATGGTGCCTGGTAGGATATTGGAAGAGTTGAGCGGGGCTGGGGGGACGAAAGCGTGGGCTTGGGCACGGTTGGGCGTGATGAATTGTGAGAGCTGAGGGAGGAGGTGAGGCGCAAAAGCATTCGTGCAGTGGACTACCGTAGAGGCCTTTATCGTGCCCCGAGGCGTTTCTACGTCCCAGGCAACCTGGTCAGTAGATGAGGAGGAGGCCGACCTAGTTACCGAAGTCACCGGGCAGTGGGTGAAAAGCCGGATGCCCTTTTCTATAGACTGCGTAAGAAGCCATTGGGTCAATTTCGCCGGGTGACTCGAGCCGGCGGGCCATTCATAAGCAGCAACCGCCTTCTGCACGCGGGTTACCCTCCGTGCTTCTTCTCCGCCGTAGAACTTGATATGGGAGACGTCGCCCCCGGCTTCCTGATACTCCTTGAAACTGCGCGCGTTAAAATCGGCGAACTCCTGCGTCATGCACACGTCAAATGTAGTCGTCGGGTTGAAGTCACATTGCACTCCATGCTTGTCGACGAATTCCTTAACCCTTTCAAAGACGAGCTTTTCGTTGGCGATGATCTTTAGCGCTTGACCTGGGCCATGCAGTTGCTTGTAGACCTGGAACCCGCGGAAGGCATCTGTACCGGTTGTTGATTAGTGTGAACAGATTCTGCGTTCGTTCGCAGTATGAGACCGACCTGGCCGCACATGACCTGCATTCCTTGAACTTGCTCCGCTGGCAGCTTCTCTCGCTTCGAAGATGGTTATATCCCCTGCCGGTACACCCCCTTGAATTAGCTCGAAGGCAGTTAGAGCACCGGAGATACCTGAACCGATAATGACATATTTTGACTCCTCCGGAACCGGTTCGTTCTTGTTGGCGTGTAAATAGGGGAAAGAACGTGTGGTCTGTTGCCAGAATGACACGCAGGGCCTGGCTACCGGCAGGGTTATCTTTTGAGACTCCATAACTTCAAAGGTTCTATGTTCAAGGTAAACGGTGCATATAAGAGTGTTTCCATTTACAGGCTACTTCAATTCCAAAGTTATAAATAGATAATACATATATTTATATTTACTCTATAATACCCGAGGCCTTTCATGATACCTCTGCGGGGCAGCCGAAGGAGTGGTCCGACCCGAACTAGATGATAAGAATTTCTATGCCGGCGCGAAGGGCCGAAACTGCGATAGCGGATTGATTAATTAGCAGAGAGGCTCGCATGGCATCTTGATTGGGTAATTCAGTACCGATCCGTCATTATTCCTGTTAGTCCGCCTACAAGTTGATATTCCTGCTTCTTAGAGCAGATATGAACGAGGCTTATATCTGCAATCAGTATAGGTACCTAAGGTTATATTCGATTCATATAATCTTTTCTAATTAATGATTTAGATTACCCAAGAACCTAAACCCAAAGTTCATCTAAAAGCATCTTTACTCGAATAGTTTACTTTCTAGTACCTAACTTTTGATAGCCCTGAAATGCCAATCTTCCACTCAAGCAAGATGGCCAAACTTACTGTGACATAGTCTAATAGGTCGTGCGACCTGAAACTTCTATATTTAGTTAATATTATAACTGACCGTTTTTTCAAAGTTATAAAGTTTACCAAAGCGCAACTTCATGCTGAGGGCATTTTCAACAAATTTATGTTCATATAACGTTCCCTGTAAGTCGGAACGCCACAACGGACTCCGCATCGCACAACAACTCCTCACGAGTGCCAACCTAAATTCACCACTTACTTTTTACAACGCGACAAGGCGATCCCCAATGGAGATATTGTATTCAAACCAATTCTCTCAAATTGGCAATATGAAGCGATACCTACTAGTAGGTAGGTTTCACATTACTCACACTAAGGATCCGTTCACGGCTGCTCTACTATGTATGAGCTAGCCGTGAGGTAGAGTCTGCGCTACGGAACACCGTTGGGGCTATCCAACAATTGCTGCCGGACGGACATTCTCGTCAAATAAACATGTTAATTTATATTACTAGATATTGCCAAAGCCTTTATTTGACGTTTTTACGTTACATACCTATTACCTATATCCATTCAATTTTCGACACGGGAAAGAATTCAAAAAAAAAAAAAAAAATCGATTAACGCTGCTCTATTCTAACTAATGATGATGATGATGATGATGGTGATGATTTCTAATAATCTAATCCAATACCCGCTGTCCAGATGCTTAAAATGCAATGCAAGGTATAAATAAGTACCTTATATCCAAGCAGATCTTATGTTATGTTAGGTTGAATTATACATGCTCTTCTTCTCTCCCCCCCTTTTTTCTCTTTCCGTACCCTACCTATACCTGTACCTATACCTATACCTAGCTCCTAACCTAACCTAAACCACCTCTACACACCCCTCATAAACCCCCTCTTCCTCACGGGCGGCAGCGCGCCCTTCTCCTTGGGGACGACCTTCTTCTGGCCCTCGGCGCGGGCGTCGAAGACGGCGTAGGAGTCGGCGGCGCGCTCGGCGGCGCGCTGGCCGCGCTCCTGGCGCCACCGCCCGACGTAGCAGCACAGCGGGAACAGCGCCGTGTTCACGGCCACCCACGCGAACAGCACCCCGAAGTTCAGCCCGATCTCCGAGTGCAGGTCGAACAGGATCGACCGGCTCGCCTGCACGATGTGGTGCAGCGGCCACGCGTACCCCCACCGGAAGAACCCCGGCGCCAGCTCGATCGCGTAGAACGCCGTCGATACGTTGGTGATGACCCACTATTGCGCGCGCGCGAGACGTGAAAAGTTAGCAAGCTTCTTTTTCCCTTTTTTTTCTGTCTCTTCAAACTTTTGCCAAACTTCTCATAGAGAAGTCGGTCACTCCTCCCCCCCTGCGAATGCAGGGGCAAACTTTAGGACAAGAGCCTAGGTAATCTGTGGAACGGAGGAAGACGAATAGGGGAGAGAGTGGGTGGGGTGGTACTTACGAAGATGAGCCAGCCCGCGGTCCAAGGCTGCCCGATGATGATGCCCATGTTCTCGCAGGCGAGGCCCAGCGCGCACATGCCGACGAAGTTCACCATCCAGTAGACGGCGAAGGAGCCGTGGCCGTACGCGGTGGGGTTGACCGCGGGCTCGGTAGGCGACGCCGGCGGGTTGGAAAAGGGGATCTGGAAGGCGAGCGACACGAACGAGTAGATGAGCGACACTAGGAAGTACGTCGTTGTCGTCGCGAAGAGCCGCCACAGGATGAGCTGCCAGAAGCGTAGCGGCGGGTGGCCTTTGGGGATTACGAATTGCTAAAAAAAGAAAGACAAGTTCATGTTAGTCCATGTGTGTGTGTGTGTGTATGCGTGCGTTTAACGGGAGGAGCTGTATAACAAGGACACGGTCCGATTCGTCCCGGGAATAAAGTCGGACGGTGAGTAACAATGAATAACACATACCATGTGGATAGGCAAGAAGAAGGTGAAGGAGAAGAATGCAACGATGATAAGGTAGATCAGACCGATGCTGACCGTGGGTGTAGCCGTAGACGGGCCGAAAGGACGCAGATCGAGAGATAGGGGCGTGACACCGGGGCTCAGGGCCGCGGGCGCTCTGGCAATCAGGTCCCTATCGAGAGACGAGTTGGACATGACACTCCGCGTCCACGTCGGGCCGAACCGTGCTGCGAACTGGGAAGCGAAGGCGTTGAACAGTGGGACGATATAGCTGAGGGTCGTGGTCTCCTGTCTCGCGGACTGGGTGATGAACTGGATGGCGCCCGTGGGATCGTAGGACGAGTTTCCCGTGGAGACAGCTTCCTGTAACAGCGCGGTAGCGTTCGGGTTAACGATGATGGCCGCCCAGCAGTCCCAGTCGTACACAGCCTGCCTCACAGCAATCGGATCGTATCCGAACTCGTCGGGTGACACGATGGTGTACCCCAACTTCCGCGTCACCGGCGAGTCGATGACCTCCTGCGCTATCTCCGTTACAGTCGGTCCTACGAGGGGCGTCACGTCGTCGTACGGCGCAACCTGGCCGTCAAAGTCGACCACGAAGATGGTTAGGCTGTGGATGTTCTTGTCGATGTGTGTGAGCACGCCCCAGTACATAGACAGCACTGCTAAGATGAACGTCATGAGCATCAAAACTAGACAACACGGTCAACTTTACTGTCTCTCCCAAAAGCAGCCGAGGCTTGACTAACGCGTCCGAAGCCAATTAATAACCACCTCTCGCCGGACCTTGGCCATCCTCGGATCCCAAAACCCGGCGCTCCGGTGTGGCTCCTCGTACCGGTCTCCTGCATCTTCGACAAAGTCGTTCTCCCGAGGAGGAGGGTCCTGAAGAATTGTGCCGTCGGAGTCTTCCGTATCCGTCGCATATCTCAACCAACTCGTCTCGATCGTCTCTGGTCTGAAGGGGCCGTCCCGAGCGCCAGCCGCAGGGCTCGTGAAGGAAATGACCGAGGGCCTATGCGGCAGCGACATCTCTTACTACTTCTATTAATTTATATATTCGGAAACCCTAAACCTAAACCTAAACCATGGAATAAGGGATATATTGTGCCCCAACAACAAAAGAGTGACTGGTGCTTGTTTGCTAGCGGAGAACCCTCGGAAGAGAGTTATCTCTCGTATATAAAGCTACGATGAGTCGATGATGGTCGGATATAATACATAAGAGAGGGGGGTAAGTCCCAAATATCCCCGAGTCACCGAGCCGACATATTCCTATTCTAAAAGTAAAATCAAAGCTTACTATTACTACTATGGTACCCTTTTTTTCTTTCTCTTTTTTTTCCTTCTCAGATCTCTTTCGCGATGGAGATAATGACAATGTACCTAACATGGTGTACATCGGCATAACGGCATAACGAGCTAAAATAATAACTTAACTCCGTCTCGCGCGCGCGCGCCATCTTCGTGCTGATGTCACCTTTTTTTTTTCGGTACCCGAGGACCGACTACCCAACGTCCATGACCATTTAATGGGTACTTTTAAGAGGGAAGGGGTGCGAGGGCTGAGAAAGATCCATCCATAAGCAGGTAAGGTCCTAGATCCATCGCCTTCTACATCGAATGTTGGTCTAATCGGGACCGGGCGTAGTCAGGTATCCTTCCTTCATTGGCACCACATTGTGCACCTGGCCTTTCGAGATAAGGTGAACGTGCCGCAGTGACATGAAGGAAAGATGGCGTAGTGTGTTGTATGTCTTGCTTGATGCCATGCAGACGCCGCCCCGAATTCGGCTGCCGATAAAAAGATGGTCAGCCAGTCAACGAAACGAACGAACAAGAAAAAAAAGCTAGAAAAAAAAAGAGGTCATGACTCGTCATGATCAAAAGATGGGTACGATATCTCGGCGTGGTTCAAATATGATAATGCCGCTACCACATTAAAGCCCATTTGCATAATTCCCGGTATTATCATCTCGGGAACAAGGGGGAATACGTGAGCATTTTTATAGCATTAGCATTAACTTCACGGCTGTGATATGGTTAGGTATCTAATGTATGGGGGATATATGTGCATATCTGATAGTCGTAGCGGCTCACCGCAAGATGCACGTCGTAAACGACCGAGCCCTACAATATGCGCGAGGGCCCCCTTTCCTTTTTTTTTTTTTACCATGTGCTATTCGACCAACGAATGCTACCCCCTTCGATACGTGAGGTAGTGTAACCACATAGGCAAGTTTAAATAAAACATGCCATATCTTGGCTTTGAGGAGCGGGGGTATGGGAGAGGTGGGATGGAGGGGATTCGTTGGAAGGATTCTGGCGTTTTACTCCTTGGTAAGCAGCCTTCGGATATTCTTGATGTTTTACTTAGCAGTGATACGAACCAATCCTGTAACTGCTCGCCGTATATGTAATACAGTAGACCTTATCTTACTGCTGCTACTCTAGGTATCTCGTATCTTCGGTGCCTTTTTTTTTTTTTTTTTTTTTTTTTTTTCAGTGTTGTGATGAGGTGATGTGATGTCTGACCTCACATATAAATACGTTGCAGAAGATAAAATCACCTCATGATATCGGTTTTTTCAAACGCGAGGCCGAAACTCGCATGAGCACAGTAATGAACCTTATAATACCATTACAATAACAGGTAATTAATGTTGAAATAGGACTTGACTAAGAATTAATAATGACAATTACCTTAGGTTATAGTTCACAAATGTCTCAACTTCGTCTTTAAACTAAGATACCTAACCCACGATATGATATATTCCATCAAGATGCATTCAATTACCGACTTATGGACCCGCTACGAATCCCGAGAATCCAAATATCCTTGCAACTGCTGTATTAAGACAACTGGATCAGGAAATACCTTTGTCACGAGGTCGAGTAGAAGATAGGTTAGGTACCTATTGAGAGTTCCTTGCGGAATGACGAAGTTGTTCAACTAACTAGGTAAGGTAAGCTGGTTCTAGGAACCTTCCAAAAAAAAAATCAAAAAAATCTTCGTCTTCCATGTTTCGCATCTGCTACCTGACAAACACATTGAGCTTGAGTGTTGTCACTTTGGGTATTGGTACAAAAAAAAATCGCCAACTGGCTACATCCGTATTACAAACCAACACTAAACGACATAATGACCCCCCAATTCCTATGTCTCATAAGTAGCACTCTTCCGAAGCGCCTCGTCCATGTCCCACTGCTTTCCACGAGACCCCTAGTAGAGTAAATGTAATATTGTATGCGGTGCTGAAGTCCACTCGAGCCGTTCCGTTCCTTTTGTTCTGTAATGCAAAAAACCCTAACGCCATAACGAGCCAGTTGTTGTTTAACTCATCATCTATGCCATGCTGAGCGTATCTAACCTAGCCAAGACGGGTTCAAGGCTTGCCGCAAGACGCTCGACCCGTCGTGCGGCAATAATGGCAACGGTATCTTCCTCTGAAGAGTCGACAAGTTCATACCTAGCCAAGGCCTTTTCCAGTTCGATACCTCCAAAGATGTCGACAGCAATGAGGCTATCCGTATTCAGCTCAATAGGCGCCGAGGATGTAATGATTGTTTCGTCATCATAAATGTCCCCGTCAACGTTTCCAGTTGAGCTCTCAGATGCTTCAGGCAGGGCGGTAGTTTCTGATACCGGAGACTTCAGTACAGGAACTACATCCTTCTCGGCTTCTGGCGAAAAGGATTCCACAAAACTTGATCCCTTTCCACCCAAAACTTCAGTGTCGATGAATGAAACTTCGGGTGTCTCCAATAGCGCATAGACGCGAGGTTGATAATTGAAGTCAGAGTTGTTTGGGGTTAGCATACTCAAGTCCATTGGTTGCTCAGGTAACATGACCATCCCTATCTGCTGATGTGGATGATTCTGGGGACCTGCCATGAAAGTGTTGGCATCTCCGCGAACCTGGGGCTCGGGCTGCGGCTGCGGCTGCAAAAGAGCAGAGGGTAGGGCTTTCAGAAAATCAGAGAAGGACGGCGATGAAAGTAGCGTCTTGCTGAAATCGGTAAGGCGCTTGTTCTCTTCTATCAAAGCACGCATCTGAGCACGCAAGTTGCCATTTTCGGTTACTTTGCTCGCAATCTCGGTCTCAAGCTGAAAGATGTACTCTGTTATAATATTAGCACGCGGTTTTTGCTAATGGACTGTGAACCTTACCCTTCCTTCTCGAACGGAAAGCACGTGCAGACACTTTATTCCGTAGCTGGCGTCTTGCTTTACTGCTAAGCTTCTTTCCTTCTTCGCTAGCAAGAAGTCTCTCGTCCTCATCCATCTCCTCTTCTTCCTTCTTGAGCTTGGGTAGCTGGACAGCAGGGGTACTATCACTCGACTCTGCAGGAGTAGCACTGGCGGTCGATCTCATCGAGTTAAGAAGTTGGGTAATCTTCTGCTCCACGAGTGGGTCTGGTGGCATCGGGGCTTTTGGCCGGGTTTGCTTGGCTTGTTGGTTTTGTCGGTTTTGTTGCTGTTGAATGAAATGCTGTCGTTGTGCCTGTTGCTGTGCCTGGGCCTTTGCCAATGCAGCCTGCTGGTGCATACCAGGATACATCCTTCCAACATTGCTTGTCTGACTTGGAACGATGGGCGACATCATTGTTTGGGGTTGTCCTCCAATGGCGTTGGGGTTAATCGTCGACTCGAAGAAGAACGAAGCATCCGCCCGGGATTCGAAATCGAGATCCATGGCTGTGGGGTTTATATTCTGCGAAGGCAGAGTGTTGAAGTCGAATGCATCTTCAACCGAACCCATCTCCGGAGACAGGTAGTCTAGATTATAGCCGGCGACTTGGTTGCTGTTGTTGAAAGCAATCGTGCTGGCAAGAGCTCCTGGGACGAAAGGGGTCTGCTGCTTGTACTGATCATACTGATGGCTGGGGCCGGGTAATACTTGTGCCGTCGATAAGATACTGGGTGTTGTTACCGCTGTTGAGGTCATGGCAAATTGAGGCTTCACAGCGGTAGTTGGAGAGCCGGAGATGGAAGTTGATCGGTACGATTTTGAGTCAAATTGGGAAAAATCGAAGAGCTCAAGGGGGTCAGCCATGTCAGAGGTTGAGGTTGAAAGCAGGCCTGATGACAGGCCTGAATTCGATGGAGATGACATGACAGAGCAAGGGGATCTAATTTCTCAAATCTGACTTCGCGACGACTTCGCCTGTGAAGTGATTGTTTGATTTTGTTTTGTTCGGTTTTATTCTGTTTAGTTTTTATTTTGTTCAGTTCAATTGTAAGATAGATGTTATGTGTGACAGGGGTTGTTGTATTTATATAGAAATGTTGGAGTGAGGGAAGAAATAGAATCAGTAAAAACTCGGAAGAAGCAAGAGAAGATGAGAAGACCGGGAAACTCTTGGATAACACGGGTGTCTGGGGCACCGGTGTCTAAAGCTCGCAGCAGCTTGGGGATCCTTAAGTCAAATGTGTGGCTTTGCAAGATACTTGGCTAGCATTGAGCTAGTATCTGGCTAGTATTTGGCCCCGTCGGGAAACCTTTACAAGGGTTGTACCATCCAGATTGTCGATTAAAGAGGAGAAAGGACGCGTCAGCTAGTGTGGAAAGGTCTGTTTCCCCTTCCCCTCCCCCCCATAGAGGCCGACAAGACCAATAGGAGCCTTGCACGAAGGTGTACAGTGAAACCCTACCATAACGAGTTTAACTTTTGCATAAATCCGGTACGATTTAAGCCTACAAAAGTATAAATTCTATGTAATATACGCTATTATGAAAGGCAATTGCGGGTGGACTTAGGGAACAGGTAGTACCTAAACCTTAGATACCTGTAGATCTCTTGAGTCTTCGATAGTGGAATCTTATATAACTCGCTAACTACCAGATCATTACCCTCTACAGCGCTTTGCAAGGCTCAGACCCAATACTCTCGGCTACCTAATCGCCAAAATGCCTCCACGACCCAACTTTAAACATATCAAGAGCATCAAAGACCGTACAGCGCAGAACAAACTATAGGGCTGACTACCTATGTTTGGAAAGCCTTAGCCGAGGAGCATGCTTTCTATCTGTACTCTAAGTAGGTAGGCTTTACTTTTCGAGTATTTAGAGTTTCACGGTTTCAGGTCCCAATCACCGTATTCCGTTGAAGTTAGTCCCGGGAGCATTAACGGCACGACGGCAGCACTTGTTCGACCGATGAGCGGTGCGGTAGAGGACCGACGAAAAAAAAGAGAAAGGGACCTTTAGGAATACCCCGTCGGCTCTAACGGGATCATGGCAAAACCTTACCTTAAAACTGTTCCTATTGCCAGCAGCTACAATATACAAAAGCGCCTATCCAATACAAAAAAAAAGTGTCTATTCAATACAATACAAACACATCTCGTTCTTCGCGAATATTTGTTTTAGTAACGAATGCGGCGCCTCCTACGAAATTTGTCAAAACCGTGTATTATAAACAAATACCTACCCAACAAGCAACTAACAAGCAATTGACAAACCTCGGGGCAACTCGTTCGAGGCTTGAGGTTATGCACGGAATAAAAGCTCATGTGATGGATGCATGATATATGTGCATAAGGTGCACCAAGTGTGTGTGCATATTGTGTGTATAAGCTAAAAGGAGGAAATTAAAATATGCCGGACACGCTTGCTCAGCCACCCCTACCTAAATCCTATCATCTATCTATCTTATTTAACCTGCCTGAATCTCGGACTTGATATGAACCTAACTCCATTGTTTACACCGGCACGATACCTAGCACAACCAGCATGCTTCAATTTTATTCAACCTAGGACCATTATACCTTAGGTCAGGTAGTGATCTTCTGAGGTTAGTAGCCTTGTTTGAGAGATCATTTCCTTACCTGTCATTGCGTTCTTGCCCCTTGTCTAAACCCAGAGTTTCAACGGCGGAAGGTCGGCGCTAGAGTGGTACCGACTTGTCGAACCGTGGTTTCGTACCTAGGTAAGATCTAACGTATCGGCAGTTCAGGGTCAAAAAGACCCGTGCTTGCCGTGATAGCGCTCTAGAATCTATGCCAAATATGGTCTAGCGTATGAGGCTTGGATTCCATGGAACTTCGAATCTCAGCTCGACAGGGATTTGAACAAATTCAACGTTTTTCGATGTTAACCACATTTCAAAAAGCAGCCCAAGATGTGGCTAAGCAAACGATAGTATGCGCTACAAGATACCTAGGTACAAAGAGACGATACCTGAGGTACCTCGAGTACCCAAGTACTTTGTACCTAGGTACTTATGTAATTAAGTACCTATGTAGCAGCCGTAGCAATCAACGCCTTGGGACCTTTTTCGTCTTCTCATGTCTCGTGGTATCGTACGCATAACAGGTATTGAAAAACCATGGCGAATGGTATAAAAATAGCTAATTGTTTTAGCCGCTGTGATGAGGCTCGTTTCGTTTCGATGTTTCCTCAGCCATGCTCTCCATAGACAAATACGGAAATCAAAGCCGTAACTTACCACCCTTTTGCAAAGCAATCGCCAGAATCACCAGATCATATTCTACCTGTCATGCATTACATAAGTAGGTAGCATCCAGAGGCAATGCTCTCAATTCGAGGCTCGAGCAAGGCGATAAACCGTTTGGCTCAAGGTTCGATCACGTCGAATAACAGTATACACGTATACACGTATATGATTGATTATGTTCTAGGTACCTACTGGGAATCGAATAATCACGCTGTTCGGGGCGGGATTAACTTAAAGTACCTGGGCCTAGTAGTTATACATAGTAGACCGAATAAAATGACAATTTAAACTGCATTTCTGGTGAAACTTGTGTTATGTGCTGGATCGATAGAGGCTTACGTATAACCTGTTGTCGCTGAATAGGTAACCAGCCCCTGATATTACAAGCTAAGATATTAGGCAAGGGTATCATATCATGCGTGACGATTCCCTCCGTAGATGTCTCCCGAGGATCATGCAGCGAAAACACTGGAAAATAATAAGCGTTGATTGACTAACATTGGCTCAATATGGAGACTAGATGCAACTGCTATCCCAATCGGGGTCAGCATTAGATAGCTTTGGGAGTATCTTAGGCTTTTGTCCTTCAAGATATATCTCTTCCCGAGTAGGTATTCCTTATTCTCGAGTACAAATAACTGGGTGGGTAGAAAACATCAACTGGAAGTGCCTGAAATTCGGTTCAACTTAGAATCACAAAACTGTCTTGATAGCTTCCATCTAATTAGCTATCTAAAGAAGCCAACCAACTCCAACACTGACCCCTGGTATGACCACCGGAACGCCGTCGTCCATGATTGCAAGAATCGCGCTTTTACTAATTATAGTACAGACGAAGAAGAGTTATGAGTAACATCTACGAGGACTTTTCCTTCTTCGACTTCTTCTTGCTTTTCTTCTCTGGGCTATCGTCCGAGTGCTTTCGCTTCTTCTTGGAGTCTGCGTCAGCCTCGCCTTTAGAAGGCGTTTCCTCGGCAGCCTTAGATTCGGCCTTCTTTAACTTCTTGAGCTCCTTCTTGCTGACAACTTGTGGCGTTCCGTCGGCATTCACCTTCACATCGCCACGCTCGTACTTGCGCTTGAATTTGGAGACCGAGATACCGGCTGCCTCTGCTAGTCGTTCATAGTCGGCCTCGGACAGCTTAGCAGGTCGCGTAGGAGTAGCCTCGGCCTCGTTGGTAGCCTTCTTGCTCCTGTCCTTCTTTGCCGAGTGCTTTTCCTTCTTCGGTGTCTTCTCTTTTGACTTGGCTACTGGTTGTTAGCTGATATTGATGTAAGATAAGGCTTCATTGGACCACTTACCAGTTTTAGTGCCGTTCATATCTACATCCGAATCCTCCTCTTCGGATTCATCCTCGTCCTCCGCGTCTTGCATCGGAGTGTCCTCAACTTCTTGGATTAAGGGCTTGCTAGTTGTCTTCTTGGCCGACGTGGCAACAGCATCGGCATCGGCATTATAGCCTCGCGTCGATTTAACCTCGAACTTGGATGGTGTAGCACCATTGGGAGCAATCTTGGTACCCTTAGACACCAATGGCTTGCCTTCTAACTTTCGTAGTTTATCCTCTAGTAGTGCACGAAGACGGATACCCATATCGGCCCTCTCCTCGTCGTCCACTGGGATATCCTCGCCATCGGCACCCTCGGTGCTCAGCTCAGAAAGAGCATCGACACGTAGACACAAAGCGGCCTTAGCAGACAGAGTACGGGCAATTTTACCCTTGTTCTTACCAGTGGCCTGTCCCACAAGAGATGAGTGGTAGATAAGACCATACTTGGGAGTGTCGTGCTTGGTCTTCAGAGCACGGAAAAGCGCCTTTTCCGCACCTAGGATCTGGATGGTACTACCAGGGCTCTTTGCCAGCTTCAGAAGAGAACCGGTATGGGCAATAAGACGAGCACCAACTAACTCGCCAAGAAGCTCTGTTAGGTTGGGGGCAATTGCCTTCATACGCGATGTCAGATACTGGGAGAGCTGCTGTCGGTACTCAGTGAAGCTGATGACCTGCTCAGCAAGGAGCTTGATGTTTTCCAAATCAAATTCAAGAATTTCAGTACCCATACTGACTTCTGCAGCTGCCTTGACGCGAGCTTCGATATCATCAGGTAGGATTTCAGAAAAGTCGGTATTGGGGGCGTTTTCTCTCGTTCCCATGGTGAGGATGATGCGAGCATAGGCAAGGTTGTCTTGCACAATGCGGTCCAACTCAGGGAAATGCCATCCATACCACTCCTTGACTCGCATAGCATAGTTGTTCAACTCCTTGTCCAGATCGTCGAGAAGCTTGATAGCTTGGACAATCATAACGTCCACCTTATCAGGGGAGAACTTAAGCTTATGGCGAGAAATGGAGTGCGACAGGGCAAGGGCCATGTTGCCCAAGTAGTCGCTTTCTAGCTCAGGGAAAAGCTCAGGAAGATAGGTCTTAATGGCGCGGAAGAGATCATTGGTAGATGAATCGGATACTGGAGTGATGTTCAACTGGGGCAAAACGTTGATTGCGGCACCCAATTTCGGATCAGCCACAGCAAGCGACGCCTTTCGTTCCTCCTTTATATCGTCGAGTAGATTCTGTAACATCGGGGTGACTTTTCCTTCTGTAAGAGCAGTGTATTCACCCAAGGCTTGAGCCGAGTCTTCGAACTTGATCATCTTTTTGAGCGATAGCCTATGCGAAGGTGGTGAGCACGCGCTCTTGGCCAATTAGTAGTAAGATTGGGATAGCAAACTTACATCGAGTTAATGGCCTCGGCGCTGGAAAGCTGCTTCTGGACATCATCTCGTGATAATAACTTCTTGTCCTTGGCCTTGAAGAGACCGTAGCTATCATCGCGTCAGTATAGTTGTTCATGCGCACCATGCACCACCATGCATCATGATGAAAATTGCGAGAACTTACCCCGCAGGCGTCTCTGCGAGAACGAAGAGAGGCATGATTGCAGGAGTATAATAACAATATATGTGTTGTCCTGCAGAGCTCTCTTCGCGACGGCAATGGTTGTATTTTAGGATTGGGAGAAATCTTGGAGCTATTGCTTGTGTAAAAAATTTATTCGAACTTTCGTCGTGAAAAAAAAATTGGGAAAGCTGCAGCATAAAAGTGGAGAGAGAATGTGGGAGCCAGTTAAAACGCATATTTTGACTTGACCCCTGTGTTTCCTATCTTTTTAAGAGCATAATATTTATTAGCCTTTTATAAGAAGCGTTCATCATTATGATAAACAGTATATTTCCTTATCCCACATTCAACATCCCCAAGCTGCCCTCTAGCGCATGCAACAACCGCAAGAACTAAGCTCTAGTTAGAACATCAACTTACTTCTAAGAGATACCTACCTACACCTAAGGTATCCTTTCATTAAATCAACGACAGCATATTTGTCAAAATGGAGGGCCTCTTTTTTAATATTAACAATGGGTGAGTTTAAATACTTATGTGAATAGCTTCTTGATTTATTTACACGAGCTAATATAACGATTGATATAGTTACATCGAGGGCATCGTACGGGGATACAGGAACAGCCTTTTAACTAGTGCTAACTATTCCAACCTGACGCAATGCGAGACCATCGATGGTATGCGCCCCTACATCTACGCGTGAGAGCATATAGCGATAAATCTAACAACTCCGGCTAGATCTTAAGCTGCAACTTGGCCCTGCTTACGGCGATTTCCTCGCCTCTCTCCCTCCCAATCCATCCACCTCTACTCTCGCCGCCAAAACAACCGACAAGCTCGTCTCCGAGTTCCGTTATGTCCGCGCAAATGCTGTCGGATCCCTCGCGCAATTTTTAGATTATGTAACGTACGGTTATATGATCGATAACGTCGCTCTTCTCATCACGGGCACCCTACACGAGCGAGACACGCGCGAGCTGCTGGACCGATGTCATCCTCTCGGCTGGTTCGAGACGATGCCCGTCCTCTGCGTAGCAACCAACATCGAAGAATTATACAACAGCGTGCTGATAGAGACGCCGTTAGCCCCCTACTTCAAGGGTAGCCTGAGCCACCAGGACCTGGACGAGTTGAATATCGAAATTGTGCGGAACACGCTGTACAAGAACTACCTCGAAGACTTCTACAACTTCGTCAACACCCACCCAGACATGGCCGGCACCCCCACGTCGGAAGTTATGAGCGAGATCCTCGAGTTCGAGGCCGACAGGCGAGCTATCAATATCACCCTGAACTCCTTCGGCACGGAGCTGAGCAAGGAGGACCGTAAGAAGCTGTACCCCAACTTTGGCCGGCTCTACCCCGAGGGCACTTTGATGCTCTCGAGGGCGGAGGATTTCGAAGGTGTACGATTGGCCGTGGACGGTGTTTCCGACTACAAGGCCTTCTTTGATGCCGCAGGTTTAGGCGGTGGCCCATCAGGTCCGGGTAACATGGCTGGCGGGGCCGGCGGTAACGAGAGAAGTTTAGAGGACATGTTCTACCAGAAGGAGATGGAGATTTCCAAGAATGCCTTCACGAGACAATTCACACACGCTATCGTGTATGCGTGGGTGAAACTTAGAGAGCAGGTAAGGCGGTGAAATTCCGTGTCTCCTTTAACTTAAACTTAACTCTCATATGCTCTGCTATGTCGGTCTCTAACTTGGAATATAGGAAATCCGCAACATCACGTGGATTGCCGAGTGCATAGCACAGAACCAAAAGGAGAGGATCGGCAACTATATCAGCGTATTCTGATTTCTCGCATGCGGCTTCACAAACCACCCCTTCGCTCTCTTCGAAATTGTAGAACTAATGGACGGGATACCAAGGAAATAGCATCCAAACCTGCGATTGTCACGGGATTTTCTTTTCTTTTCTTTTCTTCTCTTGCTTTTTTTTTTAAATGGCGCTAGGCTGATGGACAGACAGTTAGAGCTCCCACGCGTCTCGAATGGCTGCTGGTGTTTTGTTTGTTTGTATTGTACATAAGCACATGTTATTACAGAGTATGCATCTAGGCCGCCTATATGATACACTCCACATAGCACGCACTTCCACTGGAAAGCTTTATATCGTGATTTGGTCCTTCCAGGTCGCCGGGCTAAGACCGAGTGTCTCGATCATATGCTTCCACCTATCACTTCCCCTTTCCTTCCTCTCCATATACCGCAATAATTTTTGTCGTCGATGAAGCATCAACCTTAGATCCCGCTTACCCACCTTGTCCTTGTAGCCTCGCCCCCTTTCCAACTCGGTGGCCAGAGCCCGGATCTTGGCCGTTAGGATGGCGATCTGGACTTCGCTGCTTCCAGTGTCCGGACCGCCTCGCACCGGTTTCTCTTCCCTCTCCTGTCCTCGTGAGAGGGCCTTGGGCCTTAAGAAAGTATCGGTCTCGTGTCTCCCGAAGGTCTCGACGCATCGCCGGATATTGGCATGCAGCCTATCCTTCGCAGAGCCGTTGTCCATGTGCGTAATCCTGTTCAAGGCCTCGACTGCCTTTGCGTGGTTCCGCTCGTGACGTTCGATGAGCTGCTCGTACTCTTCCGACCCAGCAGGCACGAGTTCTGTCGGCATCGGCCGAGTCAGAGTATAGGCGAGATCGACTGCGGAATCCAATTCCTTCTTGTCGATGAGGTTGTTCAGAATATGGGGCGAGGTGGGGAGCTCGTGCGGTTCTTCCAGAGGGTTCCCGTCGTCGTCGACCGGTGGTTTAGACAGCTGGGCTTGGCCGGCGGAGTCGAAGGACTCGACAAAGGGGGTTGTGATACCGCGGATGGGATCACCATACTGGGACTCTCTGATCGCTTCGATCTCTTCTCGTCTCTTTAGGTGAGCAGCTTTGCGCTGCTGCATCTGAGCCCATCGGTAAGGATCCTGCTTAGACAGGCGCTTCTTTTCCTTTTGCGACAGAGAGGCAGTTTGTGTAACTGGGAGGAGGGACGAAGTAGGTGGTTTTATGGCCGGTCGAAGACACACTGGTCAAGCAATTGTCAGTCGGAGAATAGCCATGAAAGTGAAAATCAAGCTCAATTCTTACAGGAAAAAGTACCAAGGCGCTGCACGCCTGGTATTCGGGGCGGCATCGCGGCGTTATATTGAAGTCGATGAACCGCTGAGAAACGAAATCAACTTTTAGACTTGAACTTTTAGCAGTTGGTCCACTTTATTCCTCAGACCTGGGAAAAGACGGGATTGGGGACTTGGACCCCTCCGACATCCATTGGAAGATGTTGCGGAATGGATAAATGGCTTTACCGATTTCTGTGCTGACATAATGAATTGAACATTTCAAGATGGACCTCAAGTTCCCAATGCAAGGTACTTTGGTACTTGACTTATCGAGCTAACCAATCAGACTACCCCAATCGAGGCTAGCGTCTCCAAACCCTAAGCTTTCGCACCAAATCACAATTCGAAGAGCAGCTGAAATCTACCCGCGAACTTTTTTTTCCCTTTCGCTTGGGAAATTCTATCAACCTTGACCAAGACGATCGCGCAACGCAAAGCAACTCTTCTTCCTCACCCTCATTTCACCTCCTTTTTTTCACAATCAAAAGATTTGTGAGTTGCTCAATTTCAAGTCAAGATGGCGCCCACGAATCTCCCCGCCTCCATGCACGCGACGTCTCAGGACATCGAGCTGCTTCTAGCTGCTCAGTCCCATCTCGGTTCCAAGAACTTGCAGGTTCACATGGAGCCTTACCTCTGGAAGACTCGCGCCGACGGTGTCAATGTCATCAACATTGGCAAGACCTGGTATGACGAAGATTTCTTTATTCCGAATTATCTTTTTGGAATTGCGACCTCTTGACTGACCTTGGATTTCTTGGTTTATAGGGAGAAGATTGTCTTGGCTGCTCGCATCATCGCCGCCGTTGACAACCCCGCCGACATCTGTGTCATCTCCGCCCGTCCCTACGGTCAGCGTGCCGTCCTCAAGTTCGCCGCTCACACTGGTGCCGTTGCCATCGCCGGTCGATTCACCCCCGGTTCTTTCACCAACTACATCACCCGATCTTTCAAGGAGCCCCGCCTGATCGTTGTCACCGACCCCCGCACCGATGCCCAAGCCATCAAGGAGGCTTCCTACGTCAACATCCCCGTCATCGCCCTTTGCGACACTGACTCCCCCACCGAGTACGTCGATGTTGCCATCCCCACCAACAACAAGGGTCGCCACGCCATTGGCTGTGTCTGGTGGATGCTTGCCCGTGAGGTCCTGCGCATCCGTGGTACCATCGCCAGCCGTGACGTCCCCTGGGATGTGATGGTCGATCTTTACTTCTGTACGTTTTTTTTTTCTTATTTATTTGTTATAGAAATCCGAGCACGAGACAAAGGAGAATATATGAACTAACATAATTAATTACAGACCGTGACCCTGAGGCCGAGGCCGAGGAGAAGGTTGAGGAAGAGAAGCTACCTGGTACTGAGGAGGTTGGTCCCGCTGCCATCGAGACCGGCACCTTCGGCGCTGCCGCTGGCGAATGGGAGACGGCGCCCGCTCCTGCTGGTTTCGCCGCTACCCAAGCCGGTGGCTGGGACGGCCAGACCGACGAGTGGGCCAACGCCACCGGCGCTCCCCCGGCCGGTGAGTGGGGTGCTACCACGGACGCCAAGGACAGCCAATGGTAGGACCAACCAGCTGTCGGCACACCGGAGGTTAAGGCTCAGGAACAGGGACAGGATGGGCGAGAGCAGCAGCAGGAGGAGCAACGTCTAGAAGGTTTCAGTTTTGAGTCCCAAAACATGGAGGAGAATGTGGACTGGTAAAATTATCATCACCTTTGTTACCACTTGTACACCATGTGTACCCCCGTCGTCACCGCCACCACCATCGCGATATTTTGATTTTCTGCCGCGCAGACGGGACAGGAGGAGGCTCGGGTCAACTTGACCGTACTAATGAGGGAAAGATATCCGTGTTTCGGGGGCTGGTCTTACGATGTCTCCTTCGGCAGCAGAAAGTGGGTTTTTATGCCTGTTTTTTTCTTTTTCTTCCGTTGGAGACTCGGTCGTAGTGTCTGTCCGCCCGGACTCGGGGGAATGCCCTGTACAGTCAAAGGGGTGGACTTAATCGTTATCCCGCCCGCTTTTTTTTTCCTCCTAGCTTAGCCGTAAGAAATGAAGAATTACAAATGAACGAAACTTGATGAGTTATACTTGGCGCGTGCATGGGTGGTTAATTACCTATACTTAGTAGAGGATTGTGTTCTAAGCATGCATACTTACGAATTATGCTGTAAAAGCTGTCGTATTGGTCGATGGCTATGTTCTACTATTAGGGGGCATGGCCCTGATATTAATACAGAGGGCATTGAAATCATTCCACCATCATGATTACATTGCTATATTAACAGATGAGACGAGGTTGTAAACTTGGGGGTATGATTAATTGATATGTTTACAAAATCAAGAGCAGTTAAGTACATCCACATCTTCCTAGTCCACACCATCGAAACAACAGATATCACATATTCAACACAGCAAATATATGATATGATATACAAAACAGTGAGTTAAAAGGTATCTCTCAAACATCTCTCGTAGTATTTATGAAAACCATATATCTACGGGATGTGGTATCTTTACTTTTTTTACTTTTCTTTTCTTTTCCCTTCTTCCCTCTACCTCTGCCTCTCCTCTCTCCTCTTCGCGAATAATTCCAACAAACAGACCGACCGAATATTTGGTCCTAGTCAAGGGGGTATCTGAATAATTGAGCCGGAATCAAAGAGCGCAAATAACACTACTCCTTTCCCTCTCTCACCTCTCTCTGCCCCCTTTATGCTTCCTCTTCCCACCATGTGTATATTTCCCTTCCAACCTATTACCCCTATATCTCCCCGCCTTTTCTCTGTATGAGCTTCTCGCTGTCCTTCTTCTTGACCGTCTCTCGCTCAGAGTGGTTTGTTCATTAACCTAAGTGTAAAAAAAGTAAAAGGAAGGATGGATCGCCTAACTCCGTTGCTTTTGATGAAAATGAATGCACCCATCCTAATTTATTACTCGTCGCCGATGCTAACTGCAGCGATTTCCGCCACCCTTGCCGTATGATTCGCGCCGGAGTAGTTTTTAAAATTTTTATAATGTATAGAGAAAAATGTTACATCCAAGAAGAGAAATAAGGAAATTTCGCTCAGGATTGAGCAGACGACGAAATGCAAAAAATACATTCCTAATGTGTGGTGAACCATCTCTCCGCGCTAGTACGCAGCGACCAAAGGCATACAGAGCTTGTCGTGGTATCGCATTGAATATTATATAAGATGGGCGGCGGAACTTGTGTACTAATACAATGGTGATTTCCCGCCGGCCAAGTATCGCCTATGATGATTGACGCTAAACGAAAAGAGCATGCAAACGATGGTGATATACAGATAAAGGTTGAATGGTCTCGGTGAGTGGGTTGATTAGCATTAGTAGTATTTTCCTTGGTAGACAGCACCAATCTGTCTATTCCAAACTGGCTGAGTACTTTCTGATGTCCTCGTCACTCAAAGCACTCATCCAGAGACATCGTTCGGTAATGCCTTCGATAGGTTGAAATTGATAATGAGTGCTAGCCTCAAGTAGACGAAGTAATGTTTTCACCACCGATGCAGCAATGCGGCAACGCTCGAAATTGACCAGAGGTGCTGTAGTCGGCGAGCTAGCTATCTCGGACGGTCGTTGCGAATTATAAAGTAAATCGTGGATATAGATGCCAACGAAAGGAATACATCCCGTATCAGCAGCATCTCCAGGACCCTCCATCTCCGCTCGTAAATTGTAGAAGTTCCTTGTTGGCGAAACCAGCGTCTCCAGGTCCCTCATAGTCTTCAGATCAGTAGGAGGAACCATAGCCCAGGTACTGGCAAGCCTTGCCACCTCATTCGATGTCAGTGCGATAGTGATCTGGCTCATTGTAGCGAAGTTGCGATATCTCCTACAATGAACGGCGATATGAAGAAACTTGATGATGCAGCGAGCCCGCTCTTCCATATTTTGAGTGAGTACAATTTCCGAGATTACCCATTTGACCATAATATTGAACCGCGCAACGACAACTTCAACACCTTGAGCATCCGTGTTTCGAAGGAAGTCAACCCATGACCGCGAGTCATTATTGGAGTTCTTCCAACGCATGTCGATTAGCTCTCTCCAATCAACTTCATTCAATGCGTCCTTTTCAATCAAAGTAAACTGCTGAGCGAGAATCTCAGAGTCGAAGGCGAGGATAAAAGGCAGATGAGCTGTTTTCTTCTGGTTCTTCTCATTGGATAATCTATGCACGTTATGAGGAGCATCTTCGGCACGGGTTGGGTCCCTAGGCGATCCGGGACCTTGATGGTGCATCGCAGTGGTAGGTGTAGTGTCAGGAGTAGGCGGTAGGGGTTTCTGAGACCACAGCTGATGTTCGTGAAGTTGTGGAACATATCCTGCATCCGATGATCCACGAGAGGCCTGTGTAAGCGTCATAGGAGGAGATGGAGGCTTGTCTCTTGACGTAAAAGTAATTCCACCCTCTGTATCAGGAGACGTCCCAGTATTTACGGGATTAGATCTCTTAGGTGAATGGGGTTCTCCAAATATGTAGTCTTCCGTATCAGGCATATCCCCTGACATTTCGGATGAGAGAGCGGAATCATTGTCGCTGTCCACATCTAGGAATGAAGGATCTTCAGGTGTAGTTTCCTCCGCCTTAATCCTATTGAGGCTTTCCGTTTTCTGTATAAACTCGTAGGATGGATGTTGCGAGGAAACAGCGATTGATCGATCCTCATCGCCTTGTGGCGTGTCGGGGCCTATTAGTATTGAGCGATCTGCCCATTCGCGAGTAGCCCTCTTACTATGCCCATCATCTGTTAATCCACGGTCTAGCAGCGGGGTTGAGTTATACGTCTCCCTCGAATCTTCTGAAAGAAACGAAATAACCTCAGATCCTCGGGAAAGAGTGGACTGTCTATTGGGTGGAATGTCGAAGTTTTCCTCCATAGGCGATACCACCGGGGTTTCTTCCTCGCCAATATGTAGTTGGCGGTGCTTTCGCTTCTCTTCTTGGACGTACTCTACCTCGGGAGTCCCAAGAGATCTCTTTTTGAGCTCCTCGAGGTTACCCGGAGGCAACTTCGATGGTTCCATCGAGAGTTTAGCAATTTTCCTCTCGTACTTGCCCTCGAGTTTAAGTAGTGCAGACTCGACTCCTCCATCATCATCAATGTCGTCAGGGATTTGCGCAAGCTTTTGTGCCTCGGCCTCGAATGAAGGCCGCATGATCGGCTTTGATGAATGGGTACTTATTAGAGACACCGGCTGCTTGGAGGATTGTTCCGCCATGGCCCCCAAAGAAAAGACCTCTCCTCGCTTCTGTGAAAAGTCGCGGCTGGCAACATCAACGTATCCGCTTGAGTCTCCAATAGGACTACGGAGGTGAGAACTTCTTATAGACTCCGAATAAGTTGTCAACGAACCTACAGAACGTGACCGATGAAGAGGAGCATCCAAGTCGCGGACATTAGTTACGCCTCTGAGGTCACCACCTGGCCGTCTCCGGAGGACTCTGAGGGGTGGGGGCATCACCACTGATGCAATTGAGCCTTCTGAATATGTGGTAGCATCAAAACTCCTAATTGTAGACTGCGCCGCAATACCGCTCTGAAAGGATGCCCATCGTCGATGAGCAGTAGACCCTCTAGATCGATAGCTCCGACTTGACTGTTGGCGCTCATGCCGTTTTACGTAGCTCACTGGGGGTTTGTTGGGTGACTGTGCAACAACTTTGACCGACGCACGAGTGTTAGTATCCTCAGAAGAACGTCCCTGACCTAATGTATCCATATCTGGAAAAAATGGGGGTAGGGGAGTGGCGGGAGTCGAGGACTGGAAAGCATGTTGTCCGAGGAGATAAGATGATCTCCTAGGGGTATTACCATGTACTGCCTGTCCAGGTGGCGTAGTTGGCGGCGTCGGGTCAGCACCGCCGGCTCTCATCATGCTCTCTGCGAAGGCTTCAACCGAGGGGTTCCAGGTTGTCAAAGCCCCAGTCATGGCTGGGTACTCCCCAGGCAAAGTTCCATCTACAATGACTATGGACTTGCTACCCGCTGTGATTGCACCATCACTCGTGCGCTTGAGCTCAAATGAAGAGTCTAAATGAGCTGGCGAGTATTCGATAGGGTCGCTAACATCGCCAACATGACTATCATTGGTTGCCTCTTCGACAATGGCATCCTCCCGCACAGCTTTCTTGAAATCCTCAGCAATTGTAGCGCCAAGGACGTCGATACGCACAGGCGCGGAAGCGCCATTGGGACGAAGAGATCGTGCTTGTGGTACAACAGCCGTTCCAGGGACTCTATTCGTTGTAGCGCCCCGAGGTCCAATAGGCGCAATGTCAATGAAATTCCCGTGAGATGGTATAACCCCTTGGCCCCTCATACTCAAGGCCCTACGAACACCACCGATCAGTTTCCTCATTCCCTGTCCCGACATTGCCGAACCAGAGCCTTTTGTTTTTGACCCTTCAGTCTGGCGAGGCTGAAAGACGGTGGTTTGGCGTGCTGTTCCCCATGGACTTGGGGGATCGACCTCGACAAAAGCTTGAGTAGGAGGTAATACATTTCCGCGAACAAGGCTGCCAGCGTATGGTAGACTTAGCAGGAATTCCGCATTCTTGTAAAGAACCTTTTCGGTAGCTGGGCTATGTTCTCGGAGCGAATCTGTAAGGCTGTTATTGCGTCGATGAGCAGTGTGAGGTCTAACTCGCTTTCCTGTCAGAGCACGTGGAGTAGGGGCAACAGGATCTGCACTGGTATAAATCGAGCTGGGATCAACCGGATGGGCAGCCAGGCTAGAACTTGAATTCGGGTCGGCCATCCGAAATGCCTTGGTTGGGAATGAGCAAGAGATAACATCGAGGCTTGCAATGCTGATCGGTGATGTCTGTCTTCTTTGCAATTCCGTGGGCCGCTCCTCTTCCGGTGTGTCCGGGCGTACTCCACCTAGTAAAATAGAGTCAATATGGCCTGCCTTAGATACATCTGCATAGAAGCTATTATCAGACTGGGGATTGTTCTCCCGAAGAGAAATATCGTATATCTGAGGCGGGTCCTCGGAATCGGTTTCCCAGAAGCTAGGGTCCAAACTGGGGTCTCGGTGGCCAGCAATTCCACCAGGCGCGATGGGAATATTGGGACCCAGCGACGAGTCAAATTCCGGGCCATCCCAGAATTGTGTACATACGCGCCTCCAGCATTTCTTTAACTCTGAGAGGATTTTCAACTGGACTTTCCGCCCCTTCTCATCCTGAGAAAGCTCCTCTACAAAGTCGTTTATAAGGTTGCAAAACATTACGCGGAGATAGTAGTCCACGACAAAGTCATCGACAAAGTAGTTCAAGATCCAGTGCCTCATAGCAACGAAAGTCCTCACTCTGACTACCATCCCTATCTCATCGTCTCGGGACACGGCCCATCGAAGTCTGGCAACTAACATCCGGAGCAAGTCCTTCGTGTCGATGAAGGCACGGAACGTAAGGAAGAAGTCTGATATTAGTTCATAGTCAAGAAAACTAGGAGACGTAATTTCAGCAACAAGTCGTGGAGGGGTAGCAGCCGTCACGGCGCCAGTGGTTGACGAATAGCGAACAATTGAACGATCATCGCAGGCTGGTTTGAAAGTGAGTGAGTCGAACATGGAAGGCTCGATAACCAGGTGCGCGGAGAGGTACGTTGATCGAACTAGAGGGTGAGGATATCGTGGTGCGGTTATGGTAGCAGGGCTAAGCAAACCCGGCGATGGTAAGTGAATATGAGGCGTTGAGGCTGCCCTTTGCCTTATGCTGTCCATGGAATCGGGGTGTAGTGAATTTAGGTCACGCATTGACGGACGAAGAAATGACGCCTTGCTCGAACGAAACTCCTCGGTCGGGGCATAAGACGAGTCCCGAATTAGAGGCGTTCCCCTTAGAGTAAATCTCGGTGTGCCTAGCTTCCATGATGGAATAGAAATTTGTAAAAGTGGACTCCCATCGCGACTTAAATCTTCCGTAGTTTTCGACCTCGACCCATCCTGTGGTTTCGATATGATCACCTTGAAGACCCCCGCTTCGACCTCTTGCGTTACGCTTGCGCCATGAATGGTTGAATCAGACATGGCACGTCGGCTTCGGTTCTTGGGTGCCTTTAAGTCGAAATAAGCCTTCCTCTTTGCAACTCCAGGAGACGAAGAATCGGTCAAGGGGGTAGTCCACTGGCTACTAAGCAGCTCGCTGTTTTCCTCGGCTGCAATTTTCTTTTGGCTCAAAGCATCTAAAGCTGCCATACTCGGCAACGTGGCCGGAAATATGAAGTTGGGTTGCGGGTATCTTTGGTTTGGTGGCCGTATTGTAGGCCTACTCCAGTTTCCGTAATCAGTACATCATGATCACTTACACACCCGAGCTACACTTACCTTAGGAATATTTTGCCGCCATTTCCTACGTTAGCCACGGTGAAATGTCTTCCACCCCGACCAGCCGAACCTCCATCTGGGGTTATGTTCCACTTATCACCTTCGATATCCTGTTTCGCTTTACTTCCGTCATGGCCTCCAGACCTCCTCTCACCAGCCGGTACCAACGGTTTCGAACTACTTATACCGGGTATGCGCACTTTGGATGCTCTAATCTTGCCATTTTTACCGACGAGTGGTGATTTTCTAAACTTTGAATCCCGAGCTGGTGCTTTGGGTGATTTTTTGGCCTTCGAAGAGTCGGCCTGCGATGATTGGAAAAGGCTAATATTCGACCGCATCCGCAACGGCGGGCGCAAACTTTGAGATTCCGCCTCCATTTCTCTCTACTTCGCAGCAGATCTGTGGCTGCCAAATCCAACGACGGCGGAGGGATGCATTGAAGATCAAAAACGAAACTGATGGATTAAATCCACGGGAATAATATGTAAACCCTTTCTCCAGGGAAGATGATTTGGAGTCGACCATAAACTGGGTATTGGGAGATCTTTAGGAAGTGTCTCGTCCATGCGCTCCAACCATCATTCGATCCTTTTTATTTTATTTTTTTTCGTGTGTAGAGTGTAAAGCGTAGGACTCCAAATTCAATTTCGTATTCGTGACGGATCGGATATTTGCGAAGTTGCAATGCTGTTTGTGTCGAGCACGCCAGTTGTCAATGACCCAAGACTCCAAATGTCGCGATGCCCCAATACCGTCCTCCTCTATGAGTTGTGAATGCGACGAAAGTCAATTGGGTGTGGTCCGGTTGGACAAAAGCGTGGCAGTTAAGTGGTGAATGAAGGGAGAGTTTACCAGGGCCCGAGATGGCAGAAGTATCTTTTTGGGACACAGATTGGGACGTGGGATTAATGGGACATTATTGGGGGAACCGATTGCACGCTGCAGGTCGGTAGCTCTGTCTGTGATTGGCTTTGATTGGTTAGGCAGTTATGACTGCAACTAAAATGCTTGTAATTGCCTACCTAGGTAGAAATGCCTGCAAAAGTGAAAAGTGAAAGGCGGGTGCACTGGCCTCAGGTGCCGACCCAAGCAGCCCAGGCTTTGAGCAGGGAAGTGCCCTAGGTAGTTACAGGGGACTAACTTAAAAGATGGTGCCATTCGTCCAATCGCCAACACACGGTTCAACTGCAATTTACTGTGGCTAGCACTACTAACCCCTGCAATACCTGCAATAAAAGAGCTTTACATAGTACAGGTGGATACTTGTAGCAACGGGGTTCTTTCCGAGAAAGACTCGCAGATTTCCACATACACTAGAATTACATATGTAAGCAAGACAGGTACCTAATAAATCTTATCACATAGGTACCACCAGATGACCTACCTATCTATCTATTTAGGTATTTAGTTTCTTCATCATCTTCATGCATCTGTAAATCTATCAACTTGAGAAAATGAAAATACTAGTCTCATCCTAGCTCATCCCAGACTACCCCAGCTTAACAATGTCACATTGTTTTTTTTTCTCTTTCACACCATACAATTTGTTTCCGAATGTACTCAGTACCAATTCTGCAGGAAATGTCCATTGTCAAAGTGCTGCAAGTGTTGGGTCATGCAGGTTATTGATAATCCAGCATGTTGCCTCTTACTTGCATTGGCGCGTCCGGTTTTTTTTTTCTCCCTCTCAATCCCTTCTACCAATGTTGACCAGTTGTGTTGACGACATAGTCCCACAAGCGGGCATAACCGAATCTACAAAAACATAACTATTAGTACCTAATCTAATGTGTTACCATTAGTCTAAACCATCTAGCACCTACTATCCAAATATCTATCCTAAACTAATAGTACCTATCTATTTACTTCCTCTCTTATGACGTTAGAGGGGCAGTACAAAATAGAGAGAGAGAAAAAAGAAAACACGGGACAGTAGCAATTGCTGAAAATGTAAGCATCTAACCGTTTGTGCAGAATTGGCATCGTTTCCGTCGCTCTGGTGTACACCTACCACCGTAAGGTCTACGGGTTGTTACTTGCTTGGTTTAGCTACTTTGGTCTTTTTGTATGCAAGTCAACAGCGAATAACTCGCCATGACCTCCTTCAATGTAAATGCGACGGAATTAATGCTTTCGGTCCAACCAAAAGCTGGCCATCTCGAAAGGTGCCTATATCATGTTCTATCCCGAGACAGGCAACATGCTCTACTATACATATACCTATCTATCTATATATAATTACATTAATTTCAGGTGTAAGGTTACATACCTCTCTAAGACATCTTAGATTCTTAGGAGCTACGCGGACTATCCAAGCCGGCCAAGTCAAAAAAGTGCCGATCACCTATGTATAATTGGGCCACCGATTTAACTATCCAGCATGATGTCGTACATCTTGATTAGTCCCTCCAGGAACAAGTTAGGAACAGGTTAGGTTCATACTAGGTAGGTATGTAATGTCATGATGAGCCTATGGGCTTGGTGGAAGCATCAGGATCGCCAGGGGCAAGGTCTGGCTCAAGATCGGTAATCCCTTAGTTACGAACTGTTGGTCATCCATATACATTCTACAATACCTTCCTCTATGTCGGATACATATTACGGTAGACAAGGCGTTAGGGGACTCAGCTGACTATCAGCCACCTACATCATTTCAGTTGACTTTCTGATTTAGCCCCGTTTTAGAACGAGGAGTGTTAGAGGGAATGTTAGAGACGCAGGATTGGTACTTTCCCATCAACGTCACGATCCTCAAGATCCTAATAAGGTAGTAATCGATACACAGACCTGCAACCAAATTCCCCTTAGCACCGACGTGTGTCCGCAGGAATAGCGTCGCTCTCGCGAAATTTTACGCAATTGGTGTCTTTTAGGTACGCTTTAGTTTACTTATTAGCTCGGCTCGAATCCATCAAATGAACTCATATTACGCTTGCTTCTACCCCTCAATCCTTGACTGAATAGGGCAGTCCAGTCTCACATCTGATAGGTGAACAGGATAGAACCATGACAAACCCTGCTTGACATTGAACTGGAATTAGACGCATATATAACAAAGTTAGAAATAAACACTGCCTAGGAAATTCCTCCACGTGCTGAATGACACCCGACCTTACTTATCAAGTAATAGGCGTTGAAGATCAACCCATTGGTGTCAACCTGTCAAAGTCGACGACAAGCGCGGAAGTTCACATGAAATCCTATCGCCGAAGCCAACTATTAGTTGGAGACGCACATAAGTCAGGGACATAAGAAAAGGAGGGGGGGAAACACTTGACTTGGCGCAAAATCAAATCAAGGACTCCCTCCCTTTCTACAGGATCACAAGACTTCCCGTAGCATGATAGCCTTAAGCCTCAAGTTCGCTATAAGACGCTATAAGACATGATAATATAGGTTTCGCTGCAGCAATCACCAAAAAGAAGGCGGCTTTTGAAGAGTCGGTCTGCACTCGCGAAATACTTACCGTTTAGGACAGTCTGCGTCGATTCTTCAAAGCCCTTAATCTTGTGCACTGCGACAGTGACGAGCTGGGCCGCGAGAGATGTCCCACTTCGAATACAACAAAATTACAGTCTATGCTACTACCAAACTCCAACTCTCGGGCCCCTGCTAAATCCCATGCTCGCAACACCTCCCACGAGGTTACCCTACCTAATGTAAATCTTTTATCTTTCCAAAGCCACCAAACATTTACCAACGATTAGAGCTACCTACGATCCGTACAAGGTAACCTATAACTGCAACTAGTAGGAAACTGGAAGCAAACCATATTTTTAACACTCGCTCTAGGTAGTTTCTTCTACTGAGAGTCCGCGCGGGTCCTACCCGAGACAGCTAAGAGTCAGAGCACAGGGCGAACGGAAAAAAACGAGGCGGTTTTAGCAGGGTTCTCCTTACCCCCTCAAGCGTGGAGATCTTTGAATGAAATCATATAGGAATCATGACCTCGGAGTAATTCTTCTCGGATGCGATTTGGAGCTCCTTATAGTTAAACGTGATAATGTTTGCTTGACCGGGACTCATCCGAAAGCTAGCTAAGGCAAGGCGGTGTTGAAGCCTTAAACGCAGACGGGTTTGTTATTGTATTGTACATCCGCCCGTGCGTCGTTATTCATATCTCTGAAAAACAGATCCATCCACCCGCCCGGGTCGTGATCTAGTCCCTCCAGCAGATAACCGAGCATTTCGGGGAACACCACAGCACACCATACCATGGCATCTCTATGCGTTCAAATGCTTAAATAGAGTAGACATGACGTCGCACATGAACACTCGCACCACGATAGCATGGTAAAATCAGCTGACGCTGGCGCACAACCGTAGATCTAGGACCCGAAAATTCAAGCAAGCTTGACAAAAGCCGTGGGACATGTGGGGACCGGAATAAGTGAACACCAACGTCCCAACGGTCGAGAACCATTGGCTTGCCTCATGAGCCCTATGTACAAGCAAAGATATTTTGGGAGTTGTGACGATCACACAGACGGAACCGGAGCCGTATACCACAATATATTACCTCTTATGTATACATAACTTAGGCACGCACATACACACACAAGTCGTCTTTCCGAGCCACTTCCGAATTATTGTGTATAAAATTTTTGATTGGCAAACGACGTGCCTCTTACACGCATTATACAGCGCGGATCGTTGCACGGAATCCTTCCTAGCGAGCCGTGATATAAGTGGAGGTGAGCCAAATTCGACAATGCATTTTAGGTATCTGTCAAACTAACTGTGCCGCACCGCTACATACAGACCCAGAGGACCTACTATGTACCTATTACCATTCGTTCCTACGGCGGAAATATTATTGGACCTTCTGCCCATTGCATTTGCACTACACATCGTCGTAAGGTACCTAGGCATGTTGGCACAACAGATATCCGTACTGGGTCTCAAAACGAACCCCCCACGATCTAGATCTACCAAGGCTTCCCAGTCAGACGGGGTTACCAAGGGAATGGTCAAATGTGAAAAATCCTCCGAAGCCCAAGGACGAAATAGGCAGATCAAAGTCTAAGACTCTTAAGCCCATGTAATTGCCCGTCACTCTCAAGCCTTTTTTTGCGGATTCTTCCATAGGAGGGGGAGAGAAAAAAGAAGAAAGTTTAGGGGTTTGTACTATGTAGGTATGTAGTAGTAGTAGTATTAAGACACCTAAGAAAATAACCCTTGCAACTCAGTCTGGGCTCCACACGGCGGAGTGAGACATTCGCTGCTCAGCCAATCGTAAAGTCCCCGTTCAGCAACATCAACTTGACGATAACCTCACGATTGGACTTCATGAGACTGCATGTTTCAGACATAGCACGACATACCGTGGAGATAGGATATTTGGACGTCTTAATCATGCATGACATACCGTAATATAGGTATCGTCTACCAAGGACTATGAAGTGGGGGCTGAATCAAACAGCGCCTGCGAGATTTGGCCGCACTCCTAAGATACCTTTTTCACCTTAAGCTTGTAAATAAGAGAGCGGGAGTTGAAAGTTCCCTACTCAGCAACTCGGGGACTTATCGATTGACTGTTCCTATGCGGCGGTGTGGGGAGAACATGAAAAATATGACAAATATTCATTCTCCAATGTTTACTGTCACTAGCTGGCATACGATATATCGCTGTTATCATACTCCGAGCCACATGATCTTGACGAAGCAACTATACACATTCGAATGCTTGAAGTTATGAGACCTCTCATCAAAGATCTCTTAAAGGAATATCCTTAAGACTCTTAGACGTCTGGAATTCCACACCTAATGCTGTGTAGCCCCCGTTCACCACAACTGAATCAAGACAAGATCATGCCAATTTAAGTCGCCTACGAATGATATAGCAATATCTCAATTTGCCTCTTATTTCGAATGTTCCAGTTGAGCTTCTTCTTTTTGATTGCTAGACATGGAGCCTAGCACCATGTCAAAGAATGCACCTGTAGAGCCCAATATGCATGATGTCTGATAGTCTATGCCTTCCGTCTTGCCTTCCCCTCCTTTGTCGTGCGTTTGCTACAATTTTTTGGAAGAGCGTGCTAGGTAATGATGTTTTCCCTTCCTCCCACGAGAACCCAAGACCTCATGAATCATGACACATCGTGCATCGTTGGAGTGTTTGTATATTTACTAGAGGCACATAGCCAGGGTAGCTAGAATACAGGAAGCTCCTCCTCGAAACCCTACTGCCGTTACTATGTAATAAATTTATATATAAGATAGCTTCTTTCCTCTGGGTATTCTTTCTGTTACCTACATTACCTCATAGACCATTCTACCTATCATCGAGTATCACCACCCTATCACATCTCGATATATATATCAAAGCTACCTAGGTACATACCACGATAGCTGCTCTTCCTTACGATTATTTATTTTTCATTATTTATTACCAAGAGCAAAGTTGATAAAAATACGAGTTCCTCAAATTGGTGCTATCCCTCTATCTACCATAGCGGCAGAGGGGGTTTTGTAGAATGGTTCTATCCGTAGAATGGTTGGGTGGGGTAGAACGTTTGTTGGTTTCGAGGCCTCTGATTGGCTGGATTCTAGAGTTTTTAAAAGTACATCCTTTTTGTACCTTTTTTCAAAAAGGACCGTTCTAAAAGTGGACTAGTTCTATGCGGCTAAAACCATTTTAGCTAAGTGGGGTAAACTCGGTTAAAGATCGGGCGCGTAAGGTTTATATAAGCAAATAACAAAGAGACTTTCGTATTATCTTAGTAAAACGCTTTGAAATTTACAACGGTTCTAAAAAGTAGAACGTACCCTTTCCTTACGTAACGATTGTGAGAGATAGAATGGTAAGAAGTTTTAAAATGGTTCTATAAATACCCCCACTGCCGCTATGGGTACTTATGGGCATTAAGAGCAAAGTTGTTGAATTTGAAAGTATCTCAAACTATTGCTACTTTAATATCCCTTATAGGGAAAAGGCCCTTTCAGCTGTAGGCTGAAAGGGCCTTCCAGGACATTCTTCATTAGCTACAATGGGTCTTTCATGATGCTCACAGGAACATTTACGCCTATTTACATCTATTTAGGTACCTACCTATACCTATTTCTACTTATTTATTATATTTGTCTTCTATGCCCACCTATTCCAACACCCTCCGGGTCGTTCAAGTAATATAGCCTTTTAATCAATCTCAACATCACCGGGCTCTAATGTCAGGCAACGAACTTAGCGCCTACGTTGATAAAAGACAAACCGGAATATATCTCACTGCCAGGAGTTTCACTTGAGACTCCCTGGAACAAAGGAGTTATTCTGTATATAGCTTTGGCTTCAAAGCAACTGTAGTTAGAGTTCCTTGCGGAACAACGAAGTTGTTTTCCTACCTCATGCTCTGCGACGTAGCACCATCACTGCCGGATATTTCGGTCTTAAACAACATCGATAAAGAAATAAAACGCCTTCATACCTTCGAAGACGAATCTTATACCGTTGCCCGATATTACTACTCATAGAAGATGTGAGATTGAATATCAGCTAAACTGGTATTTAAAGACTATATGGGCACTTATCACCGCTGGCGTATGATATTACAATAAGGGTCTTCCATGAGGAGCAGAATGAATTTTGCACCATTATAAACAACATTCACGGTTACCTCATTCCAGGTTAAACACCGTTCCGAGTACTCCTATTTCCACAGATGGTTTATTTACCTATTATTTTACCCGCCAGGTGGATTACACCATCCTCTGCTACCGGTCATCTTTAATTATCACTATTACGGCAGCACTTCCAAGATGCGCCGATCCACAGCGACTTCTCGATCTCTTGACCGTATGTCAGGAGTCTCACTTGTGGGAACAAAGAAGATGCTTTGCATGTAGCTTTGGCTTCAAAGCTATCCCAGTTAGCGTTCCTTGCGGAACAACGAAGCTGTTTCCTTACCCCCTTAGACTCAACGGTGCGTATACGAAGGGGGTTTGGTAGTTTTTACCCTAGGAAACAATCAGCTATCTAAAATTACCGACTTTCGGGACTAGATATAGTAATACCACGGGCAGGTAAAGAGGGAATATTGCAGGCAGGAAGTGGAGGGATTTTCATGCCACACGAAATTCTAGCTCTGTCCCCTCGAAGGAGATAATCTAGATATCACAAGCTGCCACTGATGTGGCTCTGGATGGACTTTATATTAGGTACTTAGATTATACCTATAGTGTACACAGTCCAAATATATACAAAAGACATCATCATAATCATCGAGAGAAAGAACTATACGACTATGACATCCCTGTGCATCAGATAGTATTGAGTATTACTCCGAGGGGATTTCGTGCTGGGAAACTAGCACAGTCACGAAATGTCTAACGCCATTGTAGACTCGTACGAAGCAGAGAGCTCATGCATTAAGTACCTAACTGCCATCTCTACAAAGACGTGTTATTTCTACATCTTTCCCATCCAACCCTACGAATCCTTCGGCACATCCTCGTCTTTCCCCGGCTACATAATCTGTCCTGTAACCAGGGCCTTAGCATGCAACGACAGACCCATCAACTAAGCGGCAAACAGCAGTACCGTCATGATCGGCGATCGCAGGCCATTCTGCAGGAGACCCGCGACGATCCAGCCGAGGTATTGGTAGGCTGGCTTTTCTCGTGCCGTCTTGACGGTTACACGTACATAGAGCTTTCTGGTCGCCGTTCATTGCGGTGGAGTTGGACGTGTTAACGTTTAGTTGTTGGATAAAACCACTTACAGCTTGGTTTGTATGAATATAACAACTTGAAACATAATTCTTTCAATCAATCTCCAAATCGTAAGAGGTATCTATATGTTTCGTTTTTGAGAATCTGCGCTATATAGATACCTCTACCTAAGGTGAAGGGAACTGATGTTGATAGTTGCCACGATGTCAGCATTGCTGCTTCATAGACTAATGCGATGATGTGATGATGCTGTTTTATTTTCTCGGAACTGTTGACTAAAGACCTACTGGTCCGAGCAGATCTACAATTTTAAAACTGCATAATGTTTAGCTTCAGCATCGAAACATGACTTTAATTCCTTGGTTGGTGTTCATCGACTGGGTATCGCGAATTCTAATTACAGCAAGTTACTTATTTAAGAGGTACCTAACCTAATCGAAATTGAATTTTTTGGGTAAGGTATTGGATACCTGAATGGATACAGGGTACTAATTACTTACGATGCACTGCTCTCCTGAACCTTTCTTATTCTTCATATGACTATTGTTCAATAAGTTTCTAGGAACCACCTACGAAGTTAATAGCTTTATAATTATCGTCGTATAGGTACATAAATATGATAACAGTTGGTATAGCGTAGACCCGGCGAACAGCGAGAGATCCATCGCAAAGTGCACTAATACTTGGGGACGTCGTATTATTAACCCCTTAAAAATCCTCGTTGGGCATTTCTCGCTTGCTCGGTGCTATAGGCATCGATCTTAACGGCTACGAGCACGCACTCGATCGCGCTCTTCCCGTTCCTCGAGCCCTGTATCCGAAGCCTCCACTGTCCCGTGCGGACTATCCACTCATCCGCTGCATGACTTGATAAGTCTAATCGCCTCCTCTTCCTGGCAGGTCCGTAAAATCCGCCGATACTAGAAAGGGGCGAGTCCTGTTCGCCCCCCTGGCCCATTGACGATGATGTCGACATGGCGGTGGCTATTTCGTCGCTGTCTGGAAAGTTGTATGTTCTACCGTCGAGGATTACATGCGCCTCAGGTTCGAATACTACTCGAACGAGATCCTCGCTCAAGGGGGTATTTCCCGGTGTCGCTGGCTGGCTACTAGCCCCGCCTGACGCCATTAATAGTCCCAGGGGTTGGGTTGTTGGTGGGAGGTTAAGTTTTGTCGCGATTACTTCGAAGAGCCTTGCTACGCGGACTTTGATCTGACCGAAGAATTCTGCTCTCATAATGTTTAGATGCAACTTTGTATTCTCGCCACCGATTTCGAGGATAAGTTCATGCTGCTTATCATCTTCGTAGGGCCGCATGTAATTAACCCATCCCGAGATGGATTCGCCGGTACCACTTGGTGTGACAACATCGCTAGCGATAGATATACCCGATTTTAGGAGATCTTCGAGTCTAAGAGTAATTTCGTGTCGCCGCCGAGCTAGATTATAGCTTATATGATGCGGGATCAGCTTCTGTTCCAACCCCTTAAAGTTGAAGTAACGACAATCGCGGAGCAATGAGGCGCGATGTTCCTCATCCCGTATATGTACGGGGTATCCGCGCAATAGGTGTAGTAGCTCATAAAAGATATCCGCTGACTTGTTTGGCACGCAAGGCGGCATAATAGAAGGCGGGCGGATGAGATTCTCCTTATCTAGCCCGGGAAATAGCTCATCGCGTGATGAAAAGAAAACGCCAAAGCCCAAAGAAAAGAAATTAGGCGAGTTTCCAGGACCGCTAAAAATGTCGCGCGGAATTTGGAATTCGCGATGTCCTATAGAAATGAAGATGGACTCTTCATAGAGCTGAGACATCAGCTTAGGTAAGGTATAGAACTGAGCGTCGGCGAAAAGGCGCACGAAGTGCGTTCCATCACGCGGGGTGACATGATAACCTTGTAAATGAAGGGATATGTCCTTAAAGGTAACAGGATCCCGGTCTATGTAAAGTGTACGTATTGCCGTTGATATATCTTCACCGGCCTCTTCAGCTCTTGCGAGTTGGCACTGAAAATACCGAGAGAAATAAGAAGGAGCTGGATGGTCAGGTCAGCAAAGCGTCCATAGAAGCAAGACCTCTTTTCTTCTTCTTTTTTTTTCTGGTATAATAGCCAGGTTGGAAATCCGCTCTCCCAACGGAGTAGCTGCAGGTGTTAAGAGTAAGGCTGACATTATGCGCCTAAATAAAAGGAAGGGCTGAGGGTAAGGGGTGAAGGGTAAGGTAAGGGCTGCTTTCTCACGCACCATCAGAAGAGAGGGAGGCCCCGGAAAGCTTGAAGAGTTCAGTTCCTATCTGGATAGGGAAAACGCGTTCATGTGGAAGAATTCTTGGGATTTTAGATATTAATTCGGGATCAGATGGTGGAAGAAATATGTCGCGACCCTTATTGGTCTCATTAGAATGATTAGACGTGTTCATGGTGAGAGTTGCGATATATGATGATGCTGAACACGAGAGGCATGGCCGCCGTTAACGTTGCTGCTGTTATGGATGCTTATTGGCGCTGTTGTTGGTAAATTCATCTTAGTAGGAATGAGTAGGTATAGATAGTCGCCGACATTGTAATTTGAATACGATCCGTCGATATATCTATGAATAGTGTGAATAGTATGAATAGGCGAATTGGAAACCAGGGATGATTAAACTTTATGACGGTCAGGTAAGCACGCGACAACCGAGGTGAGGGTATTTAAATGAGGGTATTGAAAAAAGCAGCAATATTGCAGTTAACAGTTAGCGAAGTTGCACTTAAGAGGGATTTGCAATCATTTTGAAATCAAGCTTTGGGATTGGGGCGGGGAGGGGGGGACGTTTAGGGGGGTGCCTGGGGTGCTTGGGGTGCTTAGTTGCATCCAACCGCCCCGTGCCTGCATATGATGCGGTGCGGTAAAAAGACCTATTGAAAGTTCCAATCCTTTTTTTTTATTTTTTTTTATGTCCCAGTGATGTCGTGGCTGTTCTTGTCGGGCAACCCGGAGTAAGCTACCGTCGGATAGATGCTAAACTAAAAGGGGAAATATTGTATATTTCAATATTTCTATTATTTCTTTCTTTGGTATGGTATTGTAGGGTGGTTACATAAGCTGTAGGTATTACGGGCTTTTGGTGGGAGGAGCTCACAGGTACCTGGGTAGAAAAGCTTCCACCTTAATACATAGTACAACATCAAATTACCCACCACCTGCATCTTCAATATCTTGGTTTATTGGTTTCTTGGTATACATATCTTAAGTATCTAAGTAGGTACCAAGTGTGTACCTAGGTATTATTCTTCGCGCTCGCAAGCAATTACCAAGGTTTAGTCATTTCTTTCTCAAACATTTATTATGTTCTACTATATTATGTACTTGGTAGGTCATGTATCATCTCATGCTACCTCACCCATCCCTGAGCTGAGAGACGGGAACTCAGGGGACCTTTACCTATCCAGTCGGCCAGCAGCTTTTTGATATTTGGCAAATGCATGATGTCCTAGGTATCAGCCTGGGAGTTCTCAACGGGTGTGCCCGTCACCATCGCTGCTAGTTTTCTTATCCAAAACCTGCCCACCCGATCAAGTATATTCTCCCGTTCCGGTGGCTGTGGCAATCGTGGTTCCTGCTTCTTGTCGAAAAGAGCTCGGACGCTGCCAGCCGGGTGAGGGACCGACATGTCTATACAGGCACCGTTTTCGCGGAAGTTCAATACCATAGAATGGACCCTCCACGCTGCATCTCTCGGTGATCCCTCCGTTCCCATATCTTGCCAAGCCCGGATCTCGACCTGCCGTCCCATTACCCTCACCGCGAAGTCCGTAGGACATCTCGGGCACGAGCCACATATTTCCATGGACTCGTGTCGGCGCTCCTGTACTGCTCCGATCGCTATGTCAAGAGCATCCTCGAGTTCGGGATGACGTGCACGCGTGTAGTACAAGGTTTCGCCAGAACGAAACTGCATGTGTGGACATATAGCCAGGTCACCCAGAGTCCCACGTGACATAGCTATGGTTGGGTCTGTATACCTGTAAGTCCAGGTAGATAGAAGTAGATACCTGGACCGGCCGTCGAGGCCAAGGGCGACCTTGGGCCTGGCCGAGTAGCTGACCTTGAGGAAATGAGAAAATTTCGAATTTCGCATCGACCAGAATGCCTCCATATAGGGAGGGAAATACGAAACATGGTGCGGTTTTAGTAGTGCACCGAGGTAGGTTTTATATCTGGGGTCGTACATGCGCATATACTTGAGCGTGAGCTGGACGTGCCGATGCTCGAGGGCGATAAAGCGACAATCGATTCGAGTCTTCCCATTGTAGACGAGCTCCCTCCAGCGGCTCAACTCCAAGGGACAGGTGGAATTTGTAGTTCTGCTCGGTAGGTCCCATTCATCAATAGTATGTAGCCTGGCACACCCCCCGCAGAACCAGTAGTCCGGCAGATCTTTTGATAGAAGGCTAAGGTAGTTGATGTGCTCCCGGCGACCCCAGCGAGCTTGGTTTTTGCGGAGGACACTAGAGGAGTTGCTTAATATAGTGTGTGCCGAATGACACTTGTGCGAGAATAGCAGTAAGCCGAAATATTTGAGGAAGCCTGAGAGGAAGCCTGAGAGGAAGCCTGATATATGGACGACCATCTCTACTGGGAGTTCCAGGATCATACATTTAGTATCTTTTATCTGCTTTTCTCGTCTTGAGGAATTGCTTCGCATTCTCCCTAGTATGAGATTGAGAAGGGAAGCCATCATTGTTGATTGAATACAATAATGCCGACCGAGAAGGTCACCTAGCCTAGCCAAACGGATTGATGTATCATACAATTATCTGGGGACCTTGAGCATATTTATATGGCAAGATCGCGAGGCTCGAGCGTAGAGCGTGACGCCGGACACTTTTGCGTCGAACCTAATGCCAAATTCTAATCCTTCCGTTTCAGCACCAGATTGATAATTAAATTGGTATACACTGGGACAGCCTTCGGGTGGGTATTCTTATATGTAGAGTACATGAATGATCGTCAGGTATCTGACGTAGTACGATATTCATACTTTAGCTAGGCAAGGCTTACACACCACCATAAGGGGTAAAATTTAAGCGTTAAGTTAACATGTTTCTGTTCATTGCAGAGGACTGACGAACTCGCGTCATCAATGCTAATGTTATGTAATTCCATATTCAAGACATCGTAATCTTAGTCCGTTGGACTTCCCTCTCTCGAACGCGTCCACCGCCCAACTACCTATGATAAAGTGGGTATAATCTAGGTACGCACGAAAAGACATATATGCTGCATGCCCGGTCGATCATCAAGGACACCCACCCATTGCCGTGACTATTACCTGCCAATATGAAAAGAAATGTTGTTCTGGGGAGTAGTGGAGAAAAGGAGAAATGTGACAGCGGCCACTCCATTGCAAGGCAGACTGAGAAGAGCTCAATGCGTAGGTAGAATAGGACGGCAAGGACAAGCCCACGCTACACATATCCAAAAGTAGCATTAACACATCGGGCTCTGTTAGCAAGTTGAAAAGAAAGAAAAGGCCAATCTTGAGTGTTGAGAGTTCATAGAGCGTCGTGTATCACGCACTGGAATCCTACTTCCGAGGCGTAGCTATACTACTTGTTAGTCCCCGCATCCGAAAACTCAAAGAAAATCGATCACGAACCATTCACCAGTTGCCTCTGCTTGTTTAGCCAGCTTCGAGGAACCTCTTGCCGCCGTTGTAGCACGACGTGGGTGCTCTGTAGTCTGCTTGTGAGGTCGTACCATGCAGTAGATATCATCGCATTTTCACGTTGCAAGTTCTTGATAATCTGGTCGGTTCGTGCCTGCAATTTTTGTTAGGGGTTGGCAGAACAGGTATTCCATCGCAATAAAACGGAGACCATGGACCACGATCCGTCTTGGTACATTTACATGTACATGTACATGAAAAATAACAATACATGATACTAAAACAAGAAACATATTTAACTATTCTAAAACTATAAACCAGGTGAAGACCCGTATGGTCTATGCAGTCGACCGGTCCACCGACATATGAAATATGAACGCGGAAAATACAACGTACCTTTTGGACACCGGCTTCCGATCCAGCACGGACGGCTTTCAGTGTCCGTTCTAACTCGCGGTTCTTAACGTCCGACTGCTCGTACTGCTGCAAATCAAACGTGTTTAGTCAGTCCATGTGCTCGAGGCGCTCTTATCATGATAGCGACTCAAAAGATGCGGGTGTCCCCTCATCTAAACCTGCCACTTGGCTTTGGCTCGTCTCGTGTGCGGCGATAAGCGTGCGCCAGTACAGGGGTCAATGTAAAGTTTGCGCGCTGCTGTGAACCACGTCCCTTAAAACTTGATGTAATATATCTATGTCTAGAAATATCATCATCACGAAGAATCCCTACCGGGGCTGATATTGGGCGGCCGGCCCGACGAGACGCCGGACCGTCATGTCTCGCTTGAGAATCGCTTTCTAGGTTTTCTTTCTTCTGCCCAAACCAGGAGCTCACAACATTCCAGACGGACTGGTGCTTGACGGTAATTCTGGTGACATTTGCGTCATCGTCACCATCGTCGTCGCTATCGCCATCATCGTCGCCATCGCCAACAGCAGGACGAGCGGGAGATAAAGTAGAAACAGATGAACTCACCTGCTGTAACTGCTTGTACCGTGCACGGAGCTTCTCCATCTTCTCTGATTGCTTGGCGCTATCAGTGTTGACAGATAACCCATCTGCGGCCCTCTGCATCTCGCGATTAGCTGCCTCGGCTTCACGCCGCAGTTGGTCTTTCTCGATATAGGCTGTCAAGAGTTGCGACCGCTGGTTTTCGAACTCTTCTCTTAGCGATTTGTGCTTGTTTCTTTCCACCTCGAGCTCGGCACGGAGGGAAATAGCAAGCATGCCGTCGGTTCTCTTAAGTTCCGCGAGTGCTTCTTGGCTAGATTTCTCGACAGCGTTAACTTGTTTCGCATAGTCAGCATTGTCCGAATGGATCATGAATTCCCTAAAGATGATCTTACAATCACCCTGTAGCTCCAGGAGGGCCCGCTCTTTGTCGGCAAGCTTCTGGTTCGTTGACTCTAGCTGTCTCTCGAGCTGTTTGGAACGGTTCTGTTCGGCGAGGACCTGCGTCCGTAGGTTTGAATACGCTTCGTCTCTGAAGTAGTTTGACATCAGCCACGTCGTGTTCGATGAAAGGTTATAACAAGCTTGAAGAGCCTGAACTAACCCATCTTTACTCATGTTCTGGATAAGCGCATCCAGTTGGTGTTGACCAACGGTATACTTCTCGAAAATGTCGTTATACTTGTCCTGCAGGGCTTGACGAGAAGTACGAAGATCTTCCATCTCCTGTATGAGTTGACCCTTTTCCGTTTCCGTACCAATACTACTCCTTAGGACAGCATTCTCCGCTTGGAGACGCTGGATTTCAATGTTTCTCATCGACACAGCATTACCAGATTCGTTCAGTTCGTCTTCAAGGGTGGTCGGACGGTGGCTCGAGGGAGTGCTCGGGGCAGCGGTGGGGTCGAACATCATTACCTTCTCCTGCAGATCTTTGACGATAGCTTCGTCTGTCTGGCTCCGAGCCTGCAAGCCCTCTATGCGCCCCCTCAGCTCGTTAATTTCGGACGTGTACATAATCTTCTGGTCTCCGAAACTAGCAACTTCTTCCTCATACTTCTGGAATTGCTCGGCATACTTTTCTGCCTCTTTCTTGTAGACATTTATCTTTAGCGTAGCGATTTCAAGCTGCTCTAGGAGTTTAGCAGTGTCAACCCTCTCGTTATGAAGTGTTTTGAGCTCCGCCTCTACCGACTTCATTGACTCTAATTTCTTCCTTAGATTATCAGCCATGTTAGCTTTTTTAGAAAGATCCTCGTTTTTAGAGCGGAGTTCTTGGTTCTCGTCGGCTAATGCCTCAGCTTTCTGCGCCATTTGCTCTAGGCGAGCCCTCTCCTTCAAAAGCCTATCCCTCTCTTCGACGAGAAAGTTCCTCTCATTCTCCAGATTTGCAATAATCGACTCATTTTCCTTTAGCTGGCGCTGAATATGGTGTTTGTTGAAGTTGCTGACTTCCGAATCGATTTGTCTACGCAGGTGCTCGTTTTCTTCTTGGAGTTTCGAATGCTTGTCTAGGAGCTCGTCATAGTTGTCTTGAAGACGGTCCAAGCGTACCTTTAGTAGACTCGCTTGCCTGTTCGCTTCTTGCACGTCTTCTTGTAATTTCTGGTGTTGATTGAGCAGGGCGGCCTCTTGCGCAAGATCATCGAGATTCGTATCCATATCATCTGCTGCGTCCTCAAGCTCGTCGAGTTTATTCTTGCTCTCGCTGATAATCCGGAAAATACCCTGCTGCACCCTTTCGTCCAACTGCGTCACCAACGTAATATATCGACTGTTGTCATCCTCACGTAGGCAAGCAGCGCATACAAAAAGCACTAAAATCTGAAGACAGTTAGTGTTGGCAGGGCTCTCGAGCGGCGAATTAGGACCGGAAGAACTACGACTAAAAGACGACCGTGATTGAGAAGAAGGCTGTAATATGGGGCTATTCACCTCGAACATATCTATCTTGGTAGGTTCCCAAGCCAGCGCCTGGAAATCGACTTGGTCGATGAGGGGTTCGATCTTAGGGGCATATCGTCGCGCGATGTCTTTGAGGCCCAAGTGGATGATATGAAGATAACGTTTCCGGCCCTGGGTCATATCGCTATCGGTGGGTGTGGCAGCGAGGCTTTGTTGGAATCTCGAAGGGTTGTACTCGTCATCTAGGATTTCAAGCAGCGCGGAAAAAACAGAACCATCGAAAAGATCATCGGCTTTCTTGACTTTCAGGTCTTGATTCTGCCCAGGATACAGTTTTTCGAGCATCGAATTAGCCTATTAAAAGGAACTGCGTTAGCACTCGGTGATAACCTAAGACGTGAAAGCAGGAGTGCAGAGAATTAAGAAGATATAGAAGACTAGTACATACCCATTCTAGTAAAGCCACCTGTGTGGCCTGCAAGGAGAGGGAGGCGATCATGTTGGCGGATAGTTGTTACTTCGGGATATATGGATTTACTTTTTTTCGTATATTATTAGGATTAGTAGTAGCCGTGAATCGCGATCGGTTCTAAAGGGCCAGAACGGTAGCTAGCTGCGCAAGGTCAATGGTTGAACGGCGCTTGAAGAGATATGTGCCAGATAGACATGCAATCGTACATCAACATCTGTGGGATGAAATGGATAGAGTGAGCACTTAGACAAGTACTTGATTACTTGATCTGGGTATATCAAACACTTGGGGTGCTGAGAGCGTATGGGGCATATGGGAATGAATCGTACTCGAAGGTGAAGGCGTATGGCAGAAAGTCGGATCTGATATGGGAGGCGGCGTCACAAAAGACGAAGATAATTCATTGTAATTCTTCTATACAATGGCTCAACTAAAGAAAAAGCGCAACGCTCCTCAACGCACTCGCTATTGTCATTGTTAGCCAGCCAGGCTGTGAAGGAATTGTGACTTGATTTCAAAGACGGAATTGAGTTGTTCGGAAGTTGTTCGTTAACGGTTACACATTTGGAACTCGACGAGGAACGGGTCACAATAGGTAAGGTACATAAGATACATACTACTATGCAAGTTACCTAAGGTCAAAGGATAGGTACCTTATTATTATGCATATACTATGTAATAAAATCACTACATAAGCGGTATTATTATTGAATAACTAGTCGTCAGGCTACGACGGTACGGCCCCTTGTAGACCCTCAATATCGATTAAAGCGCACTCGAAAGAGGAGACAACACCCTATGGCTGCTGTGCCTACAGGGATTCTGCATAGGCTAGCATACCTAGAACTGCTCATGTGCATGCTTAATGATACACTTTCGCATCCAAGCTAGAGCTGTTTCGTCCACGTCTTATGCACGTCAGGTACGAAGGCTGTAAATTTTATGAAGGGAACAACACCCCACCAAAGTCCAAATATCAACTCTTTTGTTCGATAACTTGAATCTATGTTAATAAGCTTAGTTAGTTTTAACTAGAGAAGAAAGGTTACTTAACAATGGCAATATATCTCTAATAATCTCATAACTCCTACGAAAGACTTCTTCTCTCTTTATTAGTTTCCAACAATGGGGATAGGTTATAGAATACGTACAGAGTCTGGGGATTAAGCATTCTAACCACCCTGCCACCCTGCCACCTAATTTCTATACCTGCAAATTTTCGGCTTGATTCATACCGCAAGAAACAGCGATGACATCCCGACCTGCAAAGAAAACTACGGAATCTGTGAATGATCATCCCGTCTATTCTCTCTTCGAAGGAGTTAATATAGGTCACTCGGACTGATGTCAACGCCCGGACTCCCAGATGGACAACACAGCGTCACATTTCACCATTACCATTTGTTTCAAGATGTAATCTGGCCCCCACAAGTCACCGGCGATGCAACACGATCAGCCAGACTGTCAAAGCTTAACACGGATAATCAATGAGGAACAACGTACCTCGCAAGTACTTAACGGGCTTGTCTTCCCGAAATATCGATACTATCTATACGCGACATCTGCGCGGTAGGTAGGTAGGTAATGGACAACTTTACGGCCCGCAAAATGCTTACACGCCTTGACACCCGCGGCCCACACGTGGGATTGACATGCAGTGACATCAGATATCGATATAAGAATCTTAAGGGGAGACTTCCGCATGTTAATCTACCAAAGAGACAATCGACTAGTTTACAGTTTACAAGATCTCAAGATGGTGTCTATCTCGCATGCATTCAAATCGGACGAGTGCAGAGTCATATGGACAGAGGGGTCTAACATCTCCCGTGACGAGAAACGCATAGGCGATAGGTAGCCAAGAGAAGAGCATTCGACAAGACAACTATTTGAAATCCGACTGCGTATAAATCCAGCGGAGTCGGCCGAATGGGGGTAAGTAGCGTTGGGCCTCTAGAAAACACACCCGACTTCAAGTGACGACGGGCATACCTCTCATTCGTTCAATAGAACATCCACTCGTACGAATTACCATCTTAATGCTATGTAGACGCTGGACGGGGCCCACTCATGTAAGGAATTCTGAATGGGGGGAACAGAAAAATACCTGTTAATTTGACATCAGGTGAGTATACGCGAATATAACCTAAAAACTAGAACAGCCCACAACTTCGGTGCCTCCTTGCGAGACCCAATAGATGCCTCACATCGCGAAGGTGTATGATCTTGCTTTTCACTTCTCATCTGCCCACATACATAGTAAGTTCGAGATGGCGGCAGACAGTCCTGCCCGACAGGGATGCGGAGTCCAATGCGGTGAGATTCCATCGTGAACTCCACAATCCTCTGCGGCTAACGTGGCAGCTGCGTAGAATCGGGGTTGCTGGAACACTGAGAACTTGCATATAGCCAACAAGCCACCTTTCTAAAAAACCGTATATCGCCACCTGAACTTTTTCCGAGGCGACGGCATTCCAGACGTTGTCCTACTACCCTCCCGACTTAACACACAGAATGTATTGAAGACAGCTAGGACTACTCCAATATACCTTGCATATTCGGCGTCCTCGGTCGTGGCGAGTAGCGTATGAACAACACCAACCCGCATATTCCAAATGAATAAATCATACAAGCGCAAGCCACCCATCACATGGACTGATTCTTGTCCGGTCGGACTCGGAGATAACTAGAGACCATAAAGATCTTAACGCAAGACACAGTGAAAGTGTTGATATTTCCTACGAATACGATAGTCGCCATAAAGAATTCAACTTCCTCCGAAATACAGAAAACGCCGAAAGCATGTTGTCTAATTTGATCCACCCCATACGTTCACTTTTTTGTTGTCGTCTGTCCTTCAATAACGCCTGTTCCGTCTGCCTACCTGCGGGCTCCGTACCTAGTGCGGAGGAGGGGTATCTTGCAAGTTGTCCGGTACCTTAGTCGTGGCTATCGTTATGTATGCGATCAAGCGCCGCGTGCTTTAATTCTCGCCGGAAATTTGGACCACCTGGTCCTCCTCAATAACGGCGTTATACTCGGCACTCCAGGCCGACACCGTCTCGAGGATCTTCTGTGGCGCCTTGGCTGCGAAGCCCCTATGTTAAAGATCGCCCGGTTAGCCTATCTATTCGCTATTACAAAAATATACCTGAGGTATGTTCTCGCCCATGACGTAATGCAAAGTCGGAAAAAAAGAGAGTATGGATAGAAGATGATGTATAGATTGAAAGTGATACGCACTTGATAAGTTGGTACTCGTGGGTAATCACGCCACCCGCCTTTCGAATATCATCCTTCGCGCGGTTGACGATGTCGTCGGTAGTGCCGCTCGGGAAACTGACGATAACGGATTTCTCAATGTCGACGGCTGAGACACCAGCAGCAACAGCAAGTGCTGCAGCGATCGTAGTGAAGAAACGCATGTTTATTTGGATTAAAGGGTAGGGTAGGTTAAGTACTTTGGGTTTTGTCGGTAATGTGGCTTGCAGATGATGGAAATGGCCAATAGTAGGTGAGTTGGATGATGCAACAAACGAAGAGCTGTCAAACCAAGGCCGGTCCAAAAAAAAAAAGAAGTGCTGAGCCTAGAGTATTTGTAAAAGCTTGGTTTTCGTGTGAATAAGGATGATACAGGTTCAAGTTTGAATTGGATTAACTAGAGTGAAAGGTTAAATGTAAGTGATGGTGGAACTTGGCGGTTTGGACGTGCGTATCGATCTTATGAAAGGGCCTTCCGCCTGGGGTTAGGGGGGGCCGAGCTGGAGAAGAAAGACCTACTATTAGAGCTGGAAGTAGCAGCCTGGGGGACACCCGTTTGAAACCGCTGGCCTAGAGTGGGCCCACCTAACTCTTCGTAACTCTTCGCTCTAGTAGGGGACTTCCCGGATAGGCAGGTCAAGGGGGCTTGTTCGACGTTATTCGACGTAATGGACCAATCAGAACAAAGCGAAACACTGCACCATTAATGCAGTGCCACACGACAAGAACGTCGTAGCCACCCTCAAAGGCAGTTCGGAAATTCAAATCAGGCATAAGTTAAAAGTTACACTTGTTTACACAAATCCACAAGCATCACGCAATTTAAGAATGAGTCAAGTCAAGTCAGTCTTTGAGGCTTCGAAGTCTCAGAAGTCTCAAGAAAAGAACCCCATTGTCGTTTAACACGAATGACAAAAAAATGATTGATCGTCCATGCGATCGATGTGACGTCCAAGAGCGTACTTGATATAACCATCCTATCCCACCAAATGTCTTGCTTCATGGAATTCGATAGCGAAGTCGACGATATCGTACTCCAAAGCAGTCTCGATTAGATTATCGTCGTTTCGGTTTCGAGGGCTCTAGATGCCCGTTAGCGAAGTCGCAGCCTGAGATGTTTCTGTATGATGATACCTCCAATCGCACCTAGATAAGACAACGTCAAACGAAAAAGAATTGCCACCCGTACGTGAGACTGTCTAGGCTCTTTCTTCATTCTACTCAGCCGTTTCTAGTCTTACCGGTGCCAAGGTCAGGTTTGGTGTAAGACTTGAACGGTAATCTTGCTCACCATGCCGAGAAGGACGTTGGACATATAATACCAGCTCCAAGACATAAGCCAGGTAATGATATGGGAGCCCCACAGCATCCTGAATATTTACCTACCCAAGATAGCCATCTAAGATTGAACGTGCGTTCGGAGAGCGATCAAGCAATTAAGGATTGCCGACTTTGTCTTGGCAACGTTAAAAATGACAAAATAAAGGGACATGCTCAAGGTTAGAAAACTATCATGTTTCGAATAAATTTTTAAGCTTCCGTTCCATCAAGCTTCAAACTTTGTCAACACAGTGACTCCAGATAAGCTCACATTTTCGGACGTCTCCACCGCATAACTACCGGTAATTTCACCTCATTTAAGTAAGAGCCGTCTTTGCGTGTTTACGAAAGCTTCAAACTTATTAAATCGGAATTACAAAACCATTTTCATATACTTATCCAAGACCTTTCAATATCTTAGCATTATCCAGGAAGAGATTAGCTATGCCATAATATGTTAAGCACCTATCTATCAGACGGCTCGGATCTAATAACATCGGTAATAGGTAGGTAGTTAATTACCTATGATGCTAATATCTTTCCATTGTATAGGTACTAATTCGGGGTTATATACCTCGAGACGTTATGATTCGCTATTGACAACAAGGAGTATAAAGTGTTAGTCAGTGGTAATGTCGGTAATTCCTTATAAATGGACAAGCAATAGCAATACATTCACTATATTGCATCTGAAGTTCCTACAAATTTTTGGGTATACCAGATCCGAATATGGTTTCTTTTCCGCTCGAAATGGTGACATTGGTTGGGGATTTAATTACGACTCAAGCACTAGAGTTTAAAGCACTCTGAAGACTTTACAATAAGACGCCAAAAGGGGGCATAAGTACCTACCAGATAGGTAGCAATAAATCGTAATAGGAATACGCCATAAAGCACAGGATACAGCGGATTATATTTATTATTTTATGTATCTTTTAAAGTCGCCTATGATAATGTACCAAATTCAAGATTTCGACAAGACTATTCCGACTCTTGCTACTAGAAAGGGAGAAAAAGTCGTGAAACTATAAAATATTGCCTAGGAAAATTTGAAGCGTATACCTGTCGAAATTTATGTCACAAGGAATTCCAACAGACCGCTCGGCAATGCGAGTTCTCGGAAAAATGAAAGCGATCTCAAACAGGACTTTGCTCCTATTCTTGCTTTCGTGGCGGCCGCCAATAGACCTTCCTTTACAACCATCTAGAAGCTGGTTGCATTACGTGTCCATCTATCAAGGTAGGCCATATCTATGGATTGCCATGGAACGAATATATGTGAGTATATGCTAAGTGATGACGAGGCTTCTTCGAGATTTGGAGCAATTGACCCATGAGATGCCATACCTTGAGGGAACAAATTGTGTTTTGCTGTCTTATCCTCCTAAACTATAATAGTTGTCGAGTCATAGGTAACTTCGGGGAAACTGCCCCATGTAAAGCCCTAGCTCCTTGGATGGTACATACGCCGAACTGGTGCAAGAATACGAAGTGATGCCGGGCGACATTGCTCTAGGATGGGTTGTCGACCAAGACGTAGTGACTATCACTACGAGCAACAGCGAAGAGCGAATTCAAGGACACTTGGAGAGGTTACCTACCTTTTTCAAGCTATCCGAACAAGAGATCAAACGCATTGCCGAGATTGGCAAACAGAAACACTACGAATAGCCTGTCGAGTATTTCATGAGACAGATATATTCTGCCTAGGTTCGCCTGTGCCGGGAGAAAAGGGGGGCTAGGTATTGGTCCTAACTCTGCCCATCTTACTTTCATAAGAATGACTCATGTTATAATCGTACGGATGGCCAAAGCCATAATTAAACCCATCAAGTATACCTAGCTAGAACATATAAACCTGCAGTGCCATTGCCTATTTACCTACCTACCTAACCTAGGTAATTATTAAAATCTAGATAGGTACCTATGCATGAAGGACAAGACTCCGTTTCCGTAAAGCATCTCGAGGTGAATTAATCCGCATAAGTTTAGCAACATCCGTATTTCCGGCCGAGAGCACTATAAGGTGTCATACTCCGGCTATTTGGTATCAACATTTGGGGACAGAGACTAAGCGGAAACCGTCTAGATGTCAGTAGAAAGCCTGGGACCTGCGGAGTCTAAACCAGACCCTGCATGGGCCATGGATCTAGTGTAGGCGAACTTCGTGCATTGGACTTTGTTAATGTGGCTTGATTCCACGCCTTTTCCTGATCTGGATCATGGCACCAGACCCTCGGTAAACATCGCCATTGTCGTACACACCTTAGGTACTTAGTATAGCATTGCCACTTTAGCCGACGTCCACGTTAAAACTACAACAGGGGTAACCTAGGGGAGAAAGAAAAGGAGAGCAAGCCATAGTATTTAATAAATATTCTCTAGATTATTATGAACCGTGGAGGAAAGGACGATTCTCGCCTCATCCCCGAAAGGCTTCCTATTGTGTTACTTGCTACCCTTCCAGGTTGTTAAAGCGGCGATATGGTGACACGGACTCATGAGGGGCGTTGGCTAGATAAGAACAGTTTAGCTACTACCCCGCGAGGATTTGAAGACATTCCTACAATCCACATTACATTGTCGTTTGTTATCCATACGCAATGACATCTAGGTAATCTGGACCCGTTGCTTATGATATGCCACGAGGTAGGCTTGCTAGAATATCAGAATATAACAATGCCTAACTATCCATAGAAAACAAAATCATACGAGTTTTGTTAAAAATCCTAGTTGACTGATAAGAATGGCGCAAAGCCAAATGACCTAATTCAATCACACCATCTGCAAGTAGAATTTCACCATGCAAGATCATGATCTTAAGCCTTATTGAGCCTCACCAAACTTACGACAATCCCATATTTAAGCATCGTTTTATATCACAAAATACCCGGAAGCAATGTGTACGCCAGTGCTACCTACCTACCGTGTCATCAGCATCATCCGTCCGCCATGGGTGCTACCACGAAGGAGGCTCAACCTATCACCAAGAGTCGACCCGTTCCCAGGACGGTAGCTGAGAAGTACGCGGACGTCACCCTGCGCTTGATCGAAGACCATGGGGACGAGTTCGGGCCCCTGACTCCCGAAAAGGAGACGGCATTGAGGCGGAAGCTGTATCGCCATATCATGGTTCTGATATCCGCTATCAACATCATCTTATTCGTCAGTCGTTTGCCCCTACATACCTAGGTATATATCTAAGGCAATACTTAGTACTAGGAGGCTGACTTTCTCGGTTGCTTCTAGATCGACAAGTCTACGCTGGGATACGCGGCTATCTTAGGACTCTTTGAAGAGACTGGGATCACGAAAGACCAATATAACAACCTGAACACGTTCTTCTACGTCGGTAGGTAACCCATCCTGCAAGGAATGTCTTACCAACACTGTTTGCTAACATAATGTTCGCAGGGTATCTTGCCGCACAATGGCCTGGGCACTACCTTCTACAAAAGCTTCCGTTCGGTAGATTCGTCGCCTCGATCATAGGTCTCTGGGCCGTCGTGATTTTCCTCCACTGCGTGGCGACCAAGTACGCCGGGCTCGTTGTGCTGCGCCTCGTCCTCGGCGCCGTCGAGGCGGTCATCGTCCCGGCCATGGAGATCACCATCGGCATGTTCTTCAACCGCGAGGAGCAAGCTTTCCTGCAGCCGATATTCTGGATCACCTGCCTGGGCGCCCCCATCGTGACCGGGTTCATATCCTACGGCCTGCTGTGGAGCAGGAGCAGCGTGCTTCCCTGGAAGCTGTTCATGATCACCACCGGCGGCTTGACCCTCCTGCTCGCCGTCTGGGCCTGGTTCTGCTACCCGAACAACCCCGCCGAAGCCCGGTTCCTCACCCTGGAAGAGAAGGTCCAGGTTATACAGCGGGTACACGGGTCCAGCCAGAGCTCTATCGAGCAGAAGCAGTTTAAGAAGTCTCAGCTCGTAGAGACTTTGAAGGATCCCGTCTCGTGGCTTTTTACGCTCCAGGCGTTCACGTTGATGTACTCGAACAATCTCACGTACGGCCAGCAGAACCTCCTGACCACATCCCTGGGCGTCTCCAGCCTCGGATCTACCTTGGTGGCGGTAGCAGGAGGCGCGTTTGGGGTAGTCCTCTGCGTCGTGGCCGCCGTGGCGCTCAAATGGTATCCGCGGAACCTCGCGATCCACAGCGTGGTGTGGTGCGTCCCCGCGGTGGCGGGCGGGATCGGGATGGTAGCGATCCCGTGGGAGCGGAAGCTGGCGCTGCTAGCGTGCCTGCTGCTCGCGGGGCACACGTACGGGATCACGTACATCATCGCGCTGGGGTGGACGACGTCGTCGGCGGCGGGGTACACGAAGAAGCTGACGCGGAACGTGATGTTCATGATCGGGTACAGCGCCGGCAACCTGGTGTCGCCGCAGATCTGGGTGCCGGCCGCGGCGCCGCGGTACTACGGCGCGTGGATCTCCATGATCGCCCTCAGCTGGGTCGGCACGCCGGCGATCCTGGTCGCCATCCACTTCATCCTCGCGCGCAGGAACCGGGAGCGCGAGGCCCTGATCGCGGAGATGAGCGAGGAGGAGAGGGAGGCCGGCCGCGTCGAGCAGTACGACGAGCACGGGCGCGTCGTCACGAGGAAGGTGGATATCGCGATGTTGGATCTGACGGATCTGGAGAACAAATTCTTCATTTACCCGCTGTAGTTTGCTTGTAAATTGCCTGATTAGGTGCTTACTACTAGTCCACACTAGAGAAAGGAGTCTATTTTATGGAGTTAACGAAGATGAGCGGCATTGCTGATATACCTGCCTAGGAGGTATCTAGCTTTAGAATAGGAGTCGACGAGTTTGTTTGAAGGAATTGGCATGACTTGGGTATACCTGGAATACAGGCCAGTCCCTGACCTTCCTTGGTTACATATGATAAACTTCTCATATGCACATAGCTGCTAGAATATCTGCAAAATGAAATGGTATAAGCTATCTCCAGGATGCAAAGCAAAAAGTCTCTATACGAATTTATCGCAGGCCAAAGCATGATAAACAACGAAGATGATTAGAGATACCCCTGATATGCGCAGAACTTGTCACAAAAATGGGAGAAATAAAAACTCAAAAATGATGGAATAATTAAATCATTGACGAGATTTGGTTCAAATGTTTTCATTTCATTTTTTTTTTGTTTGTCGGGTGCTTGAGTCAAGCAAGGCTGATCAGCTATAAGGGGTGATACAGGTGTGAACATTCACCGTGGAATCGACAAACATCTTTTCCACCGTCCTTCAGAAAAAAGCTCCATGGCGCAGCGGAAGCGCGCCGGGCTCATAACCCGGAGGTCCTCCGATCGAAACGGAGTGGAGCTAGGATTTTATTTTTTTTTGGTCTTTCTTCTCATTTTTATTTTGGTTTTACTTTTTTTCGTGTTAAAGATTTTCGTTCGTTGTACTAATAAACAAGTTCGGAATACCTACAACATTGACCCTTGTCTAGGACGAATTTTAGTCAGCCCAATCGGAATAGTCTACGAGACTGATTCAAACGAATGACGACGTTTTATTTTAATTTACTCCAATGACTCTTTAGACTCTTTACATTTATTAGTTATTTTTCGAAGATCTTCGGTTAAGTGATGGGATATAATTGTTCTGAGTTGTTGTGGTCATGTCTGAGTGTTCCTCCGTACTTACCACCCTGATACTATGAAAGGTACAATATCCCCTATCCAAAGGTACTTGAGTAGTATTATTATAAATACCTAAAGTTCGTACATACTTACTTAACATGCAAGAGTTCCTACATTTAAGTCATAATATAAAAATGATATAAGGCGATGGTAAACTGCCGAGAGATATATGCAGAGATTTAATACATTAAGCTCCCAATTGGTTGCATCAAATTAGCCGTTTAAGGAGGTAGATTAGATACCATAGAGGAGCCATATCTCTTCTTGGATCTGCTATATTAAGACCGAATTTCTCTAGAACGACCCTTATCAGATTAATATACAGATATATCTATGAGTATCTCAAGTATATTTCCTAGTGATCTCCCTCGGCCTGGGGAAAGCAATCTAAAGCTCGTCCCATACGCAAAGCAAAGCCCAAGGCGAACGATATCCCTATTCCAGCGTCCAATGTAAACAGAGAAAGAAAGAAAGAAGGAAAAAGAAGCATGGATTCTTTCCGAAGCGTTTTCGTCAAGGCGTCAATAGGCTTGGCTCTAGCAGTTACTGCCCTCGCCGCCCCAAACGCAACAGCGGTCCCTCTTGCGGAAGGTTGTGCAGCATACCCCGGCTACGACAGCGCGACAGACATGACGGGACCTCTGCGCGTGGTAGCCGACTTCACGGGCACCGAGCTCGACGGCTTCCGGTTCGTTCCGAAGTTCGCGATCGCCGTCGGCGGCGGCAGCTGGGGATTTGTACGAACAACCTCCCTTTTCCTTTTGTTAAGAATACCCACCTACCTAAGCCACCCTAGCTACTTCAGGTGCCTACCGATCTAAAGAGACACACCCAAGAACTAACATCAGAGATGTCGATGTAAATTAACAGATGGTAATACCGACGACCGAGGATAATATAGCTGAGACTCCGTTCCGCTGCGGTAACGGCACGCTCCAGGCTCGCTTGAACGTGGGTATCCAGGGCGATCGGTGGCAGGCTTTGATCGCGGCCGGGACGCCTGCCGAGTCCGTCTTCGGGTTTGGCCTCCCGGACCTTCCTGATCCTAACTACCATCTCAGAATTTGGTATGTTTGTTTTGAACACCTACCCCTATATTCCAGCGAGGACGTCTATAGTCCCAAGTATTTGAATGGCGTGAGTAGATGCTGATATGCGTGTGCTTAGTATGTCATGAGCGTTATTTCAATTGCCTCCTTGTTCCTTAATTACCTTCAAGATATCGTCAATCGTCAGATTCTGCTGAATCTACACGTTAACGTCGAAAACGAATACCAGCGTAAGGGCAATTAGAGCGCTAACATAACCCAGATTCGCACATACTAGATGGAACCGTGCAGCCGGGAGTATTTTTAGGCGCCGTCAATGTTACCACCTGGGGCTTCAACTACCAGAACAATACCGAAGCGGGCGAGTACTACTTCGTGAGATTGCTGGGCCCTAATAGCAACAATCTGGCGACAGGGAAACCGCTGAATCCAGGTGAATTTACTGGATATATTAAAATTACCGCCGCTTGAATACTGCGTATTCTACTTTAGAGACAGCTAGGCTGGTGCTATGATAACATAACATCTGTGTATCTAAGAGGATTAAATGCATCCTCTGAAGTATGAGCGTTCTAGATCGAGAGGCCATGGGGAAAATCTAGGAAACATGGCAATCTAAATAGTATAATCTATAACTAACCTGTACCACCAAAGCATTAATCCCATATCCAAGAGAAGGCGCGTACCCAGCCATCCGACTTCTCTTGAGGTTCGTCGGGATATTGGCTCGCTTGTAAAATCGCATCATCAAGGGGTATGCTCTTGAGTGACGTAACCCTAGTTTTCTTGACATATTTAAATATCAAATACGCACCAAGCACAAGCGGTATGTCCCTGCGTGATTAGTTAGTATAAAAGTTCATAAAAAACATCAGAGTATGATACGTACAAGTATGCCGAAATGAAGCCGCTGGCGCTCCAATTTCCTGCAGTGAAAACCTCAAAACCGCCTGTTAATAATATGATAATGCACATGATGAGAGCTAGAATGGAGCTGTAATCTGGACGAGAAGTTAGCACGTTATTCATCCACCACCTTTAGACATACGCAGCTTACAAGACCACCAGTTGTGCCATGGTAACCGCGAAGGTTGGATACCCTGCTTCGTCACAGCTAACTTCAGTCGAATGTGGTTGACCAAAATTGTGATCCACGAGACCAAGACGCTGGCGGCCGTCAGATCAACAAGGTACCAGAACACGGTCAGCGCGCTCGAGTCCAAACTCAGGAAACTGAGAAACATGAAAGCAGTGTAGAACAAGACGCAGGCGTAAGGGGTACCCCAAGAAGTAGTGCGGAGGAATACACGAGGCGCCTGCCCTTTCAAAGCTAAGGCGTATAGCACACGAGTGCCAGATAACAAGGTCTGGTTCGAGGATGACCATGCCGACGTAATTACAACGGCGTTAACGACACTCGGGACGGCGCTGATACCGGCGGCCGAAGCTGCAATAACGAACGGGCTCTGGGCCGCGGTGCCGGAGGAATCGTTGAGCCGGTCGTCATTGCTAGCAACCAGTAAACCAACCACGAAGATAGCCAACATATAGAATAGCAGGACACGGATAAACACACGCTACGACCAAAATGATTAATTAGCTGCTATCCTAGTTTGATACACTCAAATGTAAGGTAGGGTTAGGTTAGGTAATTTTGAATACAATACCTTGCACGCTCGCGGGATAGCCCGCGCCGGGTTCCGCAGCTCGGCGGCGGGCATAGCGATGGACTCGACGCCGGCGAAGGAGAAGACGGCGCTGGCCAGGACGCTCCAGAAGCCCAAGAAGTTACCCCAGCTTCCGGAGGCGATGTGCTCGACGAAGGGGCCCGGGTCGCGCCAGTACTTGAAGCCGGTGGCGGGGATGCCGGGGACGCCACCGGCGGCGACGATGACGTCGAAGATGATGAGGAAGACGATGAGCAGGACCTTGAGCAGGGCGAACACGAACTCGACCTCGCCGAAGACGCGCACGAAGGCGATCCCCACGATGAACGTCAGGGTGATGAAGCTCATGATGTAGGCGGCCGGGTGCACGTCATCGGTCCAGAAGGTGAACAACACGCATATCGCCGTCAGCTCGCTCGGGATGGACAGCGCAGCGCCGTAGACCAGGTTCCAGCCTACGGCAAACCCGAGGGCCGGATCCACGAGGAACTCGGCGTGCCGGACGAAGGAGCCCGTGACGGGTAGGAGGGCGGCCACCTCGCCTAAGGCAAAAGTTACGGCGCATACGATCAGACCGACAATAGCATATCCTAATAAAGCCCCGAGTGGCCCAGCCGTTTGTATAGCACCGCCGAGACCCAGGAATAGACCGGTACCAACAGCACCGGCGATAGCTATCATAGAAAGGTGTCGCTGTCCGAGACCACGCGACAGCGAGCGAGCCTCGGTAGCAGTAACCAGATCGGCATCGTGGTCATTGCGATAAGAATCGAGGACATCCTCGTGTACCATACCGTTTTCGTAGCCCATGTTATCTGCTGCTGAAGAAGACGAAGAAGAAGACGAAGACGAAGACGAAGACGACGAGCTTTGGAGACGACGACGCGACTCAGCGAGAAGCGGCTTGGTGCTCATGGCGAGATTTAAAAGGAAGAAAAAAAAAAAAGATGGGCTACGGCTACGGTGCTACGATGCTACGGTAGCTAGGTAGTAATTGGAAGAAGGGGACGTTTGGAGGATTTCCCAGGGTGTAAAGAGGTACCAACTTACGCCGTGAAACCGTCTAATGGCGTAAAATATACAAGACGAGTTTAGCGTCGAGGTGGTCTCACCGAAAAAGACGGATCTGCGAGAGACAAACTGCATTGGACACGAATGCATAAAACATAAAAAAGGTATTGCGCCATATTGTTCGACCATCATGTAATCAAACCAACCAAAAGAGGCTTTGTTTGTATTAGGACATCGAACATGGACGTTTGGGCTAGGTAGGTATTTGATATGAGTATGGGGTTTTAAGGACCAGTGAAATAATAGTGCTAAAAATTTAAGGTTAGGACCCCGGTTAATTACCTATTTTTATGTTTAGCGTACATAGTAATAGTAACAAGGATCAAGCAAATGAAACGGCGGGATAGAGTTTGACGTGATTCGCGGTTGTTTGCTAAAGACTTGAAGATTTTCTTAACTATTGTGGATAACTATAGTTAGTATACTTAATAGTATTTATATTGTCTATAGCATCTTATCAGATCGGAAACCTATAACTACGGAAAACGAGACCTGAAAGTTTGCATTGGATCAACTTGGCGTAAAGATAATTCAGAACAGCGGTTAACCAATCTGGTTGTTCGGATAGAAAGGTCCAGAGATGTTCAACTACTTCATTGTTGAGTCCACATCCTATCGTGACTTGTCCTTACATACCTACTTGAGACTTGTTCAGGGGGATTGCTTCGTCCAGCTAGGAAGACAGTAGACTTGGCAGGTTGATTTAGTTTGCTTCCAAAGATCGGTCCGTCGCATTAATAAAAGTTCGGTGTGCCGAGAATGAAAGAAACCCGTCAAATAGAGAGATTTGGTGATGAAGAAAGATATAGACATATTGCCTATACAATTTTTATTAGTTGTGTCTTTCGAAAAGTCAATTTCGACATGCGTAAGAAGGCATTCTTCGGAAAACCGAGAATTAGTCTTGGTGTCCTTGGTGTCCTTGGTGATGAAGTCAAGATACCTAGGACAAAGCAACAATTGACAACTCTAGACTACCTCTAATATATAAGTCTTACCTAATTTTCCATATAAATACATGATGTTGTGCGACCTCGACTCAGAATGAATCATACTGGATCATTTCTTGGCGCATTATCGATGTTCATTTTACTCTACCAACCCCTTGAGTATGGAGCTTCAACTCATCATGAATCACTCTTACTCACCATGAGCCATTCCCACTCATCGTGAACCCATTCTTACTTATAATGAGTCGCTTTCTCCTCATCGTGAACTAACCCCTACTCATATCCCGTCAGCAGTGATGCATCGTAGGATTTTTCTTTGTAGAGTAGAAGGATAAATAGACGCAGTGACAATTGCCCATCTTGTACATAGATTTCGTAGCTACTATGTAGTCGGGCAAATATGAATCGACCTTCAATCAAGTCAAATACGCTTTTATGTTAGTTAAGACATCGTGATATGGTATGTTATAGAATCTCTATATCCATCCCTCTTAACCAATCCCACAATTCCAAGATGACAATCACGTTCCCTCAACCGAGAAATAATTCTGCAGTCCTTCTACGGGACATTTTAAAAACACTTCACATGGGGAAAAAGAACGAGTCGACATCGTCTGAGAATAACACAACATCCAATTTTAGTATTAAGACTATACTAAAACAAACTTCCGAGACAACCGGGAGTTTTGCCCATCTCCCCCAGCCATTTCTTTGCTAACCTTTCCCGCTCTTCCCAGAATTCAGCTGCAGCATGCTGCGCAGCGCCGCCGTCTCCGCCTCCTGGCGAGCGAGGCGGAGCCGCAGGTCGTCGCGCTCCTCCTTGACGCTCCGGAGCTCCGTCTCGAGCTCGTTGATGCGATCGATCCGCTTCTGGCGGTACTTGCGCGCCGCGGCGTTGTTGCGCTTGCGCTTGAGAGCCGTCGCTGGGTCGATAGGCGGCGACAGGCTCTTCGCCTTGGCGGAATATTGGCTTGTCGGGCCCGAAGAGGACTCGGGCATCGTTGGCGGCGAGACGGACGGGTTCTGACTGTTATTATTATTGTTTTCCGCGTCCGACAGCGGCGGTATTTGAGAACCCGCGGGTGAAATGAATAGAAGATCTGGACTGAGTTCACAGCTAGGTAATAGAGTCTCTGAAGCTGTTGGTTGTTAGTAATTACACACATATAGGGTAAGACGACATAATATAGAATATATGGCGTATATAAGCGTGACTCACCGTTCAGCTGTCCGTTACACTCTTCATTTTGAAAAACGAAAGAGGTCCCCGCCCCTTCGAAAAGGGGGAGGGACCAGTCTGCACCATTTATACTACTGCTACCATTCTCTGAAAACCCCAAGGACCAATTTCCAACTAGAGGCTCGATCGAGCCCTCCAATGACGGGAAGAAATCCGCCGGCCCTAGTAGGGCGGAATCCCCCCAATCAAAGGAATTATGTTGATTTGGAGACGGCTCCCTGGTGCGGCCGATAGTATCCGACGTAGGCGAGCCTGGAGCAGCAAGCGACGAATGCGACGATTGCTGCCATGACGATATGTTAAAGTAACCTCGTCTCGATTCTAGGTTTATTGTATATACGCCGTTCTTATGGCGAACGGCGGAGCTTTCTCCCACTTAAAATGGGAAAGGGATAAGAAAAAAAAGATGAAGTTGGAGAGGGGAAGATCAACTTTGGGGGTTGTTTCTGGAATCCGGCTCTTTTAAGTTAGGTACCGTTGTACCAGATCTTATCCGGCTCGTCTTACTAAAAGAGATCGGCGCTTCCGTATCTGCACAATTGCACAGCCATCAAGCCTTTGCATTACATTACCTATGATGTGGCAGGATTTTGCGAGTATCGAAGGCGGTCAATTAAGTCAGCATTCAATCTTGTACCCCACTAATTAATGTACGTACTTACCTAAGGTAGTAGTAATTATTTCACATGCCTTATTTTCAGTTGCTTTAGCTTACCTTTGACTTACATAGGATTAGCTTATTGACATAACCCCTCCACATATCATCATCACATACCTTAGGTTAGGTACCTCTTATATGCACTCATACCCATGATTTCAAACTGCGGCCCGCCATGATAAACGCAGTTTTGGTCTTCAACGGCCAGGGCCAACCTAGGCTTACCAAGTTTTATACCCAGCTGGTATGTACCTATGTTTTTCTGATCTGAGCTTATTATATTATATTATATAGTATAATATAGTATAGTATAGTATAATCCTACCAATAAAACTCCGATTCTGACGAAATCTTCTTCTTACCCGCAGGAAACCAGCATCCAGCAGCGCCTCATCTCCGAGATCTTCACGCTAGTTTCGAACCGCCCGGACGGCGCCTGCAACTTCCTGCCGCTGCCCCCTCTGCTCGCGGCGTCGGGCACCTCGCACTCGGCGTCGGAGCCGCACAACGACGTGCCCTCGCTCGTGACGTACCGGCACTACGCGACCCTGTACTTCATCGTCATATCCACGTCGACCGAGTCGCCGCTCGCCCTCCTCGACCTCATCCAGGTGTACGTCGAGGCCCTCGACAAGCTGTTCGAGAACGTCTGCGAGCTCGACCTCATCTTCAACTTCGAGACCCTGCACGCCGCCCTCAGCGAGATGATCGTCGGCGGCGTCGTCATCGAGACCAACCTCGACCGCATCGTCGCCGGCGTCCGGTCCCAGGGCACCATTACGAAGCGGCCCGTCAACGAGTCTAGGGGCACGGGGCTAGGCGCTGGGTTAAGCGTGGGAGGGCATTTCGTATGGCCTGGCAGGTGATTGATTCCCCGCGCCCGTGTACCGGCACGGAGTATACATGCATGGAGATGGTGTCTGGCGTTTTTTTTTAACGAAGGTTTACGGATTGGGGCAGGCATGAATAAGAGAGAGAAAAAGACAGAGAGAGAAGCATCGTCTTTTTTTAGTACAGTATCCCGACTTTATATACGGGTGCAAATAACATCGAGTGGGTATTTTTAAACACCACCGCCGCCGCCATCACCACTCCTAAACTCCTACCATCCAATGCAATGCGAGGCTCGTAATATGCAGAGAAGGATATATATATATATGTGTGTGTGTGTGTTATTTATTTGGAATTCGGAACGGGTAGCATATCGGGGACTCGTCTCTCATATCTCTTTTCGGGCGAGAATGCGCCCAGCGTGTTCCAGAACTTATCCCTTATCTAAACATCATAGTCAGACTATATTAGGTACATATATATATATGACGCAGCGACTTTTGGGAAGGATTTGACGTACCTCTTTGAACGGCTGGTTCTCGGATTCCCACTCCATGAATAAGACCGCATAGACCAGGACAGCTACGGTAGAAACGCAATGTCAACGCAAGCGCTTCATAACCTTTAAAATTTAAAATACAGGACAGGCCCTTAAACTCACTAGTTACGCTGAACAGCTGTACCAGCCGAATAAACTTATCCCACCGCGGCCGCGCAGTCGCTAGCTTCACCCTCCGCTTGTAACGCCGTTCGAACCGGAACTTTTCCTTCTCGGAAAGCTTCGAGAAATCGGGCGGCCAGATCTTCTTCGGCTTGTATGGATTGTTGTATAGCTCCCTCAAAGGTTTTGTCGACGCATTTCTTACGTTGAGAGATATAGGCGCTCGCAATGCCGTTCTTCGTACTAACGTTGAAAACATGTCGGCTGCCGTCCTTCGATTCCGACAACTAATTTTGGTATGCGCCCGCAACGAAGTTCCGAATATCTCAACCGCGGTTGATTTTCTAAGGTGTGGCTTGCTAACGAGCACAGCCCCTCGATTTACTACTATTAGCCACATTGCATTACTACATACATGTACATACTAGGTAGGCATGTACAAACATTAGGAGGCAATGATCATGATCATTCAAGTCACACTTCCAAGTCCCGTATTCTCCAATAATTGTCCTAACCACCAAATAGTAGGCGGAATTAGATGTATTCAGAAAAGCTGGGAGCTGGCTTGAAGCCATATTATAGTATAGGCTATATGTCCGCCATACCTTATCACGATCCCTTATTTCTCATTGACTTATTTAACGCTGGCTTGCTTGAACATAATGCAACAACTTCCTCCCAAGAATCGATCCTACGTACGCCTCTGGTATCTCATGCAAGCCGGTCTATGTTTTATCGCCCCGAACAGTCTCGTTAGCCCTTGACTCCCTGCCGTTGCCCTATTCTCAGCAACTGCACTCACCGTTACCGTTGCCATGATGATTATGGTACGAGTTGGTAACAGTGTCGAATGACAATCAATACGTTCGCTCCCACGAGGTCCACCAAACTCCAACATTAGCTGCCACGGCAAGATCCAGCATCTTAATGCCCTCGTCAAATATGATCAACTTTCCCATCTTAGCTCTCTTGCCTCGGTTGCCGCCGCCTGCCTTTTCCCTGCCCAGGCTAAGGTCAAGGTGCCATTCGCCGTCTTCATCGTGTTCGAGACCATGGAACATCTTGTTGAATTGACTTTGTATTTGATCCCTAGCCCTAGCACCCCCTTCGGTAGATCGCTTCTCGGCGAATAATTCGCTGCTGGGCAAGTTGAATCTCAACTCGCTGATTGGCTGCCCTCTTGCCTTGTGGCCTCCATGCCCTGACTCGTGTCCATCTACGAGTGGGTTGGAAACGCCGCCGCCGTATGTGGGTAGGATATGATTACATCTGAGACTGCGTCCAGCGTTCCCGGTCACGAATTCGCAACGACCACCCCATGGACTATAAAATACGTAACCCCGGGCTTTAAGGCCTGGAGCAGGCTGGGTAATGACAGGAGCATCGCCGCCGTCGAAGTCTGTGCCGAACGAGGCTATAGACCCTTGGCTACTATGACGCGCGTGCTGGACCTGATTGCTAGGTAAACCTAGCCGCTCTTCTTCCGAGCGACTGCGATTATGGAACTTTTCACGCAAATTGGTGGCAAAAGATTTCGAATACGACATCATAACTTGGCGTTCAAAAGTATTCGAGTTCGATCCATAAACATCAAGTCGTTGGAGTCGTGATCCAGACGATGCGCTCCCAGGGCGTATATCAAGACTGGATCTTATATCCGCTGGCGGGTGAGTGGGCATACCTCGAAACTTAGCATAGCCAGAGGTCTCCAAGTGTATGCTAATCGAGGGAGACGGTTGGTGGTGCCTGTCGTCGCTAATGAGCTCAGGATTCTCTAGTTGGAAGGAATCTATCTTTCCAACATTCCATTGTTGGCCTGAACTAGGATCTCTTCTTATGAGGGTTAACGAAAAGGGAGTAAAAGGTCTAGGGGGCGATTTGGGCGATGGAGATCGGCCATCGATATACGAAGAAGCATATTTGTCAGTGAGCTGCTGTAATGTTGGCTGGGCACTAGGCCGTGGTGGTAACGGTGGGGTTGCATCAACATTTGATGCAGCTTGATAGTTAGGTGGTTGATTAGAGACTGGTGGCGGTGGTAGGCTCCTTTCCGAAGGATCTAGATTACCCGGGCGAAACACCAGGGGTTTTCGTTGTATGGGGCTCGTCGGGGTTGCGAATTGAGACTGTGGGGGCCGCTCGGACAAAGGAGCGGATGAACCAGGTTGATGAATTGCAGTTCGGATCGGAAGCTGCGCCGAGCCGGCACCGGCTTGGTTCTCCTTTCCGGAGGGAGGGAACTGAACGTATTCATCTGCTCGCGACGAGGCAAGACTTGAAGTTCCCGGTACAGGTTTTCTTTGGATCTGATTGCCCGACCTTGAGCTCTCACCGCTCGTTCTAGGAGACGATGAAGGCTTTGGCTGGCTGCGAGGGGTAAGAGCATCATCCTCGGGTGTGTTCAGGTGAACATAGTATAATGAACTGGCCACATCTTCTGCCGTAACGTTCTTAACCTGAGGCTTTAAAGTTGAGAGAATAATGTCTGGGCCAGATGTTAGAACAGAACTACAATGTTGGTTCGAATTTTATGCTATCTAGGCCTACCCCTCGTGCCGGGTACTCTCGAAATGTACAGAGTGATCGGATGCTGCTTTTCTTCGTTTGGCTTCTTTGGATACTGAGGCGGGTTGGCGGCCAGGTAATTAAGCGAGGCCAGTGAACGAGCCTCGACATACTCCTCCATGCTTCGTAGCGTGTGTAATGTAATTCGGCTGAGCGCTCAACTGTATGTGGACGAATGGGCTAATGATATAAGAAAAAGGAATTCTGCCAATAGGCGTAAATTATTTTTATTACGGCGAGGGCAATTGACAGGTGAAAATAATGTTGGTGAGGTGCTGGTACAAGCCCGGCGCAGTGAAGTTTATTCAATCAAGCCACCTCGTATCGAGGGACTTTGTCTAGAGTTTGTCTGCCAACTCAAGGCTCAACTATGGGAACGGGCTGGATCTTAATATAAATAAAAACTTGGCGGGAGGTTGAGATATTGCAATCGCAATGTCTGTTTTATAGGTATGATCCGATTATCCGAAATTGAATAACAACAAGTGTTAGTTATTAACTAGGTTAAGTAGGTTAGGTACCTTTTATGATAGGGAGTCGATCGGTAGAAGCTGGCACATAACGAATTATTGAATGCGTCAGCGTTGGGGCTGAGTCTGGTTGAGTTTGTTAAGTTTTAAAAATGCTTGGAAACGTTTTAAGTCGTGACTTTCGTGATGCTCTCTCTGGCTTTTCTTCGTTCTTTCCCTCTTTGCCCTGTCTGGCTATTTAAATCATCGCTTATACCCTTATATCAGGCACCGTCCAACCAACTGGGACCCCACTAACAAAAGCGCTTAGCAAACACCTCTGTTACTGCATATGCATATTACATAGTAGGTACCTTAACTTTAGGTGCACGTACTAAGTATCCCGTAGGCAGGAGTTAAATGATAGCCTATCTTAGGTACATATTAATTGGGTATCTCAGCTGTCACTTCCAAGGTTCCAACTGCAGCACATGTGTAATGGCAATGGTAATGGGGTCTTGCCACAAGCTGCCAGCACACATCCAATTCACGCATCCGATTAACTTGACATCTGTCATCATCATTTATAATCCACGTGCCTCTGTGTTAAATTCATGCCGAAAAGACTTTTAGGTAGAGATGAAAAAAAGGAGAGGGCCAAAATTGATTGGTAGAAATATAAACCGCAGTGAGAAAATAGTTTCGTCCAGCCGCTTCGCTAAGCCCCTTTTTCCTGCCTCGGGACCCGCGGGGTTTGTTTGGTGTAAGTCCTAAGGCGGTAGCTATCTCAAACCCCCTGACTTCACCTGTGCAATGCAGTTACATATGAAGTACCCGAAAAATAAGAATAAAATGAATATTATGAAGAAGTACAGGTGCTCTATAAATAAATTAAAGGAGGGTTGTTTGTCAATGAGATATTGTCTTAGATTAAAATGTCCTAGGCGGGTAGAACATCTGAATAACCTCATATGCCAAGTTTTGCTGTTAAACCAAAAAAGCTAAGATGCATCAGATGTCATAATATAAATTGAGCAGCGGAGAAGAAAAAAGTGAACAAACAAAAGATAAACAGTGACCATCGAACTCAAGAACCTCTGGGTTGCAAATCCCATCACCAGTTATTGAGTTTGCTCAACCCAAAATATAGAAAAAGCATGTGATAGACGTCACACTTTGTCCAGGTTTCTATTCAAAAAGAAAAAACAAGTCTTGTATAACATAGGAGGTACCTAACCTAACCATACACCTAACTCACTCGCGCTTATCCAATAAAACGAAATCCATTCCGCGTCTAGTTATATATCTCTATCTACCCGACGGAATAAGTCTATTTTTCTTTCTTTCTTCTTCTTCTTTTTTTTTCCAAACAACGTAACGCTTCATAGATTCATAACATCCAGGGGTTCGTCAAGTCGGTTTCGGTTTCGGTATTTGGTATTCGTCGGCCTGGCTTATCCAATATTTACCCATCCATTGGACCCAAGCCTAGGGGGAAATAGCCGTTCAGGTAAGGGGGGGGAAGAAAAGAAAAGGAAAGGAAAATAAGGATATATATCTAGCCTTCGGAGTGGTCGAGCTTGTTCTTCTCCGAGAGCGACGACGTCGGCGACCCGGCTCGGCGCAGCTGCTTCTCGTACCGGACAGTCGCCCACGCCGACGGCGAGTCCTTGAACATGAGGTCGATCTCCTCGAGGCTGCGGCCCATGGTCTCCGGGAACAGGAAGTAGACCGAGACGGGCACGCAGGCCGCGATGACGGCGAACACGATGTAGTACTTCCAGCCGATGCTGTAGATGGCCACGGGAGTCACCATCGCGACGAGGAAGTTCCTATATGATCCCCACGTGTCAGCTACCTTACTACCTTACTAGGTATATACGGTCGGACGCCTTGGCACGCATGAAGGCCAAGAGGTTCCAAGAACCACGGGAGGGAACTTACCAGGCCCAATGGTTGGCTGTCGAGATCGAGCTCATGGCCATGCGCAGCCGGAGTGGGGCGACCTCGGTGCAATACAAGAAATTGGCGCCAAGGAACCCGATGGGGACGAAGGTGTTGTACAGATAAATAAAGCAGCCTGCCGCGATCTGCGCGGCTCTGTTGGACGTGGGGAACGATGTCGCAACGGCGAGTGCTATCATGCAGCACGACACTTCAACAACGATAACAAGTCAGCAGCCGTCCTTCTTACTCCTACGAAGCGAAATTTCGGGAAAAAACCAAACACGCCATAGAAGCAATAATGGCTGCTAAGATGGGTTGAAAAAAAGGGGGGTTGGGAAGAGGAAGGGGGAGGGAAAGGGAACGTACTGCCAACGCCGCTGATGATGAAAACAACGCGTCGCCCGAACCGATCGATAGCCACGAAGGCCAGGAACGACGATAGGAACTTCCAGGTCAAGGCACCGGCGGAAAGGATGCGCGAGGTTTCGCTGCTCAAGCCGAGGTTCTCCTGGAAGAGGATCGGCGCGTAGACGCTAATAAGATTGCTTCCACTGCGCGGAATTTCTCGTTAGCTTCCTTCTTTCTGTGTCTAATAGAAGACGCCAAACCAGCATGCATGCTACTTACGACATCTGCTGGTAAAACTGCAGGAGAATGCACAGCCCGAAGCGGTAGACCAGCTTGTCCTCGCCCATCTTGAGGAGCTGGCTAAGCTTCGCGCCGCCGTTAGCCGAGAGCTCGAGCGAGAGCTCGATGCCCTCGATCTCGGCGAGGACCTCGGGCGCGTCCTGGGGGAGGCCGCGGAGCACGGCGAGGTTCTCGCGGGCGAGCTCGGCCTTGCCGGTCATGAGGAGCCAGCGGGGGGACTCGGGGAACGCGTAGACGGAGGCGACGAGGACGAGGGAGAAGAAGCAGGCGATGGCGATGGGCGGGCGCCAGGTGACGGCGCCCGTGCGGAACTCGAAGAAGCCCAGGTTGATCCAGGACTCGAGGACGTAGCCGAGGCAGATGAAGAGGCCGTCCAGCACGACGTGGCGGCCGCGGTTCTTGGCGCCCGACGTCTCGCTCTGCCACACGGGCACCAGCGAGCTCAGCTGCCCGACGCCGAGGCCCACGACGATCCGGCCGACGATGAACTGCGGCAGCCCGAAGGCGGCCGCCTCGAGGACCTCGCCGACGAAGGTGCAGACGGCGGCGAAGAAGATGACGTTGCGGCGGCCAAACTTGTCGCCGGTGTACGAGCACGAGAGGGCGCCGAAGAGGGCACCGATGACGAAGACGGCTACGACGAGGCCCTGCAGCGTCGACTTTTGGCTCTTGTCAGAGCCGACGGCGTGGACGGTATCGATCTGGGGGAACGTCTTGACCCAGTCGTTCTCGGTGATCAGGCCGCCAATACCGGCCTGGTTGTACCCGAACAAGATGAAGGACGGGGCGACGATAAGAGCCGTCTGCAATCTGCTCAGGAGGTGGCCTTGGAGGCCGAAGTATTTGGAAGATGCCATATTATTACCATATATTTCTCTTATTTTCTCTTATTTCTCTTAGGTCATAGGGGCGGCAGAATAGGAATGGAAAAGTGAAGGAAAGAGGGGGAAGTGAAGAAGAGGAGAGGTAGTAAATGTATAAAGATTTGGATGTAACGGATAGCGGCGGTAGCGGTAAAGGTTAAAAAAAGAGCTAAAGTTATACACCTAAGCTTACGGGTTACGAGCTACGAACTACGAGCTACGAGTTACTACTATTACTCCTACCTTAGGTATTTTTTGGCTTAGGGCGGGAATCGGAGATCTGGAAAACGACGAACCACAAGGAAGAGCAATTAGGGTAGTCATGAATTTCGGAGATGTGGTTGGTAATCGGAATTAGCCACTCGTTCTTCCCCCAGCATCAGCTCTCGTTTGTTGCGGAGCCCCATGGGACCGAATCAGCAAAAAAAAGAAGGGTTTTCGGATGTATTTCTGGGTCCCTGGGAAAGGGGGGGAGGGGGGAGGGTTGATTGAAAAGACAGGTGATCCTAAACCTTGAGAATAGGTGGCGTGGTGGTAGATGGTGGATTCTAAGACGCGTACCTTGCACATTTTGTGGTATCGCTATAGTATCGTTATGGTATCTCTGTCCATCAATGATCAGACTCGGACCCAGACCCCCATCATACCGCGATCTCTGCAGGAGGAACCCCCCCTGGTACATACTACATAGTAGTAGTTCGTATCGCGCTTGATGCAGTTACAACGGTTACGGCATAGAAGTCGCGACTAGGTTGTTAGTTCGCGGCTTTTGCTCGGTCTAGTGGATACACGATTCAGGGTCGAGGCTCATTTTGGCTTTTTATACCCGGGTTTTTGAGGGGTTACGTATTTGCCTTACATATATCTATGTGCAAATATGTATTAGATATACGTGATACGTTCGAAACATACATCATATTATATTACGTAGTATGCGTGCGTACAGTATATATAAATTGACATGTGGTGTATGTCAAACTTGAGATATATTACCAATTTTTTGTCTCTTTTTTCTTTCCAAACCGTCTTGCCCTTGGAGGTTCACCACCTAACATGCATTAGGTAACCAGGAGGTGGAAGTAAGTAAACACAAATCGGAATGACAGAGCTCTGTTTGTTTGTTTGCTTGTTTGTCCTGTCCTGTCCTGTCCTGTTTGTTTACCAATCTCCAAGGTTTCTTCTTGTATGAGAGTCTCCAGACTAGATAGCCTCATCCGTCATAAGATCCTTGTCAGGATTTACTGACGAGGCTCGAGGGGTACAGTGGGTAGACTCAAGGGTCTTTTTTTTTTTTTTTTTCTCTCTTCCAACGTTCCACATAGATCATCTCACCATCTCTTAACTCGGCGGGGACTCAACAGTCAGAGATCGCCGTAGGCCTATGAGAGCCAATTGATAAATCCCGCACCGTCAAAATTCCTATAGCTTCGTTTAACAAAATGCGGTGTCCGCAAGCTAAGCTAGTTGCTAATATACTATGTACCATGTTGATGGACCCTGTAAATGAGAAATGAGGCTAGTACCTAGCAATTCCATCCTTCTTCATATATGCACATCATATTCCCCCTGTCACTTCTATTTCCCCGCCGTTATTCGGCGGTCAATTCGCCAATTCTTCTTTCAATTTCCGGCACTCGTCTTAGCAACACATCCAGGTCTTCCTTTTCGTCCTCGAGCTTCAACCTCTTCTCGGCGTCGAGCTTCGTAAATACATAATGACCCTCTCCGTCGAACTGCAAAATCTTGCTGTGGTACTTCCACAAACTCCGTCGATGGCTCACCGTCATCAGTGTGATTCCTAAGGCCTTCGCATTATCGTACATGACCTTCTCGGTCTCCAGCGTCACACTGCTCGTGCATTCGTCCAGGATTGCGTACCGCGGCTTGTGATAGAAGAGACGAGCCATGGCCACACGCTGCTGCAAGCCACCTGAGAGCACGTCGCGCCATTCAGCTTCTGCATCCCAGCCCTCGGGGTAAAGATCTACAAGGTGCTCGAGAGAAAGAATCTTGAGGATATCTAGCAATTGGGCATCCGTGACCCCGCGCGCACGAACACTCCGTAGACTATCGGGGTATGTGATTTGCTGGCGAAGACTTCCCCGCGATAAGTATGGCCGTTGTGGAATGTAAAAAATATCCGTGAAAGGCGGCTTGTAGACTGTGCCACCATACACAGGCCAGAGGCCCCCTAGGATTCGGAAAAGACTTGACTTTCCGCAGCCGTTTGGACCAACGACGAGAAGGTGATCACCTTGCTTAAGCGAAAATGACAGCGCTTTTACGAGAACATCGCCATTGGGGGAGATAATCGGCACGTCGATAAATTCGATGTCCTTACTCTCAACTATCTTCCCCCTGCCCTTTAATACCGCTTCGTTATCCTCAGTACCCGAACTAGATACTAGCTTCTTCTCGAAATGCCCGGCCTGGATATCGTCCATAACGTCCAATAGCGATGCAACACGCGACGTGTAACCGGCCAACTCCATGATTTCGCGGTAAGAAAACATTATCCGCCCAAAGGCATCGGATGCGCCGAGTAACATTCGCCTGTTGGTTACGAACGACTCCGTTCGATCGCCCATGCTAGAAGTGCCGGCTAGCTGTCCGGGCAATTTGAAGAAGACGGGTACACTGCAAAGCAGAAGACCCAAAGCACCCCAGAAATATTTAATGACAAAATCCTCCATCACGCCATGGTAGAATCGCCGACGTAATATGTAGTTGACGTGCTTGATAAGCGTAAAATAGCCCTTGTCGAGAGTGTCCTTCTCTACTTCGTGGCCGTGGTATAGCGCTACCTCTTCACTGTGATCGATAAGTCGCGAATGTTGAAACCGGAACTCGCCTTCCAATCGTGCTTCGTCCGCAACGTATTTTCCAAAGGGGGGTGTTAGGGCGCGCATGACGTTGGCTGATAGTTGGACCAATAAGGACATGAACATAACGCCTTCGCCGCCGACGCTCTTTGACAGCGACCAAGTGTAGATGGTCTGGAACACGTTAGTTTTCTGTTACAGACGCCACAATATGCATAGGATCTCACCATGTCTAGCAACGGCTTTGCCAGATTGCCGTATAGCTCAGCCAAACTGTTAGAGAACTTGGCAACATCGACTGCTATAAGCTGGTCTGGGTTCTTTATCCGATCATCAAGCGCGGAGATGCCGTAGAAGGTGAGTTGGGAGAGGTATTTGTCGTGAATATACTGGGTCAATCGTGTTCGGTAACTGAGGGATAACTCGGCTTGGTGATACGAAAGCTAGAAGATGATTAATTAATGAACGGCATCAAACGAATAGATCCGAGACTAGGCTTCTTCTCACCATGGAATTCGTAAATGTTGCAGGAACAGCAATTAACATCCACCACACAATTCTTGTGAGGAATTCCTTTCCGTTCCCTTTTACAAGTGCCTTTACGATTGCGCCATCCATCTCGGCAACTTTCAAACTGATGAGTGTTCGCACAACTAGGAAGAAGCTATGGCTGAGGAGAAGCCGAGCCTCCTTGCTCCGTACGCCGGGGACGACTATTTTAAGCAATTTTAATAGCGACTTAAAGAACTCGCGGTCCAGCTCAACTTTCTTCTTCTTCATGGTCACATCTTCACCGTCGCTCGAGGTGGTACCGGATCGTCGCTTAGCTGTCTCGCGTGCGGAGGCAGCCTTTTGCTCGGAAATGGCATGTCGGACGCGGTTGACGAGTGCGACGAGTAGGGTAAGATAAACGGCGCGTGAGATCCGGGTTCGGTTCTGGGCGTACAACGTCGTTAAATGCGCAATGACGCTCTTGGCCGACCGATCGGATAGAACAAGTTTGGATTGTACCGCCATGTTGGTGGTCGATTTGGGAGATAAGGTGGTCGGCTATTAGTTTAGGTAGGTACCTTAGGTAGGTGGGAGGTAGGCAGTCTCTTGCGAGACGACGACGAGGAGCTGAAGCTCGTTTACCTCGAAGTGAAATAAAATAAAATAGTTAACAAATAAGATTCATCTCATAGTTAGAACAGAAATGTGCACAAAATCAAGTCGACCGAAATTTACACAACTTGGAATTATTGTGATTACATGGCTGCAGCCAGCAAGTGGTTAATAGTTGAAAGTCGCATAGAAGTTGAGTCTGAGTCTAAGTCTCAGTGCTATGAAGCTACGGGTACTTCAAGGGAAGCAACCTTAAAACATCCCTCGGCGTATGCGACCAATGCTATCGGCTTTGTCGGTTGTCTTGTCTTAGGTAGGTAGGTAAGTAATTGGTGACGTCCTAACTTTAAGCATGTGATTAACCCCAGCCTTTTCGTTGTAAGCTCCCGCGCTCCCTTGATTTCCCCAGCTGAAGTAGTGGCTGCTGCCCGCTGTTACTGGGCTTAAGGCTTAAGGCTTAAGGCTTTAAGGCTTAAGGGGTGCTAGCGGCTACTTACATGTATCAATAATTGTACCTACATCTTGCAGGTGGCTGAGGTGCACATGTGGTGTTTGAGTGTGGGGTGAAACTCGGATTGCTGCATACTATGTAAACCCAAACCAGCGCTTATCCGATTTCGTATCCAACCGCGGGGTTTTCATTTGTTGTACTATGTAAGTCTTTAACAAATTTTGAGAATGGTGGCGGCTTAACAAAAAGAGTCATTTCTTTCATTATTTCCCTCCAACTTGCAAAGAATCCAACGCTATATACCTAGGGACCTACCAAATAATAAAACGCTTCCACGATGGCCGACGAGGAAATTGCAGTTTACGATGAGGTCGAGATAGAAGACATGACCTTCGACGAGACGCTACAGATCTACCACTATCCTTGCCCGTGTGGCGATCGATTCGAGATTTCACTTATGGACCTCCAAGACGAGGAGACAGATATTGCTGTTTGTCCCAGCTGTAGTCTGATGATTCGAGTTATCTATGATCTGGTTCGTCTCGCAATATTCTTGCCATCGTGTGAATCTACATGTTGACAAAGACTTTCAGGATAACCTACCAAAGCCCGACTCTGACCCTCCGGCTCCCCCTAGCACTGAAAATCAAGTACCTCTTACTGCGTGAACATTCGCTCTGTGAAGGGCAGATGCGTGATATAATACAGATAATACACAACGAGCGCGAGAATGACAAATCGCCGAGCCGTGGAGGACTAATGGTAGCGTCGTGGAATGATATCTTGTGATGTCAAACTGCTCGGGAGGGGTATGCGATATACGGGAAAGACGAAATACAATACCGCTACATTTTGCAAGCCAGGTATCTAAGCCAGGTATCTGTCAACACAGATAAGACGTGTTAGCTTCGCTTGAAACCCCAATACCCCCAAGAAACGATCACGTTATGGCACATGCAGCATGTGCAAAATCAGCGAAGGTCTGTTGGAACCATGGGTTAGGTACGCGGCGGCAAAGTGCAGCTTAAGATCGGGGTACCGCATATTCAGTATGCAAGAAGTGCGATCGCAGATGATCAACCTGCTAGGCCAGATCAAATTCAATGCGGAAATATTATTATTAATATTAAAAGGGATCCCAACATAGGGGGGGTATATCCAAATGCGAACACCGTGAATGCCAAAAACGCTATCAGCGTCTTCAAAGCAATCCATCCCCAAAGCCCGTCCCCCAAAATTCAATATTCATGATCGTGTCCCTGAACGCCCGTGAAATACTAACCCGACCTAGTAACCCCAAATCCAGTTCATAGTAGATATAACCCAGCAGCCGAAAAGACGATTAGACCCATGACGGAAGCTTTCTCCAGCGCGGGTTTCTCGGGAGCTGCAGTCGTCAGGGGGTTCGGAGATGGTGCAAGCGAATCGGTAGAGTTGACAAGAACAGGCGTAGAGGCTGTAGCGATATCCAGACATCGATTAGCCGCATTCTTTCTGGGCGAACGGGATCGAAAAAAAAAATTAAAAAAAAATCGCGCTACCTACCCATTGAACCTGACGCATCCTCGACTTTCATGCTTGTCGAATGCGCGATCATCACTCTTTGTTGGGCAGCAACAAAAGCTACTGGGCGTGCTACGGTGGCTAGAACAGCGGATAGTCGCATCTTCTTAGCTACGAGGATGTTGCTTTTTGATATATACTATGTAGTATGGATATATAGTATGGCTACTATATAAAATTACCATTCAAACTTGATTGCGCTTTTCCTTCTTCGTGTAATATGCCCGGAAAAGGTGGTGGCACGGCAGAAGCAATGTAATGTTGATGCTGTTTGAGCTGCCTGGCAGCAGCGCATAGACAAAGGGGGTATATTGCAATATGTTGCGATGCGATGCGATGTGATGTGATGCGATGTGACTTGCTGTTCGACGTATGTAAAATCATAGGGCAGCTACAGTAGTAATAAAGATCTAGCTTATGCGGGCGAGATATTTGCGGTTATTGTCGTAGAGCATCATGGTTGGTGGCATGGCATGGCATGTGGGCAGAGAACGGTTACATATGATAGAAGACGAGGGAAGACAAGGGCGGGGGGTAAGGTTTTGGTAGTAGTTCTTTAGGATACTTTAGGATATCGTAGGTAATCTACCATCCAGGAAAGGTTCAAAGGTGCTGATCAGGGTTGCCGATCAAGGCAGGGATAGGCCGACTTACGATGCAACGATGCGACGCGGACCCAAGCTCGGCGAGTTTGCGTTATCTATCACTAAGACGCCAGCGGAAACAAGATTTCCTTATCCTCAGACCAGGCCACGTCGCTGCACGCGCGATCTCTTAAGTGTGACAAGGTGACGAAAGAGGATGGTAATTACCTATTCCGCTACAGGGAACAGGGAGTGGCCAACCTCTGAAACAGAACGTGCTCTCGATTCAAACAAACGTCGCGGCAGCAAAGGTCGGAATGTGCCGTTTTCGGAAACATGAGGCTTGAAAATACGGGGATGGGTTAATTGATATATATCGTACGTCTTATGTTGAAATTGTTTATGTGAAAGAATAAAGAATATTAATATTAAAATAAATCTAACCTCAATTCGCTACCTACTGGCAGTTCTCGGTCAAATACCACAAGAAGCCTTGCATGTAGATCCTGAGCGAATAAGCCTTTTAGTCGGGAAATTTAGCGGTATGGGAGGATGGGATTAGGAAATTCGACCGAGTGGATAAGAAAATAAGAAAACGTGGGCAATTGACAGCGGGTTGGCGCGGGTAGCTTTTCCTTGCTTGTTCAGCTCTTCCACACTTTCACAAAAAGCATACGTCATTACACGGCAACTAGGAGGGTTGCATTAAAAACGTCAATTTCAGAGCAGAGCATAATATTGTTCTACATGCATTAGGTTATGTAGTGTTTAACAGGTACCTAGGTACCTCATTAGGAGGTTAGTCATACACTCAGATGCGCAAGATGAACATGAAAATTCGAGACAACATCATATATTATCGTATATTCTAATAAAATAACATACACAGGCAGTGCCGGATACTTTAACGTGAAAAAATCAGTAGTAGGTAAGGTACCTGTTATCTATCAGAATCAAACAGCTCCAAGTACTTTGCGCTGCTAGGTGTCTTATACTAACAACAAGTCAAAGCTATCGAAAACAACTTCTACCTAGAAAGTTTTATGGTCTATCATAATCTGCCAACCATGGAGCATAAATCTTGCCGTCCCACGCCATTTCTAAACGCGACTGGGCTGCCCGAGTCCATCTCTCCCTGATAGTAGCTACCATCGCTGGAGGCCAGTCCTTAAACAGATTCTGGTCGTCGGCAATCTTGAGGAACGCGCGCATGATGGACACTGCGATGTCTTGGTAGCCCAGGATACGGGTAGATCTGATGATGCGGGCTATTCTCTGGTGGTGATAGGAGTACATGCTTGCCCAGTACTTAAACCTGTCAGGTGAGCCGCCAGCGTCGCGTATAGTGGCTACCTCGGTAGCATTTTCCAACTTGGCTGGGCTATACTCGACAGAGAGGCCATAGTAGTTGAGCATACGAATAATCGCAAGCTTGAGATTTTCCCCGATGCCTTCATCCTGGCGCATGTATATAAATGTCTCCTCGTCCATGACGGGCTCGGAATAGTCGGACGAAAGGGAAGTAGCACCTACTCTTTCCGGGCACGGGAACAGCCAACCCATAAAGTCGGGTTCTGCTTCGAGTTCGTCATCGTCTAAGCTGAGTATATCGTCAAAATAGCGGCCCTGCCAGTCGGTGTTGAAAATGACCGGATGATAGAACTCCACTAACCAACGAAGGGCCGGGTCACTGGGCAGAGGCCTGTTCTTGACTCTTTCTTGCGTCGAATACGGGTACTGCTTGGCTGGTTTATATCTGTAGTATTGACGGCTGCGTGAATTGCTATAGTTAGACATGATGTACCTATTCCGTTGTGGCTGTACCTAGGTAATAGATGTTGTTTTATATATCTCTTTTCTAGGTACCTGGTATATATACATATGTCTTGCCGTACTTACAAGTCTAATTTCATACCTATTCGGAACTATCTTGACATTTTAAAATAAACTAGACTACCAAGTATTCCATTCATTTGCCTCACGATAATGATCTTGTTTGGGAATGTTCTCAATGTTCGGTTTGGATATATAGACCTTGTCTTAGTCATAACCACCTTTATGTAAGTATTTGTTTCCTTTGCAAGTATTAACCTATGTGCATGGGTTGCTGACAATAAGAAAACAGCATTGACAACTTATCACAAAGACAGGAAAAGGAAAGTATAACAAATCATTTATTCATTTCGCACATGCTTGCCACAGCTACGAAGTAGTTAAGGTAGAATATTTTACTAGAGCCAGTGTTTTTTAATGATTGATGCTCTACTTTGAATACAGGATGCAATATTTATTCCCTAACATCGTAAATAAAGTCTTGGAATTATCTTTTGCGCGTAATACCCTATTAATACTTCAGGTACCTAGGGATGGCATCCTAAATATTAGCCTTATCTCTGTAGGTAGTCCAGGTGGTTGGTATATCTTCAACGGGAACCTGCATTTGGTGGGGACCAATAAGAGATGAAATTCCTCGTCAATTCGATCCGTATGCCTCGGTAAATATCTGTATGCATGTATGCATGGTATTATTCCGCTTACGAGAAGCAGGCTAAATGGTTACCTTAGGTACGTTTCGGACTTTTATATGTCAATCATCAAGTTCAGTCCTCACCTCATGCAAATAATCTCGGACTAATACATCGTATATCTGTCTTACAGGAACAGATGCATTTGCATCTTGGCTGCCTGGAGTAGAGAAGCGTAAGACAAAGTGGGGTTGATTCTAGTTATTTGAATAAGATATAACTATCTTCATTCCCATCAAAAAGACAGCGGAACGAACGTGCCACGAGTGCCACGAGAATAGTCAAACCATACATTCGAACATAAAAATAAAAATAAAAATAAAAAAATAGAATGGCAGGGCCTAACCCAGGACAGAAGACAGTTCTAGTAACTGGGTAAGTTGTTGTTACGGTTCTGTATGGAAATTTTATCCGTTACATATCTCACTAACATGCATATTTATAGTTGTACTCCAGGCGGCATTGGACATGGTCTATGCCTAGAATATCATCAACGAGGTAAATCATGCCATGTTTCTATGCGCAGAATGGTTTGATTGACGTGGGAATAGGTCTCCATGTCATTGCGACCGCCCGAAGACCCGAGGTGCTGGCCGATCTCGCGGCCTTGGGCATGAGCACCCTGGCACTCGACGTTACCGATGTCGAAAGCATCAAGCAATGCCATGAAGAAGTCGCAAAACTAACAGGCGGCAAGCTAGATATTCTCGTAAATAATGCGTAAGCTTCCGTTTCTCCCACTACTTGCTTGAGCATATGTAGCTTACTAGATTGCAGTGGCCGTACGCATACGCATCCCGCGACGGACATTGTATTATCGGACGTCCGACAGACCTTTGAGACTAATGTGTTCTCGATAATGGCTATGGTACAGGCCTTCATAGATCAGCTAATTGCAGCGAGGGGCTTAATCATCAACATTTCCTCTCTGTCGTCTGTTACCCCTTATGTATTCGGCTCGGTATACTGCGCGAGCAAGGCCGCTGTCGTGGCCTATTCGCGCACCTTACGAATGGAACTTGCACCATTTGGAGTACGCGTGATGGTATCGATGACTGGCACCGTCAAGAGCAACACAGCAGCCCAGCCTCTTCGTGGTCTACCGGAGAGCAGCCTCTATAGTCGCGCCAGTGCCATATTCGATTGGAGAGTGGTATTTAGTCAGAATGCATCTACATTTCCCACCGAAAAATTCGCGAAAAAGCTGGTTAACGACTCTTTACGCCCAGAGGTCCCATCAATCCTAAGGCGTTGGTTCGGACGGCCCGATTGGTTCTGGTCCGGCGGGATGGCGAATTTCGTATGGTTTGGGACATGCGTAGGCGAGTGGCTTATTGACGCCTTCTGTTGGCGCACTTTCCGCATGGACGAGGTAATGAAGCTGGTCAATGAAGAACAGAGACAGAAAAAGTTGAAGTGATGTTGCTATCATTTTTACCTCTAATCAATCTTCTGTATGATTAGTAGGTGCGGGACTATACTATAGCCCATGAGTTTCTCCATAGCGTACACGCTTTCAACTTGCCCAGCGCTTATTCGCTTGATCCTTCTGACAAATGCAGCCAGTGAGGCTAGTACAACGGCTACTCTTCGTAAAAAAGAAAAACAAAACTTTAGAATATGCAAGAAGATAAAGACATTAGTTCAGTACTTCGCCGCGCATTGTCTATGTTGGCTTGATATTATGTAGCACGTGTACGCCTACCTAACAATTACATTTTTAAGAAGCAGTCTCCTTTCAGTAATTTTCAAGTCGTTTAAAAGAATGACATTGTATATGATTGTTCTAAAATCCGTTCTATAAAAGAGAGCGGCCACGCCTTACAAGGGAGAGTTGCTCTATAGTATTTTGCACTGTAGTAGGTATTCGTCTACATCGATTACATCGAAAGGAAATATATCAATCGATATTGGCGGTACTTGAAGCTTTTGATTCTGCGAAGGCTTCTCGATATGTGCTTTATAAACGTCTTTAAGTACGTAGGCTGTGGTTGCCCGGCCGGTTCGTCTAAGGCCGTCCACCTCCCCGATGCACCTTGCTCACCACCTTACGAGACTATAATAGTTAATGTGCCTGGGAAGTGCGCTATGCATGCTAGAACAGGGCAGTGAATTTTCTCCAAGTGGCACATCTCTAACAATAAGGTATCGTATGTTTGTTTCTCGGGGTACAACTGCCTAGGTAGCAATCGTGTTCGGGTACTTAGGATCCAGAGCTCCAACATATATGCTTATAGAGTTATTTCTTAGTAGAAAATATTCCATTGCCAGCTGAATATACCTAAGTACCTAAGGTTAGGTAGTCTTAATAATAATAAAAACTAGAGTGCGCCACATTTCATAAGATTCTCGATGTGCAACTTCGACCGCCAGTAACTTAGAACAACAAACAAGACAACATATAGATAGAGCCTTGAGTATACCAAGGGAAACGAAAGAACTTGCAAAATAGAATAGAAAATAACATATATATTAATCACGTACCATCGAGAAATTCTATCCTTATAATGAGTTGCTGCGCACATAATATTTTAAGATAGGGGTCGAAGTTCATCCGTTGATCCCCTAACTTTCAGCTCAGGTTAAAACATCGCCGAAAAGCAACTTCTAAGAAACAACAATTCTCGGTAGCTTTTTACCTGTGACAGGGAGTCGATCCTCCGAATATCATCCGACCCTTTTGTCTTATTGGCTCTATCCTTGGTCGGAATACAGGTCTTCCTAACCGGTTACGCTCAACATCGTCATCGCATTTCTATAGTCCGAGGGGAGGCGGCGTTAAAGAACAGATAAGGAACATACATATAAGGTAGGTAGGCTACCACTTCTACCTATATGTAAAGCCTGCAATGACGCTCCACGGAGAACTCACATCACACAATATGAGCAAAGTGATTACCGTACATACGTCTTCTCTCTTCGACTCGAAGCAGAAATGCTTCGTTTCGGACCTATCTCTCTCGATTGACGCCAGTACTGGTTTAATCACAAGAGTCTATAAGCGCGAAGGACCAGTGGACGATGCATCGCACCCCAACACGATCGACCTCCGCGGTCTTACCGTTCTCCCCGGGTTGGTTGACGCGCATACGCATATATTTCTACACCCGTACTCCGAAGTGTCTTCCACGAACCAGATGCGCGACGAGAGCTTCGTCGAGAGAGTAGTGCGGGCTACGAACCACGCCAAGGCCGGTTTGATGGCGGGCTATACCACCTACCGCGACCTGGGTACCGAAGGCCTCCGGGACGCGGACGTGAGCTTCAGAGACACGATTAACCGCGGCATCATCCCCGGGCCGCGCATGTTCGTTGCGACCGAATGCATCGCGTCGAGCGGCGGTTACGAGACGCGGCTGGAAAACGGCTTTCCGGGAGTCGGCCAGACCGCCCCTCGCATATCGGATCCCGCGGATGGGGTCGACGGCGTCCGGGCGGCGGTACGGAGACGCCTGGGTGCAGGGGCTGATATTATCAAGTTCTACGCCGACTACAGGAAGCGAGTGCTGCGATATCCGAAGCCCAGCTGGCCGGGCGCATTGGACGTGTGCTTCCCGCCGTCCGACGACGCTTTTACCGGGCAGAGAAACCCGAACGTGCTCCTGTTTACCCAAGAGGAGATGAACGAGATGGTCTCCGAAGCCAAGCGCTCCGGCGCCCCTATCTGCGCCCACGCGCAGAGCCCCGAGGCCGTTGTGATGGCGGCCAAGGCGGGCGTGACGTCTATCGAGCACGGATATATGCCTAGCGAGGAGCCTCTGAAGGCAATGAAGGAGAACAATACTATTTTCGTGCCGACGCTGGCAGTCTTTCAGGTTTCGTTAGGGGACGACAGTCATGTGATGAAAGCTATCCTGAAGCACATCAAGGCGGCCTACGATCAGGGCATCAAGTTCGCCGCGGGCGGCGACACAGGGGCTTTCGCGCATGGCGAAAACGTTTTCGAGCTAGAATTGATGGCGAAGGCAGGTATACCTGTCCTTGACGTCTTACAAGCAGCAACATTGCATGGTTGGGAGGTGTGTGGTGGTGATCTTTGTGGCAAAAGATTTGGGCTGCTGGATAAGGGATTTACGGCTGATATCATTGCTGTTGACGGGAACCCGATAGAAGACCTTAGTGCGTTAAGGCGAGTAAAGTTCGTTATGAAGGATGGCATCGTATATAAGGACGAGCTTAAGAGCTTATCCTAGATATGATTATAATAATGGGCAAGTCTAATGAGATATGGGACTTGATACATATTTTCAGAAACCATTTTGTTCCTGAACGCTCCGCATGCCACTAGATTTAATAGTCTGCTAACTCAGACAGGCGCCTGGGACCAACCATACTCAGCGATCAAGTCTTTAGTTCTGGCAACCTGATTCAAACAAGACTTAGCAAATACTAATACTCGAATAAATATCACGATGTATTCCTCATTACTGACATTCCCTAAGTTTATAACACCTGGCATAGCAATGACTGTCGGTTTCCTGATGTAGCCTAGTCGATATGAATTACTGACGTAGTCCAATGTAACAGCATAAATTGATTCGACGATACTACCTAACAACTTATCCCCCCGTGGGGAGCTACCTATGACAATTCCAACTCTAGAACCTTTAACAAGTACCACACTGTTCAGTGTTTCTCATTCAACTCGCCATCATAATGAAAATTATTATCACGGGAGCCACAGGTTTCGTTGGGAGCGAAGTAGTCCGGCAAGCTATTGCAGATGAAGCGATTACACACGCGTTCGTCCTGACCCGCAAGCCGTTGCCCGAGGATATCTCGAAAAGTGAGAAAATTACCATCATCGAACACAAGGACTTCTCTACTTATCCGCCGGAGCTGTTAGCTCAGCTTACCGGCGCTGAGGGTTGTGTTTGGTAAGTTTGAAAACACCTACCTACCTAGGTAGGTATCGTCAGGAGCTGGTTAGCTCAGCAGCGACTTACACGCGGAGAAGGGCGATCGGAGGCCGAGCCACCCAGTTCCCGGATGTGGAGACCGCACGGAAAGTCTCGGTAGACTACACTCTGGCCGCCGCCAAGGCCTTCAGCGAAGAGCTGGCAGCAGGGCTGCCGGGACCGTTTCGCTTTGTGTTTTGCAGCGGCAAGTTTGCCGAATGGGATCAGAATAAAAACTTGAAGATGATGAAGGACACTCGGCTCATCAAGGTAAGAGCACCAATACCTACCTAGGTGCCTACCTAGACCTAACCTATCTGCTTCGATGTGACTTGTTGATCTTGAAGGCTAACTGCAGACCACTACCTACCGCTAGGGACAAGTTGAGAAAGGTCTTTCTGATATCGCGGAGTCCAACAAGGACAAGTTCGAGGTCTGGGCTATGCGGCCCGGTGGGATCGTGAGGAAGTACGCCGGACTGATAAACGCACTCACTGCCTACACGAGTGGGTTTATTGCGGTGGACCAACTTGCCAAGGCCATGCTCAAGATCGTGGTTAACGGTCATGCAAACCGGATCATTGAATCTAATGAGCTTTTGAAGATTTGATTTATGTTCGACTCCTTTGCCGCTTTTCGGCTTGAAAGTGTCATGTAAAATTCTACTATACTCGTGTGTAGCGATTCAGCAGTAATTGCAAGGGTAATTGCAAGCAAACCAGGCTGCTATATTGTCCTATGTTTTGAACTTTACTTTGACATAACTTCCCCTATTTCATAGTGTCATGCCCTTTTTGTAACAAAGCTCTTATACGACTTCTAGTCCACTCCATGAAAAGCCATGGAACGGCGTTGTGTGGTTTGACTTATGGGGCGACTTTGTAGTACGCTTTTGAAAAGCTGCTTAATTGTACAAGATAACTGAAGATTTCATATATAAGATCTACATCATCCTAACTAGCTATTGAATATACAAATACCAACTTCTTAAGTTAGAGTTGTTGGTTAACCCCTAATGAGAGAGCTCTTTTACGTGTGAGGTACTCACCTAGGTACCTGCACTTAAGGCAGGTATTTTTAGGAGCTTTGTTCAGTGGTCAATTGGATATAGTAGGACCTACATTCTACAATGATATTCTGCACAGTTCGTATAATCTGTATAAAGCTTTGAAGTTTCCATTGCAATACGCCGCTGCTAGTTCTCTTTTCAAGCTGTAGAGTTATGTTGGAACAGGGGTTCAGCTGACAGGTGCCGCCAACCAACGTGGCCGGCGCGGTGATGCAGTGATGCGGTGATCCCATGCCAAGCAACCAATGCCTCGGGGCAGGCAATCAGGCACAGGCACAGGCTGGCCCGTTTACCTGTGCTACGTTACAACGAATGTACAATCCTTTGGAGAAATTAGAAGGATGTAATTATCCCTTATACGGGGTATATTACATAGCTGCCAACATCCCTTATACGAGATGTTGTTTCTTGGAAAACAAATACCGGCTTCTCCCACGATGAGGCTTACTTTCACATTCCTCAACCCCCCCTGCCACGACATCACCTCCCTCTCCAAATCAAGTCAAGATTTCCACGTCAAAACTCGTCGCGATGAGTCGTTCGGTTAGCATGAAGTTGTGCCTAGGGTCTCTACTGACGCTGGCTAGCGCTGTATGCGCCAGCGTGCCGTCCCTCGAAGCGCCGGCATGTTCCGTGGGGAAGGGCACAATCCAATACGACAAATCCGTGCCTGACAAGGCCGACTTCCCCAAGACTCAGGTTGACATATGCTACGACGACACGTCAATCAACATCGTTTTCACCGCGCTTGAGGAGACGAATTTCTACTTCAACGAGAGTCAATCAACCAACGACGCTATCTGGGCGTACGAAGTGATGGAGGGATTCATCTATCACGGGACCAACGACCCCAAGGCTTACCTGGAGTTCGAAGTCAGTCCGAACAATGTCACCTTCCAGGCCTGGATCTACAACAAGTCCAAGGTGCGCGCGACGAGCGCTCCGCTGGACACCTCTTTCTTAACTACGCCGGTGGCCGACGGCCTGACGGCCGAGACGACATTGGACAAGGAAGCGCAGACCTGGGTGTCGGCGGCCAAGGTCCCCCTCGGGCTGTTCAACGTTGATGACGGGCAGGCGAAGGGGACGTCGTGGAGGATGAACTTTTTCCGAACTGTCGTATCCCCGGACACATTCCCGGACCAACTGCTGGGCGCGTGGAATCCGACAAACGAATCCAACTTCCACATGACGCCTTTCTTCGGCCACGTCAAATTTATCTAGGTAATTAATGCAGCTGTTACTTTAGGTACCTACATCTGTTTGCCACCAAAAGCCAAGCGCAATTTATATTACGATGAATACCTATTATATATCAACGTAAATTGCGGAATTATTATCTTCTCCCTTTTTCTCGTGAACTGGAATGTGCCGAATAACCTATCCTACCTACCTCCTATACTGGAGACAGGGCTTGCTCGGCATCCTATCAAAGCTTGCCTCGAAACTTGTTTTTACCAAATTCCACGCGCTTCCCTTTTCGGAACCGAGCTGTTAATAAAGCGACTTAAGTTATTTCACCCTATGGAGTTGCATCTTTTCATCTATATTGCTGTTTAATTTATCCTATACCAGCCAGGTAAATAGATCGAAGCGCAAGTATCAAGTAGCTTATCCCTTCCTTACCTAGGTAGTCACTATATATCATAGTCTCCTCATATAAAGTGTCTTCTGTCGAGGATAGACTTCGCGAACCTGACATTGAACGCGTTGACTTAGCTGGCCGTTGAGAGTTTGAGTTGAGTTCCGCAAGGCCAAAGATACCGTACGCCTGTTTGTGTATATGGTGTTGTGTGCCTAGGCAATCAACAGCACCACTACGGGAATAGGGGCCAAACTCGACGTAACCGGCGCCCGACGCGCCTGAACTTGTGCTTATCAATATTATGACGGGAAGCGACCTCATCTAGCTTGCTGTCCTTAGCCGGATTCATCACCTCGCGCACGCGGCCGCGGCCGGGGGCTCCGCAGAGGAAAGCAGCCAGCCGGTAGAACGCCCAGCGAGAGGTGTACTTGGCCATCATGTAGACGTACACGAGGAGGTGGCTGGCGGCAAAGCGAGGAAGCGTCCGGACGGGGAAGCCCTCGTACGTGGCGCGGCTGATGGCGAAAAAGACGCCCGCGGTCTCGCTGAGCTTGTCTAGTGCGGACTTCGCGTCCCGGCGCTCCAGAAGCTCTTCGCGCAGGCGCGCCCGGTGCCAGGAGAGCCGCGATTGGCGCCGTAGGCCGAGCAGTTTGTGCCAGTGGCGTAGGAAGTTCTTGGTAACTGTGCCAGCCATATTTTCGATTTTCGTCTTCTCAGCTGATCGAGGAATCGGGTGCAAGATCGAAGATGGTTTGGTTTGGTTTGGTTTGGTTACAGAATACTTATGGAAAAACCAGGCCAAGTACCTTAAGGTAGTTGTTCAAGAAACTGCATTGGCTCACGCGTTCGCATGAACTGCGTTCGTATTGGAAGCACAAAGTCAAGCGTATATGCGTAGACCGCCAACCTTTTTTTCTTCTTTTTTTTTTAGCTACGTTTTTTTTCATCGAATTATTCTCATCTAATCCTGGTTAAAAGTTGGCAGAGAGTGATTGGACGAGATGAGCAGGTCGCACAGTGGAAAAGAGCTGAATCCAACGTGATAGCTACACCAATACCCGAGAGCATAAAATATACTGCTAGGTAACTACCTCCTTTATTTAGAGCTCTAGTGGTCCATGAATAATCATTAGTGCTCGTATAAACATTACCTAAGGTACCTCCTAATCTAGCGAAACAACGAGTATTGAAGTTACTTGCATGCTTCTAAGCAGGCAATTGTAATGTAGCGATGGCTGGTATGTTAGGTAATTTTATAGGGTACATGTAGTGCACGTTATGCGCCATCTATACGGAATATACTGGAGGTAGTATAATTTATAGGTACTTACCTAAGGTACCTAAAGTACCTAGATACCCTACATACCCGTTTCGGTACACGCGTAGTTAGCGTCTGTGGTTTGCGTTTTCTTGTTGGCCCGTGCAGAAGCTACGGGTACCATCTTTTTTATCTTTTCCAGCTTTGCCTTGTTGATTGTTTTTCAGCCTTGCCGTGAAATTTCAAGTTCCCAAATAACCTTACCAGCTACCTACTTAAACCCATTCATTGGGTCATCTCTTCAGCTGCAAGTCGCAGCAACCCGAACAACTCAAGATATCGACTGACCTTTTTTTTTTTTCTGTCTCTCTCTTCTTCGAGATGTCGTTGTTCGGAAAGCCAACAGGTCAGGCTACTAACACCGGAAGTAGTTTGTTTGGTAACGTGAACCAAACCGCCAATACAGCTCCGTCTCAACCTGCTCAGCCAGCTTCTTCGTTATTCGGTGCTCCTACCCAACCTGCTCAGACAGGTTCCTCGTTATTCGGTGCTCCTGCTCAACCTACTCAGCCAGCTTCTTCGCTATTTGGCGCTCCTCTTGCCGGTGCATCATCCACGGTTCAGCAGCCCCAACCTAGCAACCTACTTGGTAGATTTACGACAGCCCAGCCTGCTGCTGGTAGTGGCTTGGGTTTTGGACAGTCCACAAACAACCTAGCTCAAGCTCTACCGTCCATTCTTGGAGCTAGCCAGTTAAATTCCACCGTGCTACCCCAGGGTAATACAACAGGATACTTTGACAGTTTGCTCTCTAAAGGCAAAGCCCAAGGTAGCGAACAATCACCCCTCGACGATCTTCCTAGTCTCCAGCTTGGGCTTGGGGACCTTCGTCAGCGCCTTCGAAAGCTAGGCCCGCGGCCAGATCCTCAAGCCCATGACAAAGCTCGCTTTATTCTGGCCGCATCTGGCGTCGAGCCAGCGGCGGCAGTCCGAGACCTGAACGATTTCGATGTTCGCATTGGCGGCCGCGTCGAGCGCCCTGCACCATCCCCAGCAGTAGACGTTGATATCGACACCTACCTCTCAAATATACAGAAGAAAACGACTCTTAGCATGATTGCGGATGGTTTGGAAAGATCGGCTAGAGACTTCGATAATTTCCTCGAGGATAATGTCACGATGGAATGGGAGGCACAGAGGAAGCGTATCTACGAGCACTTTGGCATTAAGACGAAGGATGACGGACTTGTCGATGGGCCGTCAGGAACGGCTAACAGGGAGGCGCACGCGGGCTTTGGTCGATCGCGACGAACGGCCAAGACAACACGGTCCTCGGTAGCAGGTATTAAAGCTAGCACATTTGGACGGTCAAATCTCCAGAAGTCGGTTATTGGTACACCTAGCAAGATTGGTAGTCACAAGCCCGAATTCACGGATGTTCAGGATGCGACAGGAAGCCAAGGTGCCATCAATGGTGCCGCTTCGATCGACGATCGATTTCTCAGGGAGAAGCAGAGTCGCCTCGCAGAAAGGGTTCGGCAACTTAATCTTTGCCGAATCGAGGAGCAGCCTTACCCTATTCTGCACGAGCTTGCGCAAGTGGCTGGAAGCTCTGGTGATAGACATGCTCAGCAACTAGTTGATTCTTACCATGCCGCTATGGCTATCGTTGGTGAAAATCCGGAAGCAGAGACGTTTGCCGGCGATGCTACTGCAAGAGAACGCCAATTTAAGGACAAATATTTGGATGTGAATGACAAATCTCCCGGGGCGATAGAAATACGAAAGAGAATCCTCAACGGTGCGAATACTTTCTTAGAGAGGAAGTTCTTCCAGGAGGTCGAAAGTGTCATCGCTAAATACCCACGAGAGGCGAATTTGGGAGGTCGCCCAGATGTCATCAGCAAGATCAAGGCGTATGTTCGGTTACGGCACTCGCGAAAAGATCTCGTTCCTGATAACGTCGAACTTCAACAAGTTGACGGCGAGTTCGTTTGGGCCATCGTGTTCTACCTACTACGGTCGGGGAAGATTGCTGAGGCTGCTGATTATGTTAAGACCCAGTCGACCACCTTCCGGAGTATCGACCGTACCTTTGCGTCATATCTCCTCGAGTATGTCAGTAGCCCTGATAGGCGATTAAGACGCCAATTGCAGGAGCGCTGCAATAACGAGTACAACACCAGAGCCCGTAATGCACCCGAGAACTCGATCGACCCTTACCGAATGGCTTGTTATAAGATCGTGGGACGCTGCGACGTAAGCAACCGCAGCCTCGACGGTCTTAACACGGAGATTGAGGATTGGATATGGCTTCAATTCAACCTCGCACGCGAGAACGACAAGGCAACCGAAGTGGCTGCGGAGTCATACGGGTTACAAGATCTACGGGCAACCATTAGAGATGTTGGCCTAAAGCACTTCCCGAAGTCTCCCAGCGAGGACGACAACGGTACCTTCGGCATGTTCTTCTTCCTACAGATCCTCTCGGGCATGTTCGAGCAGGCTATCTCGTACTTGTATACCTTTTCTTACGTGGATGCTATCCACTTTGCTATAGCTCTCGAGTACTACGGTCTTTTGCGCCCTGCAGATCCCTGGACCGCGGCTGACTCCCTTCTATCGCACGACACTCGCTCAAGACCACAGATAAGCTTCGGTCGTATGCTAGGATATTATACACGCGACTTCCGCGCCGCTGATGTTGCCTCCGCCGTGGATTATCTAACTCTGATATGCCTCAATGCGGACCTAGGCGGTGAAGCGGGACGGCAACAAGCAGAACTTTGCCATGCGGCTCTGCGAGAACTTATCTTGGAGTCCAGAGAGTTTAGTAAGCTCATTGGTGACATTAGACCAGATGGACGTCGTATCGCCGGTCTCGTCGAAGAACGTGCCTCGCTCATCGGTCTTCGGGAAGAAGACGATTTCGTGAAAACTGTCACACTACAGGCAGCCCGGTTCGCCGATGATAATGGGCGGACGACAGACGCGGTACTGTTGTATCATTTGGCTGGAGACTACGACAGTGTAGTAACCATCGTGAGTCGCGCATTGAGTGAGGCTATCTCACTGGAGATTGGCGAAGATCCTATGCGGTTGGTGCCAGTCAAACCCCGGTTGGACGGTAAGGACCCGGAGGCGCAACCTGGCAGTAGCTTGAGTCTAGCGTCTATCGATGACCCTATCCAACTCGCGGCGACAATGATGTCGATGTACGAAAAGGATGCCATGTTCTACACAAAAGTCGAGGAGTCAAACCGGATTGCGTGTCACATTCTCTTACAGATGAGCGATATCAAAAACTTAGTCGAGGGTAGTCAATGGCCCGAGGCTTTAGATGTGAGTATTTCTCTCGCTCCCTAATACACTACTACAAAGGTATAGAAGCTAATAAATGACACAGAAAATACGCGCGTTGGAGATCCTACCTCTGGATGCTAATGGCGATCCGGCGAGGATCCGACACTACGCAGCAACGTTCTCGGGTCTCTCGCAGACGGTTGCTATCAATGTACCAAACCTACTCATGTGGACTATTACATGCTGCATCCAACAAAGGGAGCGGCTCATGAGCGGGCAGTTCAGCGGCAACGAAGGCACTCGACGAATGATGTGCGATAATCTAAAGCAGATCAGCATGGACCTAACGACGTACACGAGTCAACTGAGATACAGATTCCCGCCGCATCTACACGAAGCTCTCGCTCGAGCTTCGGCGGATTAAATGGAAGGGGAACCAAGTGTAATATTAGTCCTACGAGAGGAAACGAAGCGGACAAGCTTGAGGACATAAGACATGCATTCTTTAGCTTGTCCAACTATACCTACCTAGGTACGTAGTTGAAGTAATAATAAGTTGGTAACTTTTTGACGAAGAACAAGACCGGGCGCATTTATTATGGTTGGCGGTTTACACTATTATGTACCTACCTAGGTATCTACCTGGTAATTTAGATACGTTATTATATTTACCTAAGGTATGCAAAGGTATTTTATGATGGAATCGAGGAGAGTTCTACTTGACATGCTTGTGACGAAATGACATCAGCGTAAGAAGTAGTATATGCACAAATGTGGTAGGCAATCTTCGTATACGGGCGATATTTCATAAATTTGGTAGGTAACCTGGAAATATGAAGGGCTTAAGTGGAGCCGACTAAACTTGACTGACCTAGACTAGACTAACTAATCAATGATTAACCAATGATCAGTCGATTAACAACCCAGCGGTCTAGTGTTACGCTTTGCCGCCCACTTTCTCGCGTACGGTTTACCCAATACCGAATTGCCAGGAACTAACGTTAGGAACCAGTATTTTAAGGAACCAATGCCTTGATCGTACCGTTAGATACTACCCAAACTACTACTACGGAATACGATAATCGTTAGTTGTACATCGGTACAATACAGTGGTACTATTATAGTACCTATGTGACATGCACCCGTCCGCTAACTCGGCTTTCTCCTCCTCCACTTTCGTCAACACTGACGCCAACGCCAACGCCGACACCACCACCACTACTACTACTAGTACCACCTCTACCACTACCACCAGCCATCATAGAGCTTCCTCCACTACCGACTCCGCCCTACCTAGTAGTAACGTCGGAAGTCCTTCCGAAATTAGTCGGAACGAATCCGAAGTCTTCGGCCTTCCCCACCAACCCGGCCATAAACACGGCCCCTCCCAGGAGAATAGCCAGTCATCCGATTCCGGGAATAACTCGACCCAGGCGGGCCGCAATCATGTCTCAGGTCATCTCGAAGATCAGCGGACTAAAAAACGCCGAACTGGTCCCAGTCCGAGGGGTGTAGCAAACTTAACACCCGAACAGCTAGCCAAGAAGAGAGCAAATGGTATTGATCCCACTCCTTTAAGCTTCACATACTAACATAACCCATAACTCTTAACTCTTGCTAACTAACTACCTTTACCTCTTCCAACCCTAGACCGTGAGGCACAACGGGCCATTCGCGAACGCACTAAAAATCAGATCGAGACCCTTGAGAGGCGAATACGCGAGCTAACCTCCCAAAAGCCCTATCAAGAGCTTCAGGCCGCTATACGGGCTAAAGAGGCTGTTGAGGCCGAAAACGCCGAAATTAAAAGCCGGCTGGCCTCTGTCTTATCCCTAATACAACCTATTTTATCTAACCAGCAAGGTCAGTTGATACAACTCCTATCCAAACTCTTAACTCTTATATCAACTTCATAATATGGTAAGAGAGAAAAAAAAGAGACAGAAAAAATAAAAATAAAAAATAAAAGTATCTAGACCAAAACTAACCTGCTCGCTCCAGTCGAAGGGGCCTACGCATCTCCTATCTCTCCTATCCCCTCAAGTCAAACTGCGCAGTGTTCGCCCTCCATCTCTCATAGTTGCAATGATTCGACACCCATCAGCGCTGCTTCCCCTTCTGTGGCGGACTCATCATCACAGACACAGTCGCAGCTTCATCCGAGCCCATATTCTACCCAGGTCATGCTAAATCAGCAACGCCATGATCTATTTCATAACTTGGATCTCGGCGCTGGCGAACAGCTGAAGCTTGATTTTCTTCTTGACCCTTCGCACCGCGTGAATCGGATGCCGACTGGCATCAACGAGCCACAAGGCACAGCTGAATATCAGCATCTTCATACGAATCATGGCTGGAATTTCGGTTTACTCCCTCGGGATCATTCGGCGGTTAACAGCGGACCGCATCGACAGCAACAGCATCGCATAGAGTACGCCCCACGGAACGTATTCCAGCCAGTCGAGACGTCTTGGATTGGAAACTCGGCTCCTATCAAGAATGGACCCCCAACGTGTCCTCTGGATAGCCTTCTTCTTGAGTTTCTCCAGGAGAGACGTCAGCGAGCCGCCGAGGGTGTTCCCACGCGAGATATAGTTGGTCCCAAGTATCCCTCCGTCTCATCGCTGCTCAACCCAGCGAACAGTGTCTTCTCTCATCCGCTCTCTAAAGTCTTTACTGACATATTGGCCGCCTTTCCCGGGATAAGCGGGCTCCCGGAACGTATAGCTGTACTGTATTACATGTTTCTTGTAATGCGGTGGCAAGTCAGCCCTACGCAAGAGAACTACAACCTCTTGCCTCATTTCGCACTCCCTACACCCGCACAACTACACATCGCCCACCCAGCATGGATAGACCATCTCCCTTTCCCACACATGCGGGAGAAGCTCGCGAAGGAGTATAATCCTACCGACTTCTTGTTCGACAACTTCTTCATCCCATTCACAACTACCATATCTCTTAATTGGCCTTACGAACCTACGGACACGTTGCTCCAAAGCCCAGACGGGAACGAACTACTTATCAACCCCGTATACGAACGTCACCTGAGAAGGTTCGAGAACTGGACTCTAGGCGAAGCTTTCGATAAAGCATTCCCCCTTCTCAGGGGTACGTACAATCTCAAAAGAAGTAGCCCCCCTGCTAGGAATATGGCCGATGGCCAATTTAGCGGCGGGTAACTTTACACATATCTATAAGAAATATAAGAACACCAGGATGAATATAGTCACGCTATAGTATACGCAACATATATACAAGAGGGGATTCGTACATAATCCTCACCCCCAAGAGGATAATTGCGCCTAGCAGCTGGACCTTCCTATTCCCGAAAAAGCACGGCCATATTCAACAGTAACAGATTGGAGAACGATGAGATGAAAAGTTCTAAATAAGGCATCGGGATATACCTAGGTACCTAAGGTATCCTACCTAAGTATATGCCTTTGAACAAGTCGTTTATCCGTGTTAGGTGCTCAACCCATATAACGCGAGTACCTCGTGTGTAAATGCTTCATAGCCCAGTACAATAAATAATGTTTAATAGCGATGCTATATATCCCAAGTAGAAAATAAGTAGTAAAAGAAGAGCTGTGATAAAATAGAGCAGACCGACTGGTGCGAGGTAAGTGTATATTATATATACAAACACCTAAGCCATCCTCATGGTGCTTGACAGGGCAGACTCCAGGCATATATCTTTACGTCAAAAAAGCCAAAGCTCGTCGGAGATTGAAGCAACGGTGGTAGAAAGATGAACTATCCACAGTATGTTCCCCTGCCATCTCCGTGGACGTCTCGTTTCCCTCCCCCCTTCCCTTAGGTACACATACTAATAGTCGAAATAGGGGTTCGCTTCTCAGATAACTTGTTTAAAAGTATATCTGCACCCGATTCATTGAAAATATGTATACACATCTGGGTAGGTAGGTACTGACATGCCATTTACAGTACTGCGTTTTCCTGCTTATACCTAAGTATTATAACTATGTCTTGCTATATATATATATATATCCCCCTACCATCTACGATATACATATCGCTCAGGATGACCAATACCTCTCCCCCCTCTCTCTCCCATCGCACCCCCACTCACTCAGTCACTTATAAAGACAGCCAGCCAGTCACAAGTAGGCAGGAGGGGAGCACGAATTTCAATCCTCATCTACTCCATGCTAGCTGGGTACAGTTAGGTACCTACCTAAGGTAATGGCAACGTACCAAGCAAAAGACTGAGTATATCCTCCAAAAGAAAAAGATTATCTATATGTGTGAGATATGCCTCCCTTTCCAAGATGCAAAAAGTTCCTTTTCCGTCCTTACACTACTACTACTTGCTCCTCCTATAAAATAAGCCAAGCCAAGCCAAGCCAAGCCAAGCCAAGCCAAGCCAAGCCAAGCCAAGCCAAGCCAAGCCAAGCCAAGCAAGAAATAAAAAATTCAACACTTCTTTCCGTACGCCACGCAATGCTATGTTATACACCTAGGTAGATACCTAGGTAAGTACCTTGTATGATGAGACCCTCACAACGCACAAGCACGAAAAATGAAAGACGAGATAAACCCTCTCTCTCCTCTTGCAAAACACACACAACTCGACCCGACCCGACCCGACAAACTGCAACAACAGGCTTTATTCCTCGCCATCCGGGTCCCTAACGCCGAACGAGTAGACCTTGACGCGATGGTCCGCGCCGACGAACAAGCTCGGCGTGCTATCGCCGTCGAACGTCTGCCACTGGACGCAGCGCACGGGGCCCGGCGCGTTGATCTTGTCGACACCACCACCGCCGCCGCCGCCTGCGGAGGAGGAGGGTAGCCGCCGGCCGCTGCGCGCCGAGTACAGCGCGACCCGGCCGTCGTCGTGCGCGGCCGCCACGACGCCCGAGTCCCGGTCCAAGTCCAGCCCGAGGTCGAGGTACGCCCCGTTCCTGTAGCCATCGATGCGGAGGAGAGGGGCGGCGGTGTCGGCGGGTTTCGCGTGCAGGAGGTCCGAGGCGCTACCGCCGCTACAGTAGCGCATATCGAAGACCGAGAGCATGCTGCGTAGCCCGGCGACGAGGACCTTGTGCTCGCTGACCTGCTTGACGTGGGCGATGGCGTCGCGCACCCGGACGTTGGTCCACTGGGGGTACTCGCACCTCAGGTCGCCGGTGAACAGGCGGCCGGGGCGGCCGCCGAAGAAAAGCACGTTCGGGTTCTCGGCTTGGAAGGTGATGCCGAAGGTGTCGCTGGTGGGCGGGCGGCCCATGGGGTCCTTGAAGTTGAAGTGGCCGAGGGGGAAGGGCACGCCCATGTGGCCGGCGACGTTGCAGTAGACCAGGCCGTGGGACGTGCCGACGACGCAGAGCAGGTCGTTGCTCGCGGGCGGGGCTACGCACATTGAGAAGGCCTCGATTGGATCGCGACAGGAAAGAAAATCTACGGGTTGGAGTTGATTAGTACCTAAGGTATTCTATCTGAAGTTATTTGCGGATAAAGGTAAATCATTCATTCATTCTACTCACTGGTGCTCCAAGGAGAGAGGGTCTTGATGTGACGGAGATGGTTGTCGTAGAACAGTGGAGTTGACGAGGTATTACCTCTGGCATTGTGAATATCTGTATTGGAACGAATGAGGATAGGGTCGCGTTGTTGGAACTGTCTAGGAACAGATATAACAGCATCTAACTTGGTACTGTAGCCGATGCTTGCCAGGGGTGACGCTACTGCTTCATTGGCTGGTCCTAGATGAACGGCCTGTCCATCGTTCAACCTGCTACGAAACTTTGAACCTATTCTATTACAAGGGGTCAAGTCAGCATATCCCCAAATGTAGATAGAATATAGAGAGGTTACAGCTGATGCCATACCTGCCCGACACGGGGTCTCTCAAGGTATAGGCCGAGTCGCACACTCTCCCATCGGGACCTATGGGGGTTTGTAGAGTTAACGTATGTCCTTGAGTCTCGGCAACGCTCCCAATATAAACTCACTTGCGTAGACTTTGCATAGGCCCTTGGGACCCCTATTAGTAACGACCATATGCGTAAGGGTATTATGCTGGCGACCCCAGGTGAATTCAACCGCGCCCTTCTCCACGATGCCATATGCAAAAGAAGCAGCGATGTGATCGCGTCTATGCACGCCGATCTCGCGTTGAAGGAAACCACCGATGAGAGGGTGACCCAAAGTCTCAGAGCGGACGATGCGCTTCTTATTCAAGGCAATCTGGCGAGTTTTCTCAGCGGCTTCTGCATCTTCGATCTTGCGCTTTTTGACGGTGTCAGAAGACCAGGCTGCATCTTGAGGAGCAGTTTTGCGTTGCTCGATCTTGAAGTAACGCTTCTTGTCCGCATCTGAAAGGGAAAAGATTAGTGACATGGAATCACCAATGGGAGGAAAGGGGCCATGGAAGCCCTAGGGAGAAAAAGGCCAGCTTCATAGCATTACACATAACAGGTAGGTAGGTTCAAAAAGAAAAAAAATACACGATAGTTCAACGGAATCAACGATAACAGACCAGAACCTAAGAGCACTCCAAATACCAGAAGGCAATAATAATAACTCACCCCAATAATATCCCGGAATCTCCCTACGCTCCATGATGGCGATCTGCAAAGTACCTAAGTTGTCAGTTTCCAGAAAAAAAAACTTGCTGCCTCAAAAAAAACGGTGAAAGTTTCAAGAAATAGCAACGCGATTTGACCCACCTTGAATTAGAAACAAGTCTTTTTCTACGTTGTGTCATCGTACAAACGATGCAGCAAATATTGTTGATAGGTATTCACATGACGTCAAAACGCTTAGAGTTCAGTACTTGAACAAATGAAGTGAGAATTGGAAATATTTAACTACCTCGGTACAGATATCTAGCTAGGAAGACGTTTCCCCCCGACATTAGCATAACACTATAAAACTAATCGAGGCTATGCGGGTAGAGAAAGGGGTTAACACAGCTTATCAGAAACAAGGATATTCCAGGATGGAAAAATTACAACCGTCAAACTTTACGAGCTTAAAAGAACTTTCAGAATCGACAGCCATGCTAACGGCGTAAAAACCTTTAGAATACACAACATTTCACCTTCATCAAGACTGCCACCTTATTTTTATATTTTGTATTTCTTTCATTCGTAATTAAGTCTAACAGACATGGGTATGACGTAACCGATGGCCTATACGCCGTGGTATTTCAGTTTACAAGAAGGAAATGAAGTGAACAACTGTGCCTATGCGGGATATATCTAACTTATACACCGAAGGCAAGAGTATGTAACACCAATTAGGAGCCTTCCCGACTGACCACCGCAAAACGAGCGGCGAGCCCACTTCATCAGGAAACCACCTATTGAGATTTCTCGTGCTGGGTAGAGACACGTTGGAGAGAGACGACTGAAAAACATATTAGCATAATATTCGTACGGTTTAGGAATAGCGGAATACAACTTACCGAAGTCTTCGAGCGATCTCTGCTTTTGGCTGCCCTTGGGGGACTTGCCGTGCATGAGGTTGTCGAATCCAACGCTGTCCTGGAGGATGTAGTAAACACCACCCATGATGCAGAACACACCGAAGGAGAAGATCCAAATACGGACGACGGCGACGATGTGAGTCAACGCTCCGTTTTCGAAGAAACCCCAGATGGTGAAGCAAGTGGCGAGGATATCGACGATGAAAATGGCACCAGTCAACTGCCACGAGGGGATGGAAGACCAGAAAGGACCATTGGCACGGGTAATGAAGATCAGCCAGTTCTCAGTAAGAGAGATCTCAAGGAAGAGAACCTCGTCCATGTTACCGTTGTTCTGAACAATACCACCGTTCTCACCCTGGGCGTACATGGTAGTGACAGTAATCCAGGTACCGACGGCAAGGACGACACCGAGGAGGACGGACATACCCCAAAGCTTGGGCAGATTCCACTTGACAGGGCTCATAGAGTAGGGGGCATTGTCATAGGCAATAGCAAGAGTGGCAACATCGGCGAAGATGGCAATAAAGACAACAAGCTCAATATTGAGGGACCGGTTCAAAATTGCGATCCACAGACCGAGGTAAATCTCCAAGTGAAGAGAAAGGGCGATACGGTATACGACGTAGGCGTACATACGGTGGAAGATTTGGCGGGAAGTCTTGAGAGCATCAATGATGGCACCTAGACCGGGCGCAAGGAAGACGATATCGGCAGCAGATCGGGCAGCGTCGGAGGCACCCTCGACAGCAATACCAGTATCAGCCTTCTTCAATGAGGGGGCATCGTTCACACCATCACCAGTCATGGCAACAAGGTAACCACGCTGCTGTAGAATCTCGACGACGTTGTACTTGTGTTGGGGGAAAACCTCAGCAAAACCATCGGCAGCCTCGACGAAATCGTAAACCTCGGAACCAGGCATGTCACCACCGCCACCGAGACCAAGGCGCTCAGCATTGTACACGTTGGTGCCGAGACCAAGTTGACGGGAAGTTTCACGGGCAATACCGACAGCGTCACCAGTAAGCATCTTAATGGAAAGACCAAGGCGTTTGGCTTCGTTGATAGTGCGGGCAGTATCGTGACGAGGGGGGTCAGAGCAAGGCATTATACCAAGGATCTCCCAGGCACCCTCACCACGCTTGCGGGCAACACCAAGAGAACGGAAACCACGAGTAGCGAATTCAGCGACCTTGTTCTTGTAGGCCTGGTCAATCTCCTCAGGGATAGGGTGGTCTTCCTCGACAGTCTTCAGAACGAAAAGAGGGGCACCCTTGACACAGGTAATGCGTTCACCTTGAGGGGACTCGACAACAGCGGTAACCTTCTTGGAGACAGGGTCGAAGGGGAAGAACTCCTTGACGATGTACTTGGAGAGGACACTCTTGGCACGGGGGTAGTACTTGAGAGACTTGAGGAAAGCCTTGTCGATAGCGTCAATACCCTTCTTCTTGCGGCTGGCAGCGAGACAGGCAGTAAGCATGAGATCCTCGGGGTCAACACCGGCGACAGTGTAGGGCTCAGAGAGAGACAGCTTGTTCTTGGTCAAAGTACCAGTCTTGTCGGAGCAGAGAATCTCCACACCGGCCAGGGACTCAATGGCGGAAAGCTTCTGGACGATAGCCTTCTTCTTGGCAAGATAAGCGGCACCGACAGCCATGGTAGTGGTGACGACGGCAGGAAGACCGACGGGGACACCAACAATGGTAATGGCAAGGGTGAATCGGAGGATGTCAACAATAGGGTTGGATCGGTAGAAAGAGGAGACCCAGACAACCAAGAGAGTGAAGACGACGAGAATCAAAAGCACAGTTCCAATACCGTTAAGAACCTCAGTGAAGTGACCAGTACCAGCAGAAGCCTGGTTCACGAGGGCAGCGGCACGACCGACGAAAGTGTTATCACCAGTGGCGGTAATGACCATGAAGGCCTCACCACGCTTGACGGCCGAAGAGGCAAAGCACTGGTCGCCCTTGTGCTTGTCAACAGCGAGAGATTCACCGGTAATGGCAGATTGGTCGACTTGTAGGAAAGCATCGTCGGTGACGATTCGGCCATCAGCAGGGATAATGGTACCTTCTTCGACCTGGAGGATATCACCAGGAACGACTTGGGGAGCCTCAACTTCTTTAAGAGTTCCGTCTCGGAGGACAACAGCCTTGAGGGCAAGAGTCTTCTTCAACTCATCGACAATTGAACCAGCCTGGAATTCCTGAATGAAACCAACACAGGCGTTGAGGAGTAGCAGAGCACAAATGACACCAAAGTCGACCCAATCTTCTAAACCAGCGGCAAGGACGGCAGCAGCCTCCATGACGAACTGGATAGGACCAATAAAGAAACCCTGTGATATGTTAGGCAATAGAATTCAATCGTTGGAGTGGCACAAATGCTTACAAAGAACTTGAGGATGAGATTCTCCTTCTCCTCCTTCATCTGATTGAGACCATATTTTCGGCGGCGGTTTGTAACCTCAGCTGTATTACAAGTTAGTTCAAACTCTTAACAAGACAAGATACCCTCGTCGCAAAGTGCAACTTACCTTCTGTCAGACCAACTCGGGTATCGGTCTGGAGCATCTCCTCCGGCACAACACGACCAGTACCAGCGGGCTGTCCATCTTCCTCTTCCTCGACGTCAAAGGCATTACCGTCTTGCGACTCGAGGTCCTCGATTAAGGCATCAATGTCCTCATCTTCTTCTTCTTCCTCACCCTTAGCAGGCTTGGCAACGGTAGGATCTTGGGCACGATGGGCCTCTTTCTCGTCGAAATTACCCGACTCGATATTGGTGTGCAGTGCCGGCGCAGCGGCGTTGGACTCGGCCATGGTGGCGAGCTTTGGTTTATGGCAGTAAGACGAGGCTTATTGTCAAAGTGGAATTAAGATAAGTGATTGAGGACCGAGTCCAGGTTAATTATTATTATTAGTCCAGGATAGGCGACAATAGGATCCGACTGGAATGCTGATTAGGTTGAAAGATAGGTAATTGACGATGTTTGTTTTTTTATGGTGAGGTATGAATGGTCGTAAATGTAAGGTGGACGACGTTCAAACTGATCACTCAGAAGGGAGGGGGGAAGAGGGGAGATTTGGCGGGAAGGCACCACGGACGACCTTGGGGGGATTGACAAGCCAGAGCAGCCGAAAGTCTTCAACGTGATGGGGAGGAAAAAAAAAAGAGAGAAGTCGCGTCCAACGTGGGAGAGGAATTTCTTTATAAAGTGAGAGAAACAGAGTAACGTGAGAGAACGCTAATTCCGAAGAGTGGGGTCCTTCGTTGACCAAGCTGCCAGTGGCTCACTATCTAGGTAGGTACATGGAAGTATTAGTACAGGCTAGCACAGTGTGGACTTGCCTTGCCATCGTTCCCCACTGGACCCACACGTTAACGTCTACTAGATTCCCATTGGCCAAGCTAGGGCGATATTCAAAAAATACCACTTGCAACTTCCTCTGAACTCATTGTTTAAGGTACGTGTTTGTACATGTTTCACGCGTGAATTTTGTACGATATGATACTTCAATACTTATTTACGTTGCCGAGGCGTTATTAGTTACGGGGCAGCAAAAGTTTAAGGGACGACAGCATATTGATAATGTAAATACAGCGTTAATACACAAACTTATATAAACTCATATAATTGCAGCAGATGTACGTACGTACGTTAGGTATGTATGTATTTATGTATGTAACAAGAAACTACATATATTTCGTGCTCAAGTCTCCAGTCACATACTCACATATGCACACACATACGCACACATGTATATTTTGGCCCGTCAACCTTACAGGTTTGTTGACATTCAAGACATCTACATTCAGGTCCACGGGTGCATGTGTAGCTTAGTTAGCTACATAGTTGTCCCTGGGGAAATTGCCTCTATGCAACATTAGTGCTCAGGGGGCCGAAGGTACGATGCATCCCACGCAATACCAAGTGGGTGACCTTGTAGCTATACCTACCTTTTAGCTACTGATTTAGGTAAAGTGTACAGCTGGTGAGCTACACTATACACTACTTGTGTAGATAGGGAAGCATAAGGGCACAGTGTGACTTGGTCCCTGCATGCTCCACCTATCGGTACCTGAACAGCGTCGACTCCACATCCCATCTCTCCAGAGCAAAAGAGCAGGAGCACCCCCATGAACAATTCTGATCTTGCGGGAATTTACAACTCGATGGGCGGCCCATGATGATGACAACACGCGTGCACCGACTTTTCCATAACCCAATTTACGGTCAAAGCTTTGAGGACAATACTTCCGAAGCTGTAGAAGTATTCCTACTTTTCAATTGACTCATTTTTAGGGCACATAGGCCTATATCTGTCCATGCGACGGTTGGCATGGAAATAGCTTTGGTCTAGTTGTTTTGGTCACTCGTGGTTTTTTTTTTTTTTTATCCAGTCTTGGTACAGGAACAGGCTCTTCCTGAATCAAGATTCCTTAAGCTCTCTGCATTCGGGAAGCACGGTCTATCTCTAGGCCCATGGGCTTATGCCAGGGCTGCTAACCATCGAACTAGGAATGCCCATGTCCGCTCATGTTAAAATGTTAGTCTCACAGTGTCAGATTGTACTATGGGAGCCGGCCAAATGGCAAGTCAGTGCGCCTCATTACTGTTCTCTCATGTTATGCTATCACACAACCAGAACAACCCATCTGGTACATACATCCAGGTACACATTAGGTACAGGTATCCTTACTTTAACCAACATTATGAGCCATTTTTTTCATCCAAGACGCTGAGGGAGGCTGCTTTCGAAAGCGGAAAAAGGCGCTGGAACACACCCGATCCTGTCGATCCTGCTAAGAAATAACATTGTATTGTGTCGTTTGGTTTTATTAGAGCAGAACTACCTAACCTAACCATGCCAATGACTACCTAGGTATTTACAGCTCCAGGTCGCTACCTACCTCCCAGCCTCTCCCTTATCAACCGTCAATCGTCATTCTTCACGTGGAGCACCTGTACGTACCGCCTGCCCGGCAACCTGCCAAATGCGGCTTTATTTCTCGGCCTGTTGCTAGGCTCGCCGCTCAGGGCCTTAAGAAAATACCTAAACGATGAAAGTATGGCTAGGGGAAACGCGATCCGCCTGAAAGGCCCTGAAAGGGACCAAGCAACGTGGGTAAATTAAGGCCGACTCTACGAATCGTAGACAACGGCAGCAATTCCTGCGAGTTAGAACAAACCCATCTGGCGTATGTGGCTTACTTTTCATACGTCATAATACCCATGGGGGGACCAATCCCGCATTTTCCCAGACCTGCACCATAAACACTACCCCAGCCAGCCCAGCTACCTAGGTACTGGTCAGTGGTCACAGACCACATGGATGGACATGTCACTCTCGCAATTAAATTTTTTCCCTCTGCATCCGCGGCGAGTCTTTCACCGACATGCTCCGGGAAAGCGAGCTCGGTAAAAGCCAGAAAGCGTCCTTTGTCTGCCGCAAATTTCTCGGATGGGTATTCGTTCGGTATGGCCGTAACTCCACAAAGCTTGCCGCTTGTTATCTTATGGCCACCGTCAATTCTACGTCCGATATCCGCTACTTGCCCCTTTGTATATACGGAGTTCGCTAGTAGAATGGCCTTTGCGCCATATCTCTCTAAGTCCAAGTCTAGACGAAACAACTAGATTTCGGAATCGCCTATGGAATCGCCCATGCCTTTTTTTCGGTCATCGGCATCTTCGCCATCTCGATAACAACCGTCTGGCTCCAAATTTGCGCAAAGCCTTATCGCAATGCACAGGTCTAACCGATGTTATCTCGCAGTTTCATCTTCATCATATACCTCTGATACTACACTCATTAAAGAGGGAACAGAAAAAAAAGAGAAAAAAAAACCTCGTAAATGAATCTGACGTACAAATCGCTCACTAGAAGGCAACTAGTCGCGTGGGCAGTAATAAACTCCTAATATCAGGACTGACAATATGCATACAAATCTGGAACCTTACTAAGTTAATTTCGCCAATCATGTTGACGACAAAAACATAATCTCAAAAAAAAAAATCGGGATTCGTACGACTGGGATATGCCCGCCTGGGAGTGCGTGATTTGCGCTAGGAGGATGCATCTCAGAAAATGGGCGTCCGCCTCGCCGTTTGCAGGCTTCTGGATTCAGGATAGCCGAACCACATGGGGGTTAGGTGGCACAGTAAGGATTTCGTGTAAATTACACTGGGAGGATCCGAGGATCGAGCCGCTCGTGTCGCTAAAAGATTTTACCATCTGGCGGCCCACGCTGTCGCTCCTTATCAGTGGCCCAATGGCTTTTATTCGGACATTATGTGGTTCCTCTCCCCAAGGAGCAATTTCTGGTTTGTTTACGGTCTGCCGAGGTGAGAATAGCTTGGTCTCCGGGGGCTCCTTAAGCCTATCCGCTACGGGGAGACCCTTTCCCAACATGTATCTGACTCCCGATATTTGACAATGCCCGTCGTGTCTCCGAACAGCCGACAATCGCTCGCGCTCGCGTTGGTGCTGCAATGACTTACGAAACAAAAGAATAATCTAGCCTCGTAAAGCTCGTTTTGTCCAGTACTTTTATGCGTTTCCCATTTCTTAACCCCCTATTGGAGCCGCGCCTAGTCTACATATGTCAAACATCCATGTAACTACCACGACCTTATCATCGATATTTGTACGAATTGGATTCCGTAAAATCTCGTAACACCTGAGATTATACGAGTAATAGACGGCTGAGATGGTGTGCGCTGTCGAAGCCAGGGATTGATGCACGCAAGTTAACATGAAACCCGGCTACAAAAAAGCTTGATTGCCGTCTGATGGAACTTGAAACAATTCGACAATTGTTCTTGTGGTCAATGTTTGCAAAACACTATTAAGAATATACCTCACTAAAGACTGTTGATTTTTCTTAGTAATGAGCCTTTTTTTTTCCTCTTCCCCTTTTTCTTAGCTTCTTTGCCTACTAATGTAATTTGCGAGATTTATTACAGGAAAGTCACATCTCGGATCCATTTAAAAAGCTTGAGATTATGGAGGTTTCTTGACCAATGGGTTCGGGTTTTCCATTTCTAGAAAACTACAAGAGCTAAGAATAATAAAAGCGACCAATAAAACGACGTCTCAAAAACTTCTATCGATGCAAGAAGGGTTCTAGTCTCATTAATTATGCGTATATTAAGGCATGGAGCCCTTGACTTTGTTTAAAGCGAAGGTTCTTTTTTGCCACGACGTCAAAGCTAATACGTTTAGAGTGACCGCGTTTTCATCTTACGGGGCTTACACGCGAAAACTCTAGAATCTGAACCTCGTCGCTACGCTTGACCATTTCGATTTTGCTATAATGAAGTCTAGGTATATTACGGATCCATACTCGGAAATGCAGTCCAAGTCGATGTAACAACAAAAGAAAAAGCTATTACTATCCCCCGACATTAACGTCTCCTTTTCAGCCCAGCCAGCTATGACAGATCTAAATTGTGTACGATCTCTCCACAGCCAAGTTAATAAGTTGATTGTTTCTTCCTAGCGCAACGCCCGCCCCCCGAAAACTTTGAATAGCAGATATGGCACGTACCGACGTTACCATCGTACAATACATAATACATACATGCGTACATGCGTACCTAACCCAGGTAGTTAGAACCAAACTTGAAGCAATCGTGGCAGGCATCTAACATGATGATTGTACATCTCTATCCGTTGTAGGTATGTATGTGCATTATAATACATACTACCTAATGTACGCATTCTATCTAGTGTCTTGGTAAAACCCAACTACCTACATACCCAGGAATGTATCAATCAAATATCGGAATCCTCTGGAAATAACATGGAGGTAATAGAGGTAATAGATAGGTATAGCCATGCAGTGTTCTATTTACGGTACAATACCGCTTTTCGATAGAACAGACCTCATCAGACAATTCTTCCTTGGCACGTACATTCTCGCGTCATGCCAAGAGACCACAAAGATACTACAATCTGCCCTAAAGCCTTTTCCTAACTAGCTAACCCGTTTTCCCCTTCGTCGGTCACTAGGATTGGGGTATACTTTAGACAAATAGACAAATAAATCAGTTAGATCTAAAGCTTAGCTCTGCTAGTAGTACTAATATCGAGTCTTTGCCGTCCCTCTGCATCACCACGATGCCAGGTGCGTATATCGAAAGCCAAGATTGCAGCACGACGATCATCCTCCATCCAGGGAATACAAGACCCCTTCGTCTACCGTCGAAATCCTTGGCAGGCTTGCTATATCACAATCTAAGCAATAAATAGATACGCCGCACTCGAAAGAA